AGTAACGCCCTTTTTGGTGAGTGTATATAGGCTATATTAATACATATATTCAATTTCTAGATGAATTGTGATAAATCTCGGTGTTGAGCTAATATTTGTGTTGAGCGAGTGGGCCTGCGCGTAGTTCGAAGAACCGGTGAGGGGCCGAGTACCCAAGGTGTAGACCTCCATCACAACCCCTTCCACATCATTTTGGAAACATGGTCAACCTTCTTCCTGCTTGGCTTCACGAGGCCAAAATATTTGAACTCCGCTAATGATCTCTGGAAGAGGGATCTATGAAAATTGTTAGTCTAACTCGGGTGGATACCAGTGCTGAAGCTAGATGATGGGACGTGGATCTTACGTGGTGACATCTTCCGATTGGTTGTCTTCACCTCCAGTGATGGCGTTGAAGGCAAGCCACAAATCATTGACATTCAACATCGCGCCCGACTCCAGGTATAGTTGATACAAGATAGTGCTTGGGGGCTGGCTAGCTGATAGCTGATGCTGCGTCGCGCGTTAGCTAAAGGCGTTGCAAGACATATGAAATTAGCCAGCTTACTTCTCCCTCAGCCTTTGACTCTGCACAGCAACTACAATTGAGATAGTCATGGGGTGAAGACAGAGCGCGTTCCATTGCAAATCGAGGCTTAGGCGCAAACACCTCGTTATGTGGCGATTTGAGGTCGTACAGCAAGATTTCGGACAAGTATAGACTGTGCGGGTCAATGAGCGCTTCTGTCAGATACGCTTCTAGCTCGTCGTGAAAGCGTCCAATCAGATCCGAATAGGCAGCATCTTGCTTAGAAAGTGTGGACTTATGCTTGCTTAGATCTACCTTTTGTGCCACTAGGGTAGTTCTAAGGGTGTTGCTTTGCACATCGTAATGGCTCTTGAGGGGTGCTGAGGTGGTGCTATGTTCCGTTAGATCGGCAAGTGCTTGTTGGTATTCCTTAATGTCCATCGGTAGCCCACTATGCCTCAAAGATGCTAGGGTTGCTAGCACATGAGAAAATGTGTCCGAAGATGCTTTCCTGACCATCAAAATGGTCTCACGGGTTAACGGTGACCCATAAAGGTCTCCGGAAGCTGATCGAATGTAAAGCGAGGAGTATCGGACTTGCTGCGTTTTCCACATAGCATTTCTGAGGATGACAACGACGGCAATTGCCGACGTGAGTCTAGACAGCGCTGTTTGACCTAGTTCTAGATGCTGTTTGATGTTCGCAAACAGAAATTGATCTGAATCCAACAGGCTGTGGATTTCGTCGGTTGACCCATCTTCGAGTAAGGCTTCGACATAGCTATGTGAGTTAGCATTCTGGACAAGTTGATGATGTAGGATATAGTCATACTTGCGGAAAGATGGGAGAGTTCTCAAAGCCTCAAAAGCGCTGTGGTTGATCTGATCAAACTCAAGTGAACGATTCAAAAAGACGCTCATAGGGTTTGCATAGAAATGACACAAGTATGCATACTACCTTCTGTTAGCTTTCTCGGGGATATTTGATTGCATGCATACCTTCAAGGAGTCATAGAAGTCTTGTGTGCTCTGAGAATGATCGCTGTGCCTATCAAGAAGTAACCTGCAAAGGTTGGGGCCAACTCGAAGGGACACATGAGGCCCTTCGACAGTAGCTCGGAAGATCTTTTCGAGGCTCTCCTCGGCCTGTTCTACAACAAACTGCTCCCCTTCTAATGAAAGAATTGCAGATCCGGTCAGTCTGTCCTGGAACCTATCCGCAGAGGTGGCGATCCCGAAGAGCAACACGAATGGCAAGCGATCGGACCATGAGCTATGCACGTTAGTCCAAATGAATTCTATCCGCGGAAGAGACACTACCTTAAAAGCTCAATCGTCTCGACTATTATGCTATCATCAAAGCCCTCGCTGTCTTGAATTGCAATAGTAATCTTGTCGACAGGCGTCTTTGAATACCAGTCCAGTAGAAGGCACAGATCATAGTCAAGTGGCTTCGAGCCTGTCTTGTGAGCACCACTAGGGGGTAGCTCGTCGTCGTCTTCGTCGATGGGGAGTCCAGAGGTTGCTTTCCTGATTAAAGTCTTCAAAAGCGTTTTGAGATTTGGGCATTCCGCCGAGTTCAGAGGAACAAAGATACTCTTGGTATCGGCAATAATCTTATCGCTCACACGGCGAAAGAAGGGGCCGTGGGACGCAATGCTTGGGCCAGTAATGACGAGTCCAGTCGGAATAGGTGGCCGGTCACGACGAGGGCCAGGCACAACACCAGACACAAACGCTGCAATTTTCTCAAGGGTAGAGCGATCGGCATCATCGATGGCACCCTGCGATCATCAGCAAGGTTGCCCTACTCAAGTTGCGATGCATACCTGTATCTGATGTTCCTGCTGAGCCCAGGCTTCGTGGAAGGCATGCTCGCGGAGTTCCCACGTCGTTGGTTGGCCTGTGTTGACAAGTCGGCGACGTTTCGGGGCTCGTCCAGGTTGCGGACGCGGCGGCGCATACAAGTAGCACTTTTTGTCTTCCATCTTGATGCATGTGTTGAGGCCACTTAGAGGCGAGGTGAATAGGAAGCGTGGTACTGTCGGTGCAACTGCAGGTCTCATTTGTGCGGTCTGAGGAGCTTGCGATCAGTGCCCGTGCGTTACATCAAGCTGTGCTATCCAATTGCACGTGTAGATTTATCATCGAATTATATGCTCACTCAAGGCGCTTATGCAAAGCACTGTGATTGAGATATTCAAAACTCGAGTCATTCATAGCCGGACGTCAATCCTTTTCATGATTTCACTGGCACAGAGCACCGCAATGTGTAGTAGATTGGTAGATATAATTGCCAATGCAAAGGTATGATTACATGCCAAAGCTATCCACGATATAGAATAGTTATATGGAGTTTTGAGTTCTCGCCGTTGAGTTACCGAAAGACCGCCGCTGCGGTCTGCTCTCGCTTTGGAGATGTAATCGCGGCCAACGGATCTAACCCGAGTGGATTGTGAATAGCAGATGCACTTCAGTCATGCATGCTACCAAATTAATCGCGGGTTAACAGGGAGTCACGTTCAGTCGTGGTCATCTTCCGTGATCCCAGGGCAGTCGCTCATTGCCTCGTCAGAGTACTGATACTTACACCAGAAGCAGTATCGATGTTCTTGCCGCATATAAATGACGAGTCTCTCCAATCGCTGTTCGGAGGGCAAAGCATTGAACTGGTCTAGTTCAGAGTCCTCCTGCTCAACTTCGTCCTCGACTTCTTCCTTAAACACACCTGCCTTCTCGTCTCGGCCAAGTGCAAGCAAGTCTTCTCGATCTAGATCTGGGTCTTCGTAAGTCGGAAGAAACGAGCGAACAGATGTTAGATTATGCCGCATTCGCTTCTCCCCATCAGTCACCAGCCGTTGCCGCACTAAGCCCCGCCAAAGCACATTTATACTCCTCAGAGGCTGGCGGGCATTCTTAGGCGTGGGCTTTGTGACCTTGGGTTCCAGCTGTGTACTACTGTCTTCCTTTGCTTTCGAGGCAAGCTCCTCCGCAACCCTTTGAGCGTTCCTGATCTGGCCTTCGCGTTTGAGTTCTTCTCTCTCAAATCTGACACGCTCGCGGTATTCCCCTTCCTCCGCTTTGACGCGCTTTGCTTCATGGTTCATCTGCTCTCGGAACTTCCTCTTCTTCTCTGTATCGAGCCCGATGCCGCCTCTATCTTCCTTGAGCACCACCTGAATAGGCTCCGCGCGGCCGCCTTTGTCAGCGCCCAAGGTGTCTCCATGTTTGAACCCCAGCTTGGCCATCATTTTGAATCCCTTATTAGACGTGTCGTGGAGCGGTGTGGCAAGAGCTGCCTCTCGTGCGGCTGCTTCATCCGCAGCTTTCTCCGCCTTCGATTTAACTTGAGCTTTGAGCGCAGCCTAGTGAGGAAGTGTTAGAATCGGCTGAAGCAGATGTAGTTCATTAAAACATACCTCGCGCTTTTTGCGAGCGACCCGCTGGATAGAGGTTTCCTTGAGTGCTTGCGCAGGCTCGGCGATGGCCATAGACATGTAGTCATCTTCATCGTCAGAGTCCGCCATTCTGGCTCAAAGGATGGGTGTTGCTCGTGCTAGAACCTGGGGAGAGAGTTAAACAGTGGAACTGCTACGGCACGTGACCTGCCGATGATTAGCCGTAATATCCTACGCCTCTCAAGAACCCCTCAACTAGAGGTCAAGATACATCACCGCTGCTAGCTTTCACCAGCTCCCGAACGTGACTGAGTCACTGGACCGCCCTCAGCTCCGGAATGCCCCGAAATCTTGATCTGAACAACCCATCATGTTGCTTTTCTGGACCCTCCTCATAGAATAGGCACGGATGGGAAGGAAGGGGTATGCACAAGTTCCCCGCAAACATGGACCAGCTCGTATTGCATCACACGACACGGCACTTCTTCTATGATGGCCGTCACTCGCTCTTTCGACCCTCAGGTGCGCCGCCGCGTCGGTGTTGGAAGTTCAAACAAAGACAACCTGCCGAACCGCTCCTATCTGCCGCCACAGGAAGCATGTCACAGCATGGCATGATTATCTGCAGATAGCAGTCACATGTCGTTCTTCTCAGAAGCATCGCGCTGCGTGTGCGTATCAATTGTCGATCTCAAGCGGCTAGGTGCTGGCCTCGGTGCTGGCCTCTGATTTAGTATCAAGGTTGACATCTACCGAGTCACCCACAGCTTCAGGATACGGATGCCCAGGGGGTCCGTTTGGCATCTTGGGAAGCCAATATCCCAGGACTGACGCAGCCGGTGGCAGACCAAGCCTCATCTATGTACTATGCACATACCCCGGACTCCAGAAACCCCAGAGACACCTCCCGCTTTCCGATCGCGTCCCCCGCCGCTTGGCCGCATCGAGCACTGTGACCGTTGCCGGCCCAGAGTCTGTTACGTCTTGCCCCGCGACCTCGCCGCATCCTTCGGCAGCAACCCGTACAGGTTTGTTGGTACTGGATCTTCCATGCTGTTGAAAAGCTTCCTGCTCACACTGTCAACTGGGTTCGTGGCGACAGGCATCTTGACGTCTGTCATGCTCGCGGTGTATGTACGCAGACAGCCTCGCATACGTTATTCCTTGCTGTGGCTCTTTTTTCGTTCTAGCGACCTCACTTACGGCGGCCGCTAGAAAGATAGCGCACCGTTGCTGGACCGCGCTACCGATTCTATCCCTTGCAATTTAGCGCGCAGCTCGACTTGCTCTGGCTTCGAAGCATGTGCTTGATGGATATCCAGTCCTTTTCTAACGCCAGCCTCGGTAATGCCAGGATAGTTCGTTTCCTCCCGTCGCTGGGGTAGACTGGTCGCTCGGCCAACTTCCTCTTTGAGTATCCTCTTATTGGCTGTGATTGGTCAACTGTCGACTACGAGCCTTGCCACCCAATATCCCCAGCGTCCAACCCCCGTACCCCGTTCTCCGCCTCTCTGTTTTAGACTCGTCCACTGATCAGCCCTCGGCGGAGGCGCGCTGGTACAGACGCCCCCCTTCTCCAGGGCGGTTGTGTTTTCCTCTAATGTCATCTAGCATGTGCGCCGTTGTGCCCTTTCTGTGCTCTTAATCCTGGCGGCGCTCGCACATGTTATTATTCTCAAGCAGCTATAGGTATCAAACATATGCTCCCACTCCAGTCCCATTTTTTATTCGTCGTCACCGTCACCGTCCCCGAAGTCCTTCTTCACTCATCGCCCGACATGGAAGACGACGATATCAAGAGGGAAACGACTGAGCGAATCGCGCCCACGGGCTCTCTAGACCAGGAGGACTTTGCGAGAAAGCGAGGGGTAGGAGCATCACTCTTCCCACCTGGAAAGAGCCCCGGTGCCGTGCCCAGAGCCAGAAGTCACTGCAGGAAGTGGTGGTGGTGTGACTGTCTGGTCCTCGCTGTGATTGTTCTCATTATAGTGCTGCCAATGTAAGTGAATATCGATTTCGAGTCCTCGTGTTTCCATCTGGACTGATCAATCCTGCCAGCGTCTATGTCGCCATACCCAAGACAGCCCAGCACGATGTGAACGCGTCGACTCTCGAGATACAACAACAAATCGTCACCGATCCCACGCCATCATCTGTTCATCTGAGGCTTGTTAATGTTGCTCGTAGCGACAGCAGCTTCCACCCAACACTCGATGCCTTTGAGGCTGCCCTCTTCCTTGAACCCACCGAGCCCGAAATCACGCCATTTGGATATGTCACAATTCCAAAGACGCAAGTTGGGCATGCGACTACAATAATCGTAGACCAGACTCTAAATATCACCAACAAGGACCAGTTCATGGCATATACTGCATTAGTGATCGGCAGCGATGAGTTTAGAATCGCCGTTCGTGGCCGGACAGGACTACACCAAAAGGGCCTGTCGAAAATCGATGTAGATTACAACAAAGTAGTAACGATGAAAGGTTGATAATACCCTTCTTTACCTAGCAACTTATACTTATTAACAAAATTACTATCAGGTCTCAACAAATTGGCAGGCTTCAACATTACCGAGTTCCAGATCTTGCTCACACCAGAGCCCGACGGCTCGAATATGAATGGCACCGTGTCCATACCGAATCAGTCGGTGTTGACTCTTGATTTGGGTAATGTCACCATGGATCTGTCCGTCCAAGGGACACCCATCGGTCAGGCTGTAATTCCGGACCTCGTCCTTAAGCCTGGCAGCAACATCGTACCCATGCGATCGACCGTGAATCAATCACTTGTGATTGGGTTGGTCACTAAGAAGTTCACCAGTGGGCTGCTGCCTATCGACGTTTTGGGTAACTCTAGCGTTAGCAACGGACAGCACCTAGAATACTACGAGGCGGCCATCAAAAGCAACCCGTTGCACGTTACCCTAGACGTGGGCAGTGCTCTTGCAGCTCTGGGGCTAAATATCACCCAATCGTGATGATATGTGGGCAAGCCACGGTCGGGATTTCTGGGTCTAGTTTCATATACCAATCAAGTTACTACGAACGCTTCCTAGCATTAGTACCGAAGGCGGCAGTGGGACTAGGCATGTGGGCAGAGACGCTTTCTGTACATATATAATGAAGACGAAAAACGCTAAGATAATGCAAGCTCTCGCTAATTGAATGGCCTTCCAAACCAAAGGTACCAGCTGGTGATAAGCTTGCTTGACAGAGCGAAGCTGGGCACCCGGCGACGGGTGGCTCCAGGTCTTTGAGGCCACCCATCACAAGCCACCAACACGCGGGAGATGGACGAGCGATCGTCACGTGGAAGTCAACTTGGGAGCACCACGTGGGAGGGGTCAGGAAACATCGGGGTGCTGGCCGAAAGACTATACTGTCCGCTTTTAGCTTCGGATTTGAGATGAATACAAGGGATATAACTAGGCGCTGTTCATCCTTTGGCCGCATCTTAGCGAGCTCACATTACGTGGCTTCGGTGCCATGGACAATTACGAGCGTTGTGCGGCCTTTGTGCTGGAGTATTGCGAACTCTTCAATCCATAAGTCAGGCGACTGGCCTGGGGTCCCCAATAGAGAAGTAGGACTTGGCGCTATTCATGGAGCTGAGGAATCGGCTATCCGTACTGACAAATTCGCGGAAGTCTTCCTCGCGGTGTAATTGCTCTCCAATGCTGACTAAATTTGGCTCAAGCCTCCGTCAGCGGGCTGCCAAATGACGCCACTGCAAGGGCGGGGCGGCCCCACTAACTCCCGGAGCTTCACCCACCTCAGCTCATATATATTCGAGCTACCCCTCACTATCTCTGTCCATTGTCCTCTCATAACACATCCACCTGGCCCGATTGAACTCTGCAGTCTTCACCATGGCCAAAATCGCCATTGTTTTCGTATGTTCTCGCCTTAACTGCTTTACATGCGCCAGCTTGGCTGATTCCCCGTGATACACAGTACTCGTTGTACGGGCACATCCAAAAGCTCGCTGAGGCCGAGAAGAAGGGCATTGAGGCTGTGGGCGGCTCTGCCACTCTCTACCAGTACAATTCACGTACACCCAGCTTTTGCGCCGGCTCTGGTGCTGATCTCAGCTTAGAATTCCCGAGACGCTCCCACAGGAAGTCCTGACCAAGATGCACGCTCCTCCGAAGCCTTCTGACATCGAGATCGCAACTCCTGCCATACTCGAGCAGTATGATGGCATTCTTTTCGGTATTCCCACCCGCTATGGCAACTTTCCCGCCCAGTGGAAGGCCTTCTGGGACTCCACCGGTGGCCAATGGCAGACTGGAGCATACTGGGGAAAGTACGCTGGTGTGTTCGTCTCTACTGGCACGGTACTGTTCAACCCTTCCATTTAACCATCTCGACTTGGTCTGATTCCGTGTACAGCCGGGCGGTGGACAGGAATCGACGGCGATTGCCGCGCTGAGCACCTTCGCCCATCACGGGTTCATCTACGTACCCTTGGGCTACAAGACCACCTTCGCTCTCCTGGCGAACTTGGATGAAGTGCGTGGAGGATCCCCCTGGGGTGCGGGTACCTTTGCGGTATGTATCTCGGTCATCTTCGCTACTCTGTAATGGGCACTGATTGTTTAACTGCAGGGCCCCGACGGCTCCCGCCAGCCCACAGCTCTTGAGCTCGAATTGGCCGAGAAGCAGGGTGCGGCTTTCTACGGAGCCGTGTCAAAGGCTTTCCCGGCGTGACTAGGAAAAGCAGACGGGGGGCCAGCATCGCATAGCGCCAATGGTATAAAGCAAACACCACAAGATACACCGAAGCCAGCTGAGACAAAAAACGGTAACTCTCAGGGGCCGGCAGAGGAAGAAAAAGATGCGAAAGAAGGACCATGCGGCCTCCCAAGCAAGTGTTCCATATTGTAATGGCTCTTGCGACTCATAAACTCAATAGGACAATCTTTAATTCTTTAAAGTCAAACTCGTGAACTATTATAGCATGTGCTGCATTACTAGTAGAGGATCATTAATGCCATGAGGTTTGCGCAACCTTCGTTCCTACCCGGAGGATTAAATTGTGAGTATTGACGCCTTGTTGCACCTGGTGCACCTGATGCAACCCGCAAACCCCGTAAATGCTAGAAGCGAACGCATGCTTCTCAAACAGACGAAACCAGAACTTTTCCCCCAGATAGAATGCAGCAGAAAATTGCTGCTTAGTCGAGCACCTCACCTAGACTTGCTCTGTCGATTCTCGAGCTATGTCCCTCAGGCCGATATGGAAACCCAGTTCTTACACATCCCGCTCATGAACTCATCCTCGTCGACACGTTCGAATGGTTCTTCCTCGTCTTTGCCGTACAGACCGGTGGATCCGTAAGGACCTTTTCGAGATAGAGACCGCGAGACAGGCCATGATCCACCAGATGCCAACTGAGCGAGCTGGAAGTCGCCGTGAACCGCATTCGCGTGCGGTTCGAATATGAAATCTGCGAAAAACAGCTCAACGAACAAATTCTTGGGTATGTGGCAGCTCGCTCGGGCGGCTACAAGACGGCGCGCTTGCTCAAGTAGTCGTTTGAGGGTCCACTGGGCCTCGTAGGTAGATCGACCGTCTTCGTGGCCACACAATCGAGCGGCCCGTACTTGCAGATCTCCAGACCAACGGACGTTTTCGTTGGCAAACAAAGCAGAGCACATCGATGGAACGGATAGCGAGACCGTCTCTAGTTTGGTGCAGTTTGTGAGGACCGTGCAAAGATGCTCGCTATCAGGAAGCGACCCGGGATGGGGATGGAAGAACCCGTCGTTAGATCGAGGGGAATGCTCCAGCACTTTCAAGGTCGACTGAGAGGACTTTACCACTGCCATCACACCTGAATCCATAAATTTAGCACATGACTAAGGCCAAACAATGAATGCATCAGAGATATCTTACCATCAATTGAGATTGTTGAGAGGCAGGTCAAATGGAATTCTTCTAGTCTTGTAGCCGTTCGAGCAATGGCTTGAAGATCCCGATCATCGATTGGCATAAATGTGGAATTGCCAAACACCTTGAGTCTGCGGAGCTGGCTGAAGTCCACTGAAGGAGAGTCCAATGGACGAAGGTCAAGCTGATTGTCCGACTCACCAGCTAGAGCAGCTGGCAGGTCAACCGCGAGGAGTTCCAGCGATCGCAGGGGGGCCCCGGTGCCAATAAGCAACTGCGCCCAGTCTTGGGCAGCGAGATGCCTCAGCGTTGTCCAGGGCAGACTGACAGCCGTTAGGTTTGTGCAGTTTCGAAGCGCAGAAGAAATTTTTAGGTCTGTCCCGTAGGTGTAAAAACCATCGAACCACATACGACGAATCTTCGACGCCACTTCGGGATAGTCGGCAAGTAGTTGAACTGTACGATTGAGGGATCCATAAGGATCCTTGTACACAGCCGTGCCCGACGGCTTTTCCACAAGCTCATACAGGCGGTAGGCTTCTACAACACTAGTCAGTCGCTGATCAATGCCAAAGGATATTTCTCTCGTACCTCGTCTCTGCGATAACTCGGCCCAGCGCTCGGCGCCCTTCCAACGACGGATGAAGACGTCTTTCAAGGCGTACTGCAGGCCCCATTCGTGCCAGTCCCAGCATACGTGGCGGATGGACGCAGTGGCGTCCCACCTCAGCAGCTCGGGAGGAACAGTTCCTCTAACGTAGCGCTGCAGAGCTGTCTTCTGTAGCGGCAGAGGAGCTTGGGACAAGCCGAAAGTAAAGGTGACGCCATCCCGCTGGTTGAGCTGGGCGGCAGTCTCGAGGATCTGTGCGAGTATTTCGTATGGGAAGGCGTTGATGTTCATTGAACGGAGGCAGTTATTAGTACTCTGTCTTCAATGAGTAGCAAACGGGGCTGGATTTGATGCCAGAGTGTGTGAGTAGTGTAGAGTTTGAGAGGAGCGCTCAAGAGCAGGCGGAAAAGGTAGAAGCCATATATAGGTAGCCATAGCGCAAGAGACCCAGTGCAGAGATTTGAGCCGTGGCGGACAAAGGAAGAAGCGGAGTGCTACGTGTTAGTCATCGGCAACGCGTATGGTGAATTGCTTGAGACTTGCAGGCCTCTGATTGGTGCAGCTCGACCACGATGATCATTCTGCCAGGGCGAGTGACAGCAGAGCAAGCGCAATTGCGTGTGTTGGGGCACGGCTTGGCTGGTAATGAGTTTCTTTGGGTCATAAAAATGCAAAAAGCCAAGCGCTAAGCGCCAAGCTTCCGATGTTGCAGACCACGTGCCGGCGAGAAAACGCTTCGAGGCGTGACGGCCCGCGCTCATCGGCTTCGTCGGCAGGGCTCCGTGCGGGGCTGCTGTTTCTCCAAGTCATAAGAATTGCGCCAGAGTCTCTGTCTTTGTCGACTCCAACAAGGTCCCATCGTGACACCAGCGTCGCATCTCCTCGGCGCGAGTGGCCAGCAGCCTTCAAAACACCACTCGCCTCAGCGATATCCTATATACGAAGGCAAAATGCTTAGACAGCCGCCAGCCTTCGCCCGCTCTTTGCCGAGCGCCCTCGCGGCCTCGTGAGCAGTCGGTCACTGGGCTTCACTTAACCTCTGGTCGCGTCGAACTGACCGCTGGATGGCATTGCGGAGCTTCCAAGCGCTGACCGAACGGATACCCAGCATCGCGACATCTCCAGCTCAGCGTGATCACACGCAGCAGCACTGCGCCTGGGACGATGCTTTCCTATTACTTTATACAATCCCAAATGGACCGTCCTCGACCATTCGCAGCAAAACTATTACCCCCAGAAAACTACCCCTCTCGACCGCTAATTAGCCTCGAAGACGTCACACATCGTGGTCCCCGTCTTTTCGCACATTAGCACTTACACCCCCGGATTGCGCTGCGGAGTCAGAGCCGGTGCTGGCCGTTGTTGGGGAAGTGGTGCTTTGCCATGACATGAAGCTTACCATGATTGGTCAGTATTCTAGTATATTTCTGCTCGTTCGCACTGTCACGCCTTCTGAGGTTAATTTTCGCTATGATCGGACTAATCATGTCAAAACTGTTTGGTCCTATGCAGGGAAAAGTCATGACTACTAAACGTACGAGACTGCACCTGCATCTGCAAGCGGCTCTAGAAGCAAACGTTGCCAGCAGCAAGTAACCGCTTCTATTCCAGCTTGTTGTTACCCTCATCTGGAGACTGCGTCTACGAAGCTGCTAGTCTATCAACTATTCCCTATCATTCTACGTAGACTTTTCGTCGCTCAAGCTCGTACAATCATCGCTTTCCGATTCGTCAGCTTTCCCGCACTTTCCCCCTTAATTGAGCTTGCTTTCAACTACTATATGGTCACTGGCCTCTGACTTGGCAGCTTCTTTGTATGTGCGCGCGTATATATCGACCTTGTCGAGTTTAGTCCAGCTGGGGTGAAAACTGAATGCTCAATTCATATGTTTTGAAAACACGAGAACAGACGGACAATTTTTCATGGTGAAGAAGCCCGAAGTCCAATTCGTGACGAGGAACAAACCAGGTTATGGTTACGCAGTTAAGAGATTATAATCCTCCAATGTCTCATTCCCATTTGGCTTCTTGAGAATCTGAGCATGAATTATTTGCTGCAATATCGACTTTATACCACACAAGAACCGCTATTCCGCAAAAATACCCGACTCAAATCCCTGCCAGTCCATCGAGTAATTCAAATTATAGATAAACACAAACCAGTCGCCAGTTTGATGATGAAAAGGGAAAATTTTGGTCATAACGCTTTCTACACCGGTATCCCTTGCTATAAGATGGCTGTTACAAGACATGCACAGAGCGCTCCTATGGAGTCTATCGACCTCGTAAATCAAGCCATTTTCACTTAGAAGAACATCCCTGAAGTCTAAAGATGGTATTTTCAGACGGCCACTGTTTTGCAAGAGCGCGGGATTGAAAATAAGCAACAAGAAAAGTTGGAGCTAAGAGAATATAAGGTTTACTTCATAGTCTTAATGTGCGTCGATGTCAGGAACAATAGAAAGTTCCAAGCCTTTATTTGAAATTAATTCTGGAATCTCAACTAAATTAAGTCTGCACTAAAAATCAAGGCAGATCTCTCCCGGGCATGTCACTTTCCATGTATTTCTGCTTGTAGAGTTCATTAAATTCAAATAAAGAAACACCCTAACTCTAATAATAACTTAACGTTTATGCTTTTATTATCTTAACAGGCTTCAACAAGATTAGAGATCTTAAATCTAGATTAAACAGTGCTAGGTTAAGAAGTATATAATGTTTACGGCAAGTAAAGGGCTTAAAAAAAGCCTAATATTTCTATGTAAATGCTATATTTTTTATAAATAGATATTTAGAGTTATAAGTATATAAATAGATAGATATATAGATAGATAGGTAGATAGGTAGATAGGTAGATAGATAGATAGGTAGATAGGTAGATAGGTAGATAGGTAGATAGGTAGATAGGTAGATAGGTAGATAGGTAGATAGGTAGGTAAGTAGGTAGATAGAGGAATAGATAGATATATTAGAATAAAAATAAGCAATATATTTCTTTAGGGCGCTGCTAATACCACACCCCCTAATTCCTACACGTACACCCCCTTTTCACTGCCCGTACACCCCTTCCCCCCTGTCGTTTCACCACCTTCTGATTGGCTCGGAGAGGTGCTCCGTAGCCTCCGATTCGCTCGCTTAACTTGCTTACTAATTCCAAATGCTCTCTCCAAATGCGGCCTTGATCACAATTAATTACATCCTCTTCTTTTCCGTCCACAATATAGCAGCGCATACAGCAGCGCATATAGCAGCGCATACAGCAGCGCCTATAGCAGCGCCTATAGCAGCGCATACAGCAGCGCATATGGCAGCGCATACGGCAGCGCATACGGCAGCGCATACGGCAGCGCATACGGCAGCGCATACGGCAGCGCATACAGCAGCACATACAGCAGCGCATACAGCAACGCATACAGCAACGCATACAGCAACACCTACGGCTACACCTACGGCTGCACCTGCAGCTAAAAAGCGCGGCCGGCCGCCTGGTGCAAAGGATAAGGTACCACGAAAAAAGGCACGAGCTCAGAGGCAAGATAGTACTCAGCCTACGCCTCAGCCTACGCCTCAGCCTCAGCCTCAGGCACAGAGGCTTAGCCGAGAGGAGCTTCTACGTGAGCTTGCGACGTATGATGAAGATATTGAGGCGGAAATTGACCGAGATATTGAGCAGGCGGAGGCGGTGATGCGAGGGGGCTAGGCTCGATGCAAAGGAGCCGTAATAAGGTGAGGTTTTGACAGGTTTAGCATACTTGTAGACACGTAGGCACTTCTAGAATAGAATTTCTATTCTATACTTAGACTTAGACTTAGACTTATACTACGTGAGCTCGTACGTGAGGCTACACGAATCGGTGAGGCTACACGAATCGGCGAGGCTGCACGCCGATTCATATAGCCGTACGTGAGCTCGTACGTGAGGCTATACAAATCGGCGAGGCTGCACGAATCGGAAAGGCTGCACGCCGATTCGTATAGCCCCGCGTATAGCATCACGTGATGTATAGGTGAATGCCCGGAGCTCCGGCGTAGTGCTCCGAGTATTAGAACAAGAATAAGCGATATATTTCTTTGTTCTATTATCTATGTATATATATATATACAAACCTATTTATAGATCCTTTGTTCCTTTGTTCTAACAAAGAACTTTTTGTCCTAATAAAGGACTCTTTGTCCTAATAAAGGACTTGTTGTATATAAAGAGGCTTTATCTTAATAAAGAGACGTTAACTCTTTATTATAACAAAGACTACGTTCTAATAAAGAACGACTGAGGTATATTAAGACCGCTGCCTCGCTCCTTAAACTTAATCATCTTAACCAGTTTATATACTGATTAGTAATACAACACTTATTTAAACCTTCACCATTTCACCACGTGCCTTATATACCTTTACACCGAGCCAATTACAAGGTGGTGAAACGACAGGGGGGGGGGGGGGGGGTGTACGCGCAGTGAAAAGGGGGTGTATGTAAAGGTATATGAGGCACGTGGTGAAATAGTGAAGGTTTAAATAAGTGTTGTATTACTAATTAGTATATAAACTGGTTAAGATAATTAAGTTTAAGGAGCGAGGCAGCGGTCTTAATATACCTTAGTTGTTCTTTATTAGAACGTAGTCTTTGTTGTAATAAAGAGTTAACGTCTCTTTATTAAGATAAAGCCTCTTTATATACAACAAGTCCTTTATTAGGACAAAGAGTCCTTTATTAGGACAAAAAGTTCTTTGTTAGAACAAAGGAACAAAGGATCTATAAATAGATTTGTATCTATGTATATACATAGATAATAGAACAAAGAAATATATCGCTTATTCTTGTTCTAATAGTCGATGCAGAGAGAGATAGAACAGAGTTGTATAGATAGATAGATAGAATTGTATTGCTTGAGTTCTTCTTTACATTGACGGCAGCGGAGTTGCATATATATACATACGTATAGCATTGTGAAACGTCCTCTAACGCTTCTGTAACGTTATCTCACTTTTCCTGTTCAAAACGTTTACTGTATCACGTTCAAACGTGCATAGTTTTAGTTGTTTTGAGAGCTTTATGCATAGGGATATAACGCTTATGCTATTATAATTCTTATAGTCTCTAATTAAGCCCTGGGAGTAGAAATTAAGTTGGCTTCTGCACTTGCCTTACTCTAAGTAATTGTTCTCTCTAGTTCTATAGAAGAGTGTGCGCAATAAGAGGGCATTAAATATATCGCAAGAATAGGACTTAGTGCCTTTATAGGCTATAACGCCATAATTTTTAGTAGTAAGCAACGTCCCTAGATGGTTATACTCCTAGCAAGTAGTTCTGCGGATTTGGCCACCTTTGCGCGCGTAACGAAGTTCTACTAGAGCGCAAACTGGAAGAATCTGCTCTTTTCAGATCCGCGGGGCAAATTCCTTTCGGCCCATTTCACATAGAAACTCACACGTGGATGCCTCACTATAATAAATATCAAACTGGCTAGCGTCACTCGGCCCTGGAATTAACGCTATAGGATCTAAGTCGTGTATGAATCGGATAGAACCCGTTGGTAATTAATGCCAGCTTGCCATCTCTGGGAATCCGGTAATGGTATAGCAGAAATGGCGGCACTCCAAAATCCTGCCAGCATTGACACTCGGCGTAAATCACTGATGCTCACGGGATAGTAATAGCAGCTTTCTTAGGAGGCATATACGGCTACATGGTCACGAAACAGTTCCGAAGGGCCGAACCTTACCAAACTGGTCGAAACTCGTCACGAAACACGCCGATCAAGGCAAGGTTGGTAGCTTTAGTGTGACTTCAACATACGGCAAGGGCGGCTGGAAACATGTTTCAAAGGAACAGCCTGATCAAAAAACATGACGCCTGAATGGTAGTATCACAGTGCTAGATTAGATATATATAATCTAGTGTCCAACTCTTAAAAGTTTCCATAGTGACCGTTACACTCTATCTATATACAATTTCCGGTTTTGTTGTGCAGCGCTATCAACTTCCTCGTAAAGTTTCCGCTTTTTCAACTTTGATCCGCACATCATTTCAGGGGATATAGCTGCCTGGCATATTCAAATGTTTCTGCTCCAGATGGCTTCTGCAATAGTCCGACCACTGCCAGGTATCAACTTGAGTAAGACACTCTGTTAGGCCTTCATCACCATGCGACTCCTAGATCATGTATTAGCCAGAGATTGCATTGTTTTCATAGAAGTACCTTGCACTAACAGCTCTTCTATTTGCAAGACTTTAACTTTTCAATATCTACTGATTGGCCGGGGGTATAATTATCATTACTCCACCTAACAAGTGCCCTACATGTTTCTTCGAGAAGTAGGAGTGGTCGTGTTGCTCGCATGCGCAAGCAAATATTTGCAGCATGTCAGCGTATACTTGCAGGCTTTCGTCCACGACTCCTCCTGTTGAAAGGTTAATTTGATGCTAGTGTCGTGTATCTTGTCTTTGTGGATCTCGTAAGGCATCCTTAATCCGTGGCCTGCATTGGCGGTTCCTTGAGTAGGAGGTTGTTCGACAAAGTCACCCAGCTGACGCAAGCATTCTAGAAACGCAATCATGGCGGCGTCGATTCGTCGGTGCAGGAAAAAGCCTAGACCCATCTCTCCAGTAGAATATAGATCGAGTTTCGTGACCTTTGGTTTGACCGGATGTGATGGGTCATTTCCAGAAGGGGATTGGGGGTATTCCAATTTCTCAATCTGAGATGAGGACCCCCTGGGGATTATTCGATAACCCTTGAACGAAAAGCCCAGCCGTTCAGCCACAGTGGCAAGCAGCAGACAAGTCTGACCCCAAGCGGCGTTGATTTCAGCCCACTCGACGAGCGGATTTGATAATCTCCCAAGACGTAACCCATTGATGGTGCCAAAGAATCCGTCGTGACCGATACAAAAGGTATCGTTGTACACATTTGTCCGCTGTAGGCGCTGCAATTGCTTGGCATCATGGTCGTACCGAGTGTTGAGCCGGTCTCGCTCGTCTTGAAAAGCAGACAGAGTTCCTGCAAACGAGTTTCGTTCATGCCAGAAACTCTGCTCCATCTGATCCAACTCTCGCGCTTCTACGTCTAAAGCGGCAATTTGGTTGTCTAGCAGAGCCTTCTCTCGCTCGAGGGTTTCAAGCCTTGCAAAGCTGGATGCCTCCTGCTTCCGAGCAGCCCCTAAAGTTTCCAGACCTTGCTGCCGTTCTTCATCGGAAGGAACGTCGGTATTTGCCCGCCGCAAATACTCCACATATGCGTCTCGCTCCTTGATAGCGCCTGCAAGGCTCTTTTGCAACCCCTCAACTAACAGGTCGGTGCATTCAACGCAGATAGGATGGTCAATGTCGGAGTGGGCAGAGAGTATTTCGTAGAGCCGGTTGGTGGTCTCGATCTCGGCGGCAAGCCTTGGAGCCGGCGAAGGTGCATTTGGATCGCGTGAGGCCTCGTCTGCTCCGTTCTCCCAAGTAGTGTTAGGCTTTTGAACGACTTGGGATTCGGTGAGCATGACGAATGACATGGCGGGGTTATCTTTGATGCCCATCTTGCTGGGCGATACAGATGCATTCTGAGCAAAGCGGCCAGGAGGGATCGCTCGTTTGAAGGTAGGTGCTCGTGCGTCATGCACAGCGCTCTGGTAGTCTTCCCGGCGCTGCTCTGGGAATGCAAGGCGTGTTTGGCGGAGGGGGGCCGTTGCGGAGGCGTGGTGCGATACTGGAACGATGGGGTCTATCGGGGTCAGTTGAAGCATCTCGCGGGCCAGGAAAGGAGAGGGGCGACCTGTTAAGAGCTTGAAAGCTGCCGGGTTCAGCTCCTCCACCGATGCATCAAGTCGAACGGGCGTTCTGCATTTCTGACAATACATCGTAGCGGAAGGAAGTGAGCAGCGGGGAGTGCAGGCGGGAATGCTTCCTACGGCGCATACAGCATGGCTGGGAGCACAGTAAGAAGCTGTGCAGATGACCGTTGGAGTGTCGTGCAGGTAAATCAGTTGATCATCGCGGGCCAAGGGCCGAGAGGTGAATCGGCAAGCCGAGTGCATGCACGGCCCAGCACTTCATTTGGCCGCAGGCTTGGCTCCTCCGAAGGAACAAACGCGCTCCACGCTCGTGTCTTGTTCACGAGCGCGACCCCACCCCGCCACCACCATGGAGCATCCGTCAAAACGGCCCCGGATCGCTATCCTGGAAGAGCCAGACTCTTCTTCCGATCTCAATCGTGACCGCTCCCGCAACGACAATCGGCTGAAAGGCGCCTTTGAGAATATCTTTCTAAAATACACAAAGGACTTCACCAATGTCGGCGACGAGATCGACTTGCAGACTGGCGAAATCGTTGTGAACAATGGCCACATCTCGCGGATGAGGAACGAGCAGGACGTGGGGGAGGGCGATGCTGGTGCCATCCTCAGAGCCTTCGCAGACGACATGGCCGGCACAATCAGCGACGGCGATGACATTGAGGAATCACAGAGTGGAGACATTGTAACTTCAGTAGGTTCCGATCATTCTCTTGCCTTTCGCGCCCAATGTTGCCTTGCGCAAGCTCTGACCTCAATACTAGGGACTCGATCAAGGTGATGAGATCGAAGGCGCGGCGACCTGTGACGACGATACCAATTCAGAGGCCATACAACCTACTGCTACCGGCGAAAGCAGTGCTCACAGCCGGATGCAAGGGCCGTCGCAGGCCGGACATACAACTCCCGTGGGACGACAACCGCCTGAAGCTGCAATCGAGGCATTATCACGGGGCATTGGGATGCAGATTGCGCAATTCATTACACAATGGCAGCCTAGTCCATCTGTCGTGAATTCTCTCTGGAGTGCTCCGCCGTTACCTCAACGTACACCACGTCGGCGTGATGCGTCTCAATCGCTTTCTCGTTCTCTACTACGTCGACCCGTCTCGCCGCAAACCGGGAGCATATGGGCCGTCCCAGATCCGACTACAGGAGTGCGCTCGATCCGGCCAGTCCCTCGACGTGTGGTGACAGAGCGCCGCTTTCTTCACAGAGACAATAGATCACCTCACGTGGCCAGTCATGATGAAGACCCAGAAGACGCTAGCGACGAGGAAGATGACGAGGAAGAGGGCAAGAAGCAGAATTTCCCAACCTACCTAGACAGGTCTCGCCAATACTCTGCGAACACATCTGCTAAGATGGCTCACAAAGGTCGGAAGTCTCGCTATCAGTTTTCCGATGAGGATAATGTTCTACTACTCGAGCTCAAGGAAGACCACCAATTCCCATGGGCGACAATTTGCTCATACTGGCCAGACCGGCCACCATGGATCGTCCAACACCACTATCACAAACACCTGAAGAATCAGAGCCCAGGCTCGGCAGAGTCAATCAGCAGGCCACCCGATCAAGTCGAAGACAAGTTGGCCGAGCCCGCAATTAGCAAAGAAAGATCCATCTCGAGAGCTTCAGAGACCTCTCAAGTTTCAACACCCGGGATAAGTAGGGATTTCAGCGTCCCTAGTTCTCCGCTTCAAATCCGCCAGCGCCCGTTCCGAATGTCACAATCGCAACGCCCTGTAGCTTCCCCACGGGATACCACAGTCGATTGTATTTCTCCCGAATTGGAGGACTGGAATATAGGTGCATCAGCAGATCAAGACACTGCGGACATATTGTCTGAGCAACTGGAATCATCGAATGAGAACGAGTCGCCAGAAATTCCGGACTCGCAGGAGTCGATAAAATCGCGTTCTTCTCCTAAGATCTTGCCTCACGTTGAGTCCGTGATTATTCGAAGGACTCCCTCTGCTAGTAAGAAGGTTGTGGGACCTAGCGACAGGAAGTCGATAAGCGGAAGGCTTTCAGGGCTTTCATCTGGCATATCCAACGCTAGAACCTCGCTAGGAGGATTCAATCCGCGGTTGATGGCAGCGACGCCACGGGCCGCAAAAACACCAATAGTGGAACAGGAATCGGATGAGGAGCTTGATGGCTCGCCTGCTTCAAATCTCGTCAGCATCAGTAGTATTATGGCCTCACCGAAGACGTCTAGCCATCGAAAACATTCGAGTGGTCGCTCTGGATCGAAACCAAAATACCGAAGAGTCTCGGATGTGCGAGTTCCGTCCAAGCCTCAGCATACACCGAGTCGAAGTTCCGGACTTAAACGCACTATCGACATGTACGAGGACGAGGACGATTCTCTTGACGAGTTGACACTGGTGTAGCTGTATGATTTAATCGAGTTGATAGGCTGAGAAGGGTTAATGTGTGTAGCGGTATTCTATTATCATCGACTAAAGTGACTTAGCGACGCAATACCTAGAACATCAAAAAAGAGAAAGATATCCTTCGACCTAATCTTGATGGCCCTGGTAGTTTTGCCCGTGACCCAAACTTTTCTGACCTACGCCTAAACAAGAGTGTAAGACAATATATACACGAAACAAAGCAAGCATTTAGAGCACCTTTCAAACCTTCAAAAATAATGCCATCCGTTTGCCCTCGCTACAACGGTCGTCCGCCGATGAAATCGCTCCATGGGCGCACCTCACTAGGGATTCCATCTCTGAGTGGTAGTTTCTCGCTCATACATTGAGCGAAGAGGACTGCAGTCTAGGTGTTTGTTAGCAAAGTAGGCCGGAGGAACAAACAGGTAGACTCACTTTAGGTTCCATGAACAGAGGCACTCCAAAATCGACTGCGTTCCTGCGCATCACATAGTCCTCATCCACGAGAGAGGCGCCACGGGTTCTGGCCAGATTGAACACTCCACGGACGTCGTACTTCTCGAACACTTCTCGGAGAGCTCTCTTATCTTCAACGGGGAACTCAATCACTTCCACCTTGACACTTCCGTCTTGGGAGGATTGCTCTAAGTGTTGCTTCACCTTCTGATTCGCGGCGTACAGTTTGTAGCCAAGGGGGTTGAGGTAGTCCACAATCTTGGCAAGCTCCGCTCTAGTAATGTCACCGCCAAACAGTAGGCCCTCTCCAGGCTGTGGAAGGCGGAAGTTCATGGTGGATTGCATAGCAGCCCAGTATGCCTCGACGAGGTTCTTTCCGAAGCAGGCCATCTCTCCTGTGCTAGCCATTTCAACACCAAGATACGGGTCTGCACCTGCAAGACGGGTCCAAGAGAATTGCGGCACTTTCGTCGCCAGATAATCCCTCTTCACTGCCATGAGGTCTACTGGTTCTGGAACTTCTCTTCCAACCAGAGCCTTTGTGGCAACGTCAATGAAATTTGTGCCGAGAACCTTGCTGACGAATGGGAACGACCTCGAAGCGCGCAGATTGCATTCAATGACCTTCAGCTTTGGTTCTCCACCTTCGGGGTCTGCTGCTTTGATGATTTGCATATTGAAAGGTCCTGTAATGCTCCATGCTTTGGCCACTTTGTCGGCGATCTCTTTGACCCTCTCTATAGTACGCTTGCTCAAGTTTGCGGGAGGTAGGACGAGTGTTGCGTCACCGGAGTGCACACCCGCGTTCTCCACATGCTCGCTCACGGCGTGGACCAGTACTTTTCCGGTCGACGCGACAGCATCGACATCAATCTCCTCAGCGCCTTCGATGTACTGGGTGATCACCACGGGATGGTCGGGAGAGACTTCGCTTGCAGCCAGCAACTTCTCCTTCAACTCATCTTCAGACCGGATCACCGTCATGGCAGCTCCAGAAAGAACGTAGCTTGGGCGAACAAGAACGGGGTATCCAACGGAATTGGCAAAAGCCTGCGCTTCTTCATATGACGTCAGCTCTTTCCAAGCGGGTTGGTCGACGCCTATCGAGTCGAGGATCTGCGAAAACTTGTGGCGGTCTTCGGCTTTGTCAATATCGTTGGGATCAGTTCCGAGGACTTTAGCCTTTCCAGTCTCTTGCAGTTTCAGAGCGATGTTCTGGGGCAGCTGACCACCGACAGATACGACGACTCCGCTAGCTGACTCGAGCTCATAGATGTCCATAACTCTTTCGTAGCTAAGTTCTTCGAAGTACAGTCTGTCGGCAACGTCGAAATCGGTCGAATAGGTTTCCGGATTATACGGGGAGGAAGTTAGCGCATGTCTGTGCAAGATTATAAAAGAAAAAAAGTTCAAAATCCTGAAAAAGTGGCACATTCATCAAACACTGTCTCGTAGGTACAGCTGTCTGCCACTGCTTGCAGTGCTTCAACAAGTTTCCACATAGCCCAAGATGAAGAGATTTTATCTCATTCAGATTCTTGAAACTGCATTGAAGCACCCCAAGCAGTCGCAGACAGGTGTACACACGAGACAGCTTGTTCTAGAATTAGAGTACCACCTTTTCCATGCCCCGCGTGCCATCCAAAAGGCATGAGCGTCCAGTCAACAAACAGAGTAGAAAGGTCTAACTTACATTAATCATGACTGTCTTCTTACCGAGCTTGTTTAGTGAAAGGGTGGCATTTACAGCGCACCAATCGAATTCCACGGAACTTCCGATGCGGTAAACTCCACTCCCAAGAACGAGAATTCCGTGGTCATCGAAGGTTACGTCGTGAGACGAGGCGTTGTATGTCGTGTATAGGTAGTTAGTGTCTGCAGGGAACTCGGCGGCCAGCGTATCAATTTTCTTGACCCAGGGCTTGATGCCAAACCCCTTTCTACGCGCTCGAACTTCGTCTTCGGTTGCATTGACGGCTTTGGCGATTTGTCGGTCCGAAAATCCAAGCTTCTTCGCCTTCAGGATGGCCTCCTTCTTCAGGCCATACAAGCTGCCTATGTCTTCGAGCTCGTGTGTACAATCTACAATGTTCTGCAGCTTATAGAGGAACCACTTGTCGATCTTAGTAAGGTCGTGAACCCTGTCTACAGTGTAGCCTTCGTGCATCAAAGCTTGACCAACAGCCAACCACCGGCGATCGGTAGGATTTTTCAATGAGTCATCCAAGTTCTCGAATTTGTCTCCCTGGAAGCCCAAGAACTTGGGATCAACCTGCCGGCAAGCTTTCTGGAAAGATTCTTCGAATGTTCTTCCAATTGCCATGACTTCTCCTACAGACTTCATGGAACTTCCGATGTCCCTCTTGACATGTTGAAACTTGGCTAGATCCCACCGAGGCATCTTGGTGACAACGTAGTCTAGACTAGGCTCAAAGTTTGCCGTGGTGGTTTTAGTAACAGCGTTGGGAAGCTCCGGTAGGGTGTGTCCGAGCCCAATTTTGGCGGCAGTGTAGGCGAGCGGATAGCCCGTGGCTTTGGAGGCAAGCGCGGAAGACCTTGATAAACGGGCGTTGACCTCGATGACCCTGTAGTCCAGCCCGTCAGGTTGTAGCGCGTACTGTACATTGCACTCGCCAACGACACCAAGATGGCGTACAATCTTGATTGCGGCAGAGCGGAGCATGTGGTACTCTTCATCGCTGAAAGTCTGACTTGGAGAAACGACAATGCTGTCACCGGTATGCACGCCGAGAGGGTCGAAGTTTTCCATGTTGCAGACAGTAATGCAGTTGTCGCTAGCATCACGGACAACCTCATACTCAGCCTCCTTCCATCCCTTCAGTGACTTTTCCACCAGGATTTGTGAGGAAAGTGTCAATGACCTGGCAGACAGATTCCTGAGTTCCCCAGCGTCGTTCGCAAACCCAGAACCCAGACCACCCAGGGCGTATGCTGCACGGACAATAATGGGATACCCGATCTTCTCTGCGGCGTCTAGCGCGTCGTCTACGGTGCCTACTGCAATGGATTCGGCAATTGGGATATCGATCTCACCAAGAGCTTTGGCGAACAGATCACGGTCTTCACTCGTTTCCAAGGTCTTGATGCTCGTCCCCAAGACTTTCACACCGTATTTCTCAAAGATGCCTTTTTTGTTCATGTTGACACCGAGATTGAGGGCGGTCTGACCACCAAAACTAAGGAATATGCCGTCTGGCCGCTCCTTCTGAATGACATACTCCACATACTCGGGCGTGACGGGAAGGTAATAGATTTCGTCGGCGAGAACGTGGGAGGTTTGGATGGTCGCGATGTTAGGGTTGATGAGGACGGAGCGGACACCGGCCTCCTTCAAAGCTTTGAGAGCTTGTGATCCTGGGACTAGTCAGAGGTACATTTCAGAGGCGTGGTTGTGTGAGACGTACCTGAATAGTCGAACTCGCCTGCCTGGCCAATGCTGAGGCCTCCGCTGCCGATCACGAGCACCTTGGAGACGTCAACGAGGTTACGAGCCCCCAGGATAGCACCGCTGTCGAGGTAAGCTTTGGCATTGGGAGCCTCCTGGGTAGCATTCGAGGCATTGAAGGAGGCGCGCTTGGAGAAAGCTCGCAGCTGTCGAGACACTGGTGTTGACTCATGGCCGGCTCTCAGAGCAGTGAGCGGAGACGGCGCGCTAAAGAAAGCACGGCATGCCGCTGGCGGAGCGGGACGATGGCATTGGCGAAGAAGAGCTGGCGTGCGGCGTACCAGGCGCCCGCAGACAGCCATTGCAGGCGTGGGAGTCCAGCAACGGGGGAGAGCAGAAGCAGAGCGGGCAAGCCTGCGGAGCTCAGCAGGGCCTCACGGGAGGCGGCGCGGGGTCGTCGAGGGCTCGGGGAGAGGGTATAGCAGCCCTAGGCCTGCAGTGTCCAGCAACAGCGAGCAATTGGTGTCGTGGAGCGGAGGGGGATCGCGGGGGGAGCTCAGATTAAATTTTAGAGGGACGTCAAGGTTCGCCTCGACTGGAGGGCCACGCTATCACGATAAGCAGCCGTCACGCTAGAAAGAATAAATAGCTCCGAGTACGGACGGTGACGCGCGCGGTGGACTCAATGGCAACTTGGAAGCTGGCAGCGAGGTTGGGGAGGGTGCTGGGACTGGCGGCGATGGGGGAGAGGGGAGAGTAAAGCGCACGCAATCCCATGGGTGGCTTGCTTTGAAGCGTTTAGTGACCGATGAAAATTTCAGTTTTCTTCCGCTGCCAGTCAAACCTTTGCAGGCCCTTTGCATGGCACAATGCCATCTGAGGCATGCCGGCGGGGCTTTTTCTCATCACGAGCACAACACCCACCAATCGCCGGCGACTATCGCGGAGCACTTCCACGGCGCGTCTACGGCTTCTAGATGCACTGGCAGGCTCCTTTGAGCATAAGGTGGCAGTCCATAAAAAAGTGCAAGGTCCCACTCTAAACTTAATACCTTGAGGTAAACGCTTTCTCTGGGTTAGGTACAGTCACCCACCACTGCTGGGGGTTCTGTAGTACATCGTTAACAGATTTGAAGCGATAGGTTTGGGGAGGGTGGTGAATCTCCAGGCCACCGCCGACGGTGTTGGATTGCCACATTATTCAACGGAGCCTGACTGCGATGACTACTCCCTCTCCTGCCTACGTACAAGACACACGCCCACTATTAACGTAATCCAACAAGTATATTAGTGTATAATAATTTGCGCTCCAACATGCCTCCCATGCCCCTGGATATCATCGCTGCAAATGCTTCAAAATGCGTCCTCGTTGGGACATGCCGTCACGTCGTGCCCTTCGTTCTCGCAGAGCGCACACCACTTGTCAGGATCCGCCACATTGCTGCCCTTGGCAGGCACCAGGCCCATTGCCAGCGGGCTCGGGAGTGGTGCAGACGGTGCATTGCCTGGAGTCTGCGCTTTCTTGGGCGTTAGGGGTGCCGGTTGCGCGCCCTCAGACGACATCGAGAGGTTCCTCAGGCCGTGGATGACTGCATCCTTGCCGTTGCGCTTCACACTGTCCGGCGTCCTCACAGCGCCGTCTGCATTGCCTCCCATAGCAGTGCAGTTCAGGATGTCGTGTCCACCCGTCTCGCAGATCTCACACCACAGCACACTTCCGTCCGCCGACGAGTGCGTGTCAGACTCCATCATTGGCTCCAGTAGCTGAGGAGGGTCATGGCGATGCTGTGGCGCGTCTCGCCAACTGATGGTCGTCCCTTTTGAATCGCGTCCAGAGGATCGTTTGTCTTGCACGGCAGTGCGCTCCGACGCTACATTGCTAATCAGGCTATCGCGCTGCTCTGATGCCCTGACCTCACTCCGTAGACGTTCAATCTCACGTTCCAACTCTTCCTCCCTAAACGCCTTGCGCTCCACCAGGCCCTGTAACTCCTCCTTCTCCCGCTCTAAGCGCTCTACTTTTGCATGAGTCCTTGCCACCTCTTCTGTGTCCTTCATGGGGATTGCTCCGTTGCGCTGCAGCGGCGAATGACCACGCTCTAAGCTTGGGCCTCCAAGGTCTGGTCCAGAGCTGAGGGAGTGAATGATGGCTTTCAAGCCCCTAATCTCGTCGTCTCGTTGCTCAACTTCACGCATGCCCCCAGGACTAACCGGGCCGTCCATTATCGCGCCCGCACCCTTCAAAGCCGCTGCTGCTTTCTCTCGCTCTCGTCGCAGCTCCGATCGGCCGCGCTCGACCTCGCCCCTTAGGAATTCTACTTCTCCTCGAGCTTCAGCTTCTCCACGGCGCGCATCTTCTAAGCCCTCTTCTAGCTCCTGTACAAGCTCCTCTAGCTGCTTAAGCTGCCTAGCAACACTCTCAACATCCTCGCCTCTCTCCTGAAGCTCCCGGATCTCGTGCATCAGGTCTTCGACTCTCTTCTCGTATACTCGCTCAGTTTCTGTGCTGGCCATTTCTAACGTGTCTATAGTGCTCCGGAAGTCAGCTCTGTGAGCGTCAAATTCTGTTGTTAGCATAGATATTTTCTCATTCTTCTCCCGAAGCACGGCGCGTAATTGCGCAATATCCTGATCTTCTTGGCCGCCCATGCGTGGCGACCGCATCTGGTCAGACAGTTCTGAGGGAAGCAGATTCTGCAGCTCCATGAGGCTAGATTCCATATCAGCCAGGGATGACGCTTGTTCCTTCAATTGCCGGTCGCGTTCCTCGAGCTTCTTCGCGAGCCGCTGGACCTCTTCCTCTGCATGGCCTGATGGGGGTCTTCCCCTAGGGTTGAAACTGGAAACAGAGCTATTATCGCTTGTGCGGCCTAGCCCGATAGGTGTAGTTTCGTTATCTTCGTCAATGACAGCATGCTGCCCGAGGCGAGAGTTGTTTCGAGAATACGGTCGGGAGGGAGGGCCTGGGGTCCGAGGCTTGGGCGAGCCTACCTTATGCGGGGCAGGACTTGAAGTAAATCTCGGGCCTCCGATCTGGCTCTTCGAAAAGGACCCTGGGCCTAGAGATGGCGCTCTGCCCGGCGTCGGGGCCAGGTTAGGCTGCTTACGAAAGGGCGATTCTGGCCTGGGAAGAGAGGGCCGGCCTTTCGGTTTGAAGACGGGGCTTGGAGCTCGCGCTCCGGGGCCCATGGATTGTGAGAATTTTGGCAGGGAGGGCGTGGGACTGTATTTATCCGATGCATCGTTTGTTGAAAGGTTGAAGTTCGTGAAGGCCGGCGTTGTAGGAGTTGGAGGAAAAGTGTCAGAGGAGTTCGTGGGTGATGCTCGTCTGGAGGCGCGGTGGTAGGGCAGAAATATTCCAGACCCCGGGATAGAGGTAGTAAAGTAACGCGTTCTACGAGGTGTCAGGGACCGTTCTAGAGTATATGTATAGCAAAGACAGAAAACGCTAGCCTCACCCGTCAACATCGCCGTCATTCTTCCCGCGCGATGCAAACTCTCTGCTCAGTTCGACACCGGCAAAGAGCCCCTTCTTGCCGCGAACGCTGCCGATGAACTTGATGGTTCCATGCATGCCCCCGGGCACGTCGACCGTGTCCCCGACTTCGAGGTCGTGTCCGTCCGCGCCGCCCATCTTGTTCGAAGGGGTAGTGGGACCGCCGTGGCCTCCCGTGAGAGCGTTCAAGCTTGCTTTCCGGGCGATCGCGGTACTGGCGGCGAGAGAGAGGTTCGGGGACGAGGACGCGACTGCGAGCGAGGGCCGCCCGCCCAGACGCCGAGGGGTATTAAGTGCCATATGTCGCGGGTAGTGTTTGTTATTAATCCCAGAGGCCGTGGGGTCTGTAGTGCCATATGTCGCGGGTCGTGTTTGTTGTTTAATGTTGAAAAGTCAAGGTGGGTGCTTGCTGCGACCCAAGGTTTCGGCTGCAGGGCACAGGGGCAGGGGCTAAATAATCAGATGGTCACTGCGCCAACGGCTGGGCCTATCGATTCCTAGCTGCAATTAAACTGGTATTCAATTTGCTGTGATTGGAAGAGAGGCATGTTGTTATGGATTTTGTGTACCTTTGGAGTTATGTTTCTACTACATGACATATTGCTGTTGAGTGTATGGATGCACGAGACTACTCAGAGCTGTTGATGTACGTCTCATCCAGGTTTCCCAAAACGGATCGAGGCACTTCAGACAGTGACAGTGAACTGTATACACAGATTACGCTCCGGTAGTGCTATGAGTTACGAAGACGAGCCTTCAGTAAGACGAAAGGTCAGCTAGTCAAATGGTAGTGAAGTAAGCTAGTCACCTACACCCAGCAAGACTTTGGATGCTTCTCGATATGTACAGAATGTTACTCTACGTTGTACAGCCTAGAGCGGACATAGAGTTAGTGGAAGACGGAAGTGTCTTTGAGGGGGCTACTTGGGTGCTTGCTCTCAATCCCTCCCCTTGTAACGCACCCATGGGTGTTCCTACAATGGGAGTGGAGCATCGTAGCCAAGGTAACGAGGTCTGGAGTAAATATCCTAGCGATCATATAACCTAGCCATGAATGGACAGAGCATAGATCTCAAGTCACAAGGGTATCCGGGATTATTAAGACCACCTGACTGCAGTCAAGCTTCATATCAATACGAGGCTTCTCAGCGCCTAATAAAACGAGGATTCGCTCGATCCCGGCAATCCCGTTCGTAACAGCGCCTGAAGAGCCTAAGCGCATCGGCCTAGAACCCGCAAGCACATACCTCTCTGCGCCTTCGTCACGGTCCTTCTCCCCACCTCAACGGGATCAAAACAGTGACCAACCTCGGCACGGCTAAGCTGTTCCCAGCTCAGATCTCGCCCACCCATAAACGCATCCTCTGCACCCCGGATCTTCCACGATGCCATTGCAGCTGTCGCAACAATGGCCGGTGTCATTCGTCAACCCATTGATGTTGCCTCGCTAGAGCGCTATATTCGCGCAAACGTCTCAGAAATTCAGGTGCCCATTGATGTCAAGCAGGTACCAGAATACATATTCCTCGTGCCTTCGCAGACTCTCACTGACATCATGTTTGCAGTTTGGTTATGGACAGTCGAACCCCACCTACCAGCTGACAGACAAAGCTGGCTACAAATATGTCATGCGGAAGAAGCCCCCGGGGCAGCTCCTCTCCAAGACGGCACACAAAGTGGAGCGCGAATACCGGATAATACACGCCCTCGAAAACACGGACGTTCCAGTACCGCGAGCTTTGTGCCTTTGCGAGGATGACAGCGTGGTAGGCACGCCTTTCTACATCATGACGTTTTTGGATGGGAGGATATTCGAAGACCCCGCCATTCCAGGCGTCACGCCTGAGGAACGGACAAAAATGTAGGTTGGGAACAAGAGAATTTCCCGGGAGGTGCTAAATCAGCTTCAGGTGGCAATCTGCTACAGTCTCACTCGCGAAGTTTCACAGCGTCTCTCCAAAAAGCGTAGGGTTGGAGAGCTTCGGCAAGCCAAGCGGCTTCTACAACCGGCAAATCGCGACTTTCAAAACGATTTCCGACGCCCAAGCTAAGGCTGTGGATGTTGAGACGAAGATACCCGTCGGAAAGATCCCGCATCAAGATGATATGGTTGCATTCTTTAGCGACCCGAAAACGCAGCCCAAAGATCGTAGTACATTCGTCCATGGCGACTATAAAATTGACAATGTTGTGTTTCACAAGACAGAGCCGCGGGTTATCGGTATCCTAGAGTGAGTGCACCGTCGCCTATTGGACTTTTACATGTTGACGTAGTGGCGCAAAGCTGGGAAATGTCGACTGTTGGCCACCCTCTCTCTGACTTGGTTAATCTCCTCACTCCATTCCTGACTGCACGGTCGGAGAAGGCTCGTAGCGTGGGCCGGGGCAGCGAAGACTTCCTGCCGGGAGCCATTGAAGGGCTTCCTACCCGGGACCAAGTTATTGAGTGGTATAGAGAGAGTGCTGGATGGGACCCTAAGCCGGAGATGACATGGGGTGATGCTTTCGGGATATATAGGAGCTCGATCATCATGCAAGGTATAGCCGCACGATACGCCTTGAGGCAAGCGAGCAGCGAGAAGGCAAAGGATTACGCGGCTCAGATGAAACCGTTCGCCGAGGTCTCATGGGACTTGGTGCAGGAATATAAGAAAGCGCACGAGAGAGCGAGGCTGTAGTTTCGTCCATTTGAGTATGAAATCTAGATGAGGATCATTTGCCATCACCTTTTGAGTTGACACCCTTGTCTTCACCTAAACCCTTGTGGTGCATGACTTTTCGTCTAATACGCCTGGACGTATAACCAAGAGTTACCTTTTAACTCTTGTCCTGGCTTGCAGAAAACCGTATTACCAAAGCGGCATCCGTAATATTAAGGCTTCAGTGATCCCTCTCTCAATCTGCTTCGTTCGACTATGACCGCACGGGTGTTCTGATCACCGCTGTTCCCTATCGTTGCCGCCAATGCGTTCCAAAGCCTATATTAAAGTCAACAACGAAAGACATGTGGGAGCTTGCGGGATTGGGTCTACCTCGAGCATGACAACAGAGTTCCCTCTAATGACCTAAGAAGGAAAAATTTAGCTTGAGTCGAATACAATAAGAGCAACCATTGTGTGCAACTTACCACCATACCGATTCTTACTTTCTCCCCGCCCTCCTTCTCTTCGACGGCTTCGTCCAGAACTATGTTGAGGAAGACCTAGGCGCAAGAGTGTTAGAACTACCGCAAACCTTTCCTTTTTCGCTCCAACACATTTTGAAAGCATCTATCACGTACATCGTAGCCGCGCAACACGCCTATGACCTTCCGGCTGCCGTTTAGTTGGACGAAGAGACGCTTGTCGAGGTACTGCGCACTCAGTTAGTATCAAGTTCTGCAGAATTTACAACACCCTTACGTACTTTCTTTAGCTCTGGCTGAGCTTGCGGCATCTTGGAAGATTGGATCTGCTTAGATGAGGTGTTGTGAAAGTAGTGAAGTTGCAACGTCGAAGTAAGTGAACTTGGTGGATGTTGACTTTCGCGCACAGCCCGGAGAAAAACCGGCGCACGAGGCAGTTCGTGGTCTGTGCGGTGGAGAGCCACCTGCCGCAAGGTGCAAGCAGACAGCAACTCCACGACTTCACTTCCGCAACCATGAAGAAATCATTTGCTGCGCGGAGGATACCCCGGAAGATTGTCCAAGATGAGGACGTCGAAGAAGATGGAAATCCTGCAAGCTCGCCCGCCTCTGAGGTAGTGAAACGTCCTCTTATATCTACCAAGCCAAAGAAGCGCTCCTCCCTCCGACTTTCATTTGGCCCAGGCGAAAGTGAGGGCGATGGTGGCAACGCCGAAGGCAGCCCCTCAGTATTCACTCCAAAGAAATCAAATCTTAGTCGACTCGCCATCGAAAAGAATGCCGAACGTAAATCGCTGTCTTCTAGCCTGTCCTCTGAACTACGCCAAGTACGGCCAGGGATTTTCGAAGACCAGCCGACTTATAGCAAAGACTACCTAGCCGAACTGAGGAACTCGACACCATCTACTCCAAAGACAGACGAAAGCTCATCCAAGGCGATTGACATTGCTTCGAAGTTCGGACCCCTCGCGAGCCTTATAGGTGATGGAGAATCTCTCATTCCTAGTGAAGCAGAAATCCGGGAGAAAAAGGAGCGTCGTGCACGCTTAGCTAAGGAGCAAGGTGACTTCATATCCCTTGACGATGATGGGTTTGAGGACGACCACATTTCGGACGCATCCGACGTGCCAAGGGAGATCACCTTACGTCCAAAAGAGAAATACTCCGAGTCGCGCCTCATACGAGAGGATGAAGACATAGCTGAAGGCTTCGATGAATTCGTCGAAGATGGCAAGATATCACTGGGCCGGAAAGCTGAACGAGAAGCCGAGAAGAAGCGACGTGCAGCCATGGCGGACCTGATTGCAATGGCAGAGGGCGGCTCTTCTAACGACGACTCTGATGACTCCGAGGCGGACCGCAAAGCCGCTTACGACGCTGCGCAAACACGAGCAGGAACTTATGCAAAGAAGGATCCAGAGCTGCAAGACGCAGGACTCAAGACCCCTCCCCGGATCACGCCGTTGCCAGAGCTTGATGCTGTAGTTGCACGATTGCAGGCTGCTCTTAAGAGCATGCAGGACATCCAAGCTAGAAAGCTAAAGAGGATGGAAAATCTTAGGGCTGAGAAGGTGGATATTGCGGAACGAGAGAACTGGATCCAGGGGCAATTGAAAGAGACTGGGGAACGCTACGAGAAACTGAGAATTGAAGCGGGCATCGGCGGCGCTCCAGCCACACCTATTAGCGGATCCGAGGGCACCAAATTGATTGTCGGTAGAGGATTAGAGAGCTTGGGGGCGACACCAATAGCTGCAGCGAGTGATTTGAGTGACGCTTGATGCCGGATTCCTGAAAATGCGGCGAAACACAAATCAGACTATGAGCGAGATAATACCCTCCCGCTCATCCCACACTCCATCTAGGTGCTGAGCGTATACCCCATGAACCTCGAGGAGGCTCAAAGAATCTTAGATTATGGACGGAAAGGCGCGTCATTCTCTAGATAGCGGAATATCGAGACTCTCAGTGTGCTATGGATACCTGAGTGCAAACGAACCTCACATATTGTAAAGCAGTAAGATGTTACGACCTGTCTTAGGACCTGGTGCATTGACCTTGGAAGAAATGGGCACCATACATAATAGAAAGAGAAAGATCAAGAAACTCAATTAGTTGAGCAGAACTCCGAATAACGATATCAGATACTATGCTTTAACAGCTTTGAGTATAATATTTCCTCGGGCTAAGAGGTATTTCCTTGGCAAATAGATTACTCCACGAGCACTACTTTTTAACTCCTCATTTACAATCCAATGTACAGTATTTTACAATGAACGAGCCGCTTTCAGAGAGCTCTGGTGGTCTGCGGAAGATGTTCTTTCATGTTTTGAAGAGCATGCAAGAAGCTCATTCTCCCTGATATTGCTTTGCCTGAGACCCAAAGGCCAGAGCGACCCCCTCGGATTGCCAGCTAGAAAGAATGGCTCATGTATTCTCATCAATCTCTGTCCACCGCGCCTGAACCTTCTCGCGCCGTCTCTGAGCCTCCTCCCTGTTCAATCTTGTCCGCTCGAGGCGCTGGGCTCGCAGGCACATGTTGACCTGATGTTTCGCGTCGTTGCACATTCCAATGGCCTTGTAGAGGAAGCCGCGAGCGTGGCATTCGTCGAGGGCGTTCATCACCTCCTCGCAGTCTGGGACAAGTCAGTCAACGTTGCTCGCCACTGCGGGCCATGCGGCGCGGGGTAGGGGAGAAACAAGAAGCCAGACATACTCTTGTTTTGGCTGGTATGTAGATGGGGATGCATGGCGCCTGCCTGTGCTCTGGCTGAGCGGCTGAACAGGACTGTCGAGGATTGTTCGATGGGTTGTCGTCGAAGCAAAGCCGCGGTGGTCTTCCGCTTTCAAAGATGCCGGTGCACGGACCCTTGCTAAATGTCACGCAAGTCCTAAATTTGAAGTGACGACCATCTGCCTATAGCAACCTCACGACCCCAACCTTCCTCTCCAACAATAAATTTGTGCTTTGGTCATGGCTCAGTCACAGCCGTCTGTGAAGAAGCAACAGGGTGAGTACTTAGATCCGTATTTCTTGCGTAGACGGGTTAGGCATATCTGATCATGACTAGAGCTTCAACTCCAATATTCAAATTACAAGAACACCCTCCAGCAGATTGCTCAGAAGATCGGTGACGTAGAGCAAGAGACTGAGGAGCACAAGTAAGACTCATATCAAATTCGTAAATCATGACTAGTGCGAATGTCACCCACTGCTCCTTCTCCACGCAGCATAGTTTCAATCTCTTACACATTCCTTCACCTACTTTCTCACCGCTTGGTTTTGTCTCGTCTACATCTCTGGAATACCGCTAATGACGTCCTAGGCTCGTGCTTGAGACGTTAGAGTTGCTTCCACAAAACCGAAAGTGCTTCCGCATGATTAATGGCGTCTTGGTGGAAAGGACGGTGAAGGACGTGGCCCCTGCCTTGAAGACTAATTCCGAGGGTCTGAAGAAGGTGTTGGATGATCTGCTCAAGCAGTACAAGTCCAAGCAAGACGAGATGGAGAAGTGGAAGGTACTGCATTCACCCGGCATTAAACTTGCTTGAGATGCTTCGTATAGATTCGCAGGATGGTTACTGACAGTATCCACAGAAGAAGAACAATATCCAAGTAGTCCAGCAGTAGGCGAGCTCTCAGGGACGCTCACGCTCGCGGGGTTTGATACATGCTCTCTGCTTCTCAGCACATGGAGGCAGAACTGTTTGCAACGAGGCACGGTCAGCTTGACTAAAGGGTTAAAGGCAGCTTGCCCGCCGCCTTCTAGACTCAAAAAGAGGCCTTTCCCCCTGCGATAGAGCATTCAAGCGAGATGTGGTGAGTGAGAGTGCCTAGCAACAAGGTTACTTGCCCTCCCATGCCGTTGCAATGCTCATATTCGTACGTAGATGGACTAGGCCAAACATCACAATATCAGGAAGCGTTCAAGCTATCTGTATCGGTGCTTTGCCTCGCTGGATCATCACGAGAGTTTCAATGCCAAAAGCAGTTCGAAAAGAAGTAAAGACAATAGTTCTATATAGTGTGAATGCTTTTTCAGCTCAACACCATATTCATATATCGTGCAACGCAACGGAGAGCTAACAGACCGAATCTGGTCCCACAATACCCAAATGGCATCATGAAACTGCCAAATTTTGACCCTGGCTGGTAGACCGTGGTGATAGCCTAGCTGTGGTGATGTTTCCTCGGTTCCAGTGAACTACTCCTCGCCCTGCACCCACCTTCGCCAACATACCGTGATCATGCGATGTTCGACAAGGGAATGACAGCCACGATCCTTATCTGGCATGCCAGTGCATGCAGCGAAACCGGTGGCCATCTGTCGTTGCGCTAGGCCAGACATGCAGCTGATGCGCTGTTCGTAGGCCAGTAGTGAGCTGGCCATGACAGTCGCCATGGATGTTGGGCAGGGACTCGGCAGACGTGGGCGCTGGTTTGCTGGCGACTACTGGAGACGTCAGGGCGTTTTCATGTCGTCAGGGCGTATTCATGTCGTCAGCCAGCATTTGAGCCCGCGAACTGCTGCGTGCTGGCATGGTCGCGCAGGGGCTCGTCACAAGGCTGAAGTTTGTGGGGCGTGGGGCTGCAGGCCCAGCGATGCGTTGGCCGTGGATCGCCGCCAGAGAGACTCGCGCTCTCCGCAGCGGTGGACATGCTTCTCATAGGACATCCAGCGGCGCGGGCGGTGCGGCAGGGCATCGCAGGTGAGTGGATGCCGCGACGTCCATCGTGGAGAGGGCGAGCTGCTGCTGCTGTTGCGTATATCGAGGCTCCATAACATGCTCCCGGCCAGGATCCCGCTGCTTCGGCTCGTGCTGGCCTCGGGACGGCTCGTGGAGAACGGCTTCTGCGCGTCGTCCACGGGGCGAGCAGGCGACAGCACACAGTTCTCGTGGACGGCGTCAGGCCGGCATGCACTGACAGCTCGAGCTGCATGCGGAGCTTTCCCTGTCTCGAGCCGGGGCGGGGCCTCAGCGCGCGGGGGCAGATGACGCTGTCCATGCTGGATGCGGCTGAGTTCAGGGAGGTTGACGATGCGGAGGCGACGTCTGAGGGCTGAATCGCGCTCACAAATAATCCGCGATCGCAGGCCAATGGGCAAAAAGATACTGCAGAAATGCGAAAAGGGCTCAAAAGACGCGTAGGGCGCCGAATCACGAACGAGTGGCAGCGCGCAGCCAGGGGCAGGCCGGGGTGCGAAGGAGCCGTGATGGAGGCTTGCTGCAGCCCTCCGCATGTCGTCGTCCGGCTTCCTCTGGTGTATCTGCAGGCGCATTGGCACTCCCGCGGCCGGTCTCGACGCAATAGCGATGGCAGCGTTCGATGCGACTGAGCCCCCGAGCGGCCATCGTACGCCCATGACGCCCGCCTGGCAACCGTGCCGGGCTCGACAGGACAGGCTTGACGGGCGCCGTCATCGTCGAAGCACCCGTCGGCCCGTGCTGTGCGGGCCAGTCGGCCGGCATTGGTGGTGTGGGCTGCTGTTGTTGCTCGGCCGTTTGGCAGCAAGCTGGAGAGCTCCACCACGGTCGATCACTCTTGCGTCTATCTCGCATCCTCTTCTGCACCTCAACCGCGTTACCCACAATCACGACCACCGCAACCAACCCCACGTCCCGACGCCCGCCGCACCTCGCGCCCTGCCTTGCGCCCCAGGCCCCTCGCCGTCGCCGTCGCCGTCGCCGCCACGGTCGCCGTCACTAACCATCTCCGTCGCTGTCACTAACCATCTGTCGCCAGCGCCCGCCAGTGCTCGCCCCGCCGGTGCCATCGCCGCCTCGTACGGGACCCTCTTCTTTATTCTGCCCGCCCTGCCATTCACGTAGTAACGCGTCACAGGCACACGGCCGCAGCTGCAGGCTCCCCTTGCGCGCCATCCGCCTGCAGACGACTGAGGCTTCTGCAGCGCCCGGCTAGCTGCCTCCGCGACCCCGTCCGCTGCTAGCAGTTACACAGTCTCCAGGTTGCATTTCCGGCCAGCTCAATCCTCCCTCTCGCTGACGTGTTTTGCCACGCCTCCAGCGCCAGCTCACACACCGAGCCCAAGCCGCCTGCAGCTGGCCGAATAAACATGTCGGACACTCCCCCGAAAAAGCTCGACGTGGAACCTGGAGTCCAGTCGGCTGACGATTCGGAACCTCCTATGGACCGTGAACCTCAGGATACACAAGCGCCGGGACTCGGGTACGAATTCGAAGTCAAGGAACAGGACAGATGGCTGCCCATCGCAAATGGTTGGTCTTTTATGCGCTCTCCCCTCTTCTGATTTGCGCGCTGTTTTCACCACCTGCATGTCGACGAATGCTATGACTGGCGCTGCGAACACCGCACATCCTCCCCAGTCGCGCGTCTCAGTCGTCAAAACACCGAATCACCAAGCCTCGAGCGCCAGTCTGATCTGCGGTGCCTGAAAAACTGTCGTCCTGCAGCCAGCGCCATGTCTGCAACCCCCCCACTGTCTTCTTCCTCGCCGCCACAGCCAGGGGCAACCCCCAGCAGTTCACATGCGTCAGATGCTAACATCCGCAACTTTGCTCCAGTCGCCCGAATCATGAAGATGGCCCTCCCCGAGAACGCGAAGATTGCCAAAGAAGCCAAAGAGTGCATGCAGGAATGCGTCAGCGAGTTCATATCCTTCATCACCAGCGAAGGTGTGTCTCCATGCCCATTTGAGCCCCCAATGGCAACTGACATGGCCCGCAGCTTCGGAGAAGTGTCAGCAGGAGAAGCGCAAGACGGTCAATGGCGAGGACATTCTGTTCGCCATGACCTCGCTCGGCTTCGAAAACTACGCCGAGGCGTTGAAGATATATCTGTCCCGCTACCGAGAAGTAAGCTGCCCACTTTCCTTTCCCCCTCCCCCCATTTCGTTTGTTGCCTCAAACTGGCCAAGACGAATATCTGAACTATTGGTATTGATTGGTGGCACGAGACCCTCCTCGCAACCCAGAACAAGCCACCCGGTGCCGGTGTCTTCAACGCAGGTGGGGCCGGTGGGGCCAACAGCGCAGGTACAAATGCCTCCTCCGCCTCTGCCTACAGCCAACCGGAGAACTCCCACAACAATGTTCTAAGCGGCGACGCCGAAATGGGAGACCAAGACAGCACTGCGTTCGGGTACACCGTCCACAACGGAAACGGATCCGCCGAGTACTAGACGACGCGCCGCGGGAACAGGAAAGCCAGGACGACAGATCGGGTCAGCACGCCAGGCTTGACTTTCTGCGGCATCTGGGCCACCGCAAGAGACGGCGACTGCGCGCAAGATCGGTGCGAGGCCGCAGGAAACTTCAAGAGACCGTTCGATGGGTATGGGAGGAGATGGCCTATTATCAAACTGTACGATTTACTGGTTGAGGGTACGATTGGCATGTGTCGACTTTGAGGGTATTGTGGAGACTTCGCCGGTGTGCGCGATCTCGGGTCCTCTGCTCAAAAATAGTCAATGGTGGCGTTTACCTTTTCAAAGTGCCGGAGGAAGGGACTTCGGTAGGCCGTGGCTGCGGCCAGGAATGGTGTTTCGGAAATGCTGCGGCACACCGTTTTGCTTTCTCCGTATTAGACATTCTGTTTGCTCACGCAACATCCTTGCGCAGATTACACTCATCAGCCATTTGCGCCCAGCTAACATTGAGCGTTGTAATAAGTGATTGTGCCCGGATAGTGTTTTGGAATAAATTGCAGGTTTTGGACCGATCTCCTCTTAATGCGAGTGGAGTTGGTAAATAGAGGAGTATCTATTTCATGACCATCTACGAGGAAGAGCCTGAACGCTTTCGAACTCATCGCCCCTTTCTCCTAGCTATTAGTTCACTGAGCGGGATATTGTCTTCCTCGTCGTAGAATTCCGCATCCTCGTCTACGCCAAAATCACGTAGTCTCTCACCCTCTGAGTTTCTCCATCCTTCTTCTCCGCTATCGCTCGTCTGGTCGTCGCCAGCTGCATCAGAACTCCATTCTGATGGTTCCTGAAGGGCCTCCAGGCGCTTCACGTATGGCTTTCGACGTTGAACCTGGTCTTCTGGACGCTGCCAGCGCAGCATATCAGCTTCCTGTCGCAATTTGAAGGCTTTCTTGCTCTCTTCAGCTGAATAGTCAGGTCCGTCTTGAGTGAAACCAGATCCATGACGAGGTGCAGGTATTGACTTGCACTGGAGCCGATCTGGGTCAGGCGGAGGCCAGGAGATGGAAGGATCTAGAGAATTTAGTTAGTGTAGTTGCACTGACTCTGAAGACTGGGATATGTAACCTTCAAATCCGTTCTCTTCAAATGTGAGCCCGCTCTCGATTGACGGAGAAGCTGAGAGTGGCCAGAACCAAGCAAGTATCTAGTAATGTGTCAGCTGCTATCTCTCTTGGTGGTTCCTATACATTGCCTTACGTTGCCTGTCCCCATGCCCTGTTTAGTGTTCGCCCAGATACCTATGTCATATGGAAATTCCTGTCTCTTTATTCTGACTCTAATTCCATCCGGTCCATCCAAGAAGCCTCCAAAGTGCCTCGCACGTCGAACCAGAGTGCTATGTCGCTCGATTTCCCATCCTTCGATGGTGGTAGTGTTCACCGTCAGACACCAGATATTCCGGATCAGCAAGATTGTTAACACAAACAATGTCAACGAATTGACGCTTATCAGCAAAAAGAGATGGACGTATTGCACGATAGTGGGGCCGAAGTACTGCTCGGGAAATTAGCATTACCGTCTATGGATTACACGACATAGGAGTCGTACACTCGGAAGATCTTTGTTACCCCATATGACGGCGCATCTAATATACAGAAAGTATTCAAGGTACGACATGGTCGCGACTGCGTAAAAGAGGAAGCGTATGAAATGTGGGAATGTGACATGCGAGACACAATTTGCCGTCCATGGGCAGTGGTGGTCCATTTTTGGTATGCATCTATGGATCCGATAAGATTAAAATCATTGCCTGATAGACTCAATTAAAAAACAAGATTTTACCTTTTGCAAACTTTGCAGTGATGTGCTCTCGGGGGCTTTACCGCTTCGCACCTCCGACACCACCGCTGTCTAGACTTGGAGGCAAGCTTCTGAGAGATGCCTGTTGAATCATCCTCGTGTTGATCCACCGAGGGTATTTGGCCCGCATTGGTCCGGACGGATCGAATATAACTAAGCAGCAAGCAGAAGACGAGGACATTGAAAATGATGATTTGTTTGCGTTCCAAGGGATGTGGCTCAAGATATAAAAGGAGTATTTGGGAGGAGTATGCAAGAAAAGTGATGAGAGAAAGTACACCTAGTACAGCGAGAGATGCTACCGGCGGCAACAGCATAGCTGTAGGGTCGAGCGAGCCTTCAAATAGACAAATTCTAAGGAAAAGGATCACGGGGATAGAGGCTTGGCGTGAGCGGAAGCTGAGTCGCCGCCTAGGAAGCTAAAGACCTCTGCTACACGATACTCTTGAACATACCGCTGTTGATTAGCTGTTCGGAAGGCAGGCGTTGGACGAGATGATGGAGTCGACGTAGGGTCTTGTTGAAGGCCAGAGGTCGTCGTATTTGGAACGAGAACAGAATAGAACAGGGGCACGCACGGACTATGATTTTCAACCAACATCACCCATCAACCTCCGAGGACAACAAACCACTAGACTATCGACCTCATCTCCAAAATCTTTTGACGAGATGGACTGATGGATGTACTTCTTTTGCCTCCTGGACAATCCGCTAAACTTATCAGCTATGGGTGTTTCTGGGGCCCTGCTAGTTTCAATCATTCCGGCCTTGATTCTCATCCACCTCTACTATTCCCCATACACCAAGGTTGAGGAGTCATTTAATATACAAGCAACCCATGACATCTTGACACATGGAATACCAAGCCAAGACTATTCACGCGCTCTGGCAGTCAATTTTGATCATGTTTCATATCCTGGATCTGTTCCTAGGACGTTCGTTGGGGCTCTCTTGTTAGCAGGCTTGTCTAGGCCTTGGATAGCCTTCCTGAGCCACCCCTATCAAGTTCAACTCCTTGGTGAGACTCCTATATCACACGCTTATGCTGTCTAATCTAATCTTTACCAGTTCGATCTCTTCTTGGTTTGGTCAATGCAACGTCGTTGATCCTACTCGGAATAGCAGTGCAAAAGGCATTCGGAAGACCTGCGCGGATCTGGTTCACTTTATTGCAAGCGAGTCAGTTCCACGTTATTTACTACGCGTCTCGCACTTTACCAAACATGTTCGCTTTTGCATTGAGTGAGTACCTGCCTACTTTTTCCGAGAGTTTTCCACTGACGTTATATCGTCAGGCACTCTGGCGCTGAGAAGCCTCCTTTTGGCGGGCTCATATCCCGAAATGGACAAAGCGGCTTCTAAACATTACCGGCTATCTCTATATCTTCTAACAGTTGCTGGTATTATATTCCGCTCCGAGCTTGCCATCCTCCTTGCATGCACAACTCTTTACCTACTTTCCCGGGGTAAAATCTCTATTACAGGCACAATTCTCCCTGCAGGTGTAGGCGGCGTAGCTATTGGCCTCTTGAGTACTATTTCAATCGACTCATTCTTCTGGCAAACGTTCCCCCTCTGGCCCGAATGGACGGGATTCTACTACAATACGATCCAGGGCCATTCCGCCGCTTGGGGAACATCGCCGTGGTACTTCTACGTTTTGAACGCTCTTCCCCGCCTGCTCATCAATCCTATGACCTACATCATACTCATACCGCTGGCGATAATCAACCCTACCTCTCGGCAGCATAGTATCGATATAACCATCCCGTCAACAGGATTCGTCGTCCTGTACAGCTTCCTCCCTCATAAAGAGTGGCGATTCATCATCTACGTCATTCCAGGACTAACAGCCGTTGCCGCTGCCGGCTCTTCATGGATATGGACTCGGCGGGCTAAAGCAACGCTCTATCGCCTACTGAGTCTCGGTCTTGTGATTTCGGTCGTGGCTTCCTTTGTAATTTCGACCGCTTTACTTGCTGTATCAAGTCTGAACTATCCTGGCGGCGCTGCCCTCACTAAATTACACGAGATAGCTGGTCGCGGAAATAACGGGTCCCGGATACATGTCGATAACTTGTCTTGCCAGACTGGAGTCACACGATTCTTGGAGAGACATGACAGCTCCCAGTCCGTTCACAGCAGCAATCTTTGGGATCCTGTGGAGCATCCGCGTGGGAAGTGGCTCTACGACAAGACGGAAGATCCTTCTCTGCTTCTCGATCCAGCCTTCTGGTGCAAGTTTGACTATGTGCTAGCAGAGAGACCAGAGAAAGTGATTGGAAAATGGCGGATTCTCGCAGTGCAATACGGGTTTTCTGGGGTCCGAATTCTTCGTCCTGGGCAGCCAAGATTCCATCATGCCCCGGAAACAGTGGAAGAGCTGCAATTGGAGGAAGGGTCGAAGAGCTCCGGTGAAAGTAATCAACCCAAATACGCTCTTCTGGATATGCTGAGAGAGAAGGTAACAAGAGGGTGGTGGATCATGGTCAAAATGGAACCTAAGATCCGTATCCTCGAGAACTTGGATCGTTGCTAGAGGCCACTACTTTACAGCAATAGGGTATTATTCAATCTCCATATAAAAGGCTTTCATGAATCTTTAAAGTTCACCGTGGTGGAGAAGTCACGTGGCGAGATTCTAACGACCCCGCCAACTCACGCATCTGCCCCGCTGTGTTTTGAACATTCTCACCTCACACACAGTTCGTAAGTACACACTGCATTCAACACCACAACATGGCAGAAGTCGCAGCAACAAGTTTGTCCGAGTCGCATGCCAAACAAGTCATATATTGCGGCGGTAAGCAGTTCGTCCCATATTGTACTATGTAGTCCAATAAAGCTCATTCCTTCAGTATGCAGCCTGCCACCAGAAGTAGGTACGCGCCCGATATTCGATGCATAGGCTCCCCATTTCTGACCATATTTCCCTGCAGTATTGCGAGTTTGGCGGAACCGTCAAGAAGTGCGAAGAATGGCTCGAGGCACACCACCCGGACATGCATGAGCGGCTATACTCACAAGGTACCGCTCGATTCTCTTACCCAGTCTTCAATGCCTCTCATGATCTCTCTGCTGACGTATGACTCGCTTCCACAGATGCCATCAATGCCAACTTGTCCTCCCTAACCCTCGAAGCCCAGAAGCGAGCCGACAAAGACGCCCAAAAGAAAGCCGCCAAAGCATCCGCCGCCGAGGCCCGAGCCCAAGAGGTGAAAGCCACGTCGAAAGTCCTCATCAAGCGTATTGAGCGCAACAAGCGAAAATACGTTACTGCGGTGCAGGGCCTCGAAGCACATGGACTAGAATTGAAGAAAGTAGCGAAGGATTTTGGCAAGAAGTTCGCGACTGGGTCCAGTGTGACGAAGATTCCAGGTGGTGGCGAGGAGATAACTGTCCAGGGCGACTTGAGTGACGATATCTACGATTACGTTGTGGAGACGTACAAGGACATACCCGAGGACAATATCGATTGTATCGAGGACAAGAAGAAGAAGAGTGCCGGATGATGGTGCTATCACATCATTCGGAGGGAGTTTGATGCGGATTAGTGGAGACGGCGCTGACTGTTACGGTTTAAGATGCCATCGGATGGATAGCACACAAAGATACCATGTTACGATACAGCGTCATCCTCACCTGACCGGAATACACGACCAAGTATCTACTACGTGTAGAGCCGCTGCGTGCTCTTCCCCAGGCTGAATCACACAACCAACATTTGTACCAAGTTGCAACCAACTTCAAGTGTGAAAATTGATAGCAGTGTTTAAATTCAAATGTCGGATAGATGAATTATTGTTGCTATGAGAGAATTATACGAAACATGAAATAACACATATATGCTACGCTTGACCAACAAAAGAGACGCTATTCGTTGCAAATGCTACAAGAATCACATTATTTCAGACTACAGAATCGCTCATGCTGAATCCTAGTAAGCTCCAAAAATGCAAGTTGTGATAGTGTAGATATGACCCAAACCGTGATGCATATATGCACGCTAATGCTAGAACTCCACATCAGTCATAATAACAGAGGAAAGAAATAGAGTAACAGCATTTAAAGATCGTTTAATGAAAAGGGACAAAACTAGCATCACGACTTTTGATCCCTCTCCCACCTTTGTCCGTCTGCAAGCTTCCACATGGGATCATCGCCCCTCCCTGTCGAAACCCGCCTCAGAGACTCCGGCCTCTCACTCTTCGACGGGTTCGACTTGAGAGAAGGTGTACTAGACCTATCAGAAGGCGGACTTCCAGCCAAAGGCGAATCCGGATACAGGCCCTTAATCGCTGCGCTCCGGCTTTCAGTGCGCCAATTTTTGCCACTACCGGGTATCTCCATACTGGATCGATTGCTAATGGTGTACCCGCTTCCTCGCCGAGAACTAGTGCCCTCTTTTGGAGCGTCTTGGACAATGCCACGGGATGAGTTTGGGCGCGATGAGGTTGGGCGGGAGCTTCGTCGGCTGAGGGTGGGCGGGCGAGACTCGTGTTGCTTCAGTCCGTCGATTTCATCGGTAGCGGGGAAGAGGGGGGATGGTGGTGTGCCTGCTCTGGATCTTGGGGGTGTCGGGTATGCGGGCTCATCCTGGGGTGGAGGCGGAGGCGGCGGTGATGCATTGACACTCCTCGGAGAGTCGATAGAGGGCCCTTCATGTGACGGAGGTAGTTGTAGTGCGTTGACACTACTTAGAGATTCAACAGCAGACTCATCCTGGGGTGGTGGTGGTGGAGGAGGCGGACGAGCTGGTGGTGCATCACTCTTCGCAGATTTGAGTGAAGCCGACGGAGATCTTGGTGAGGCACTTCCTGCATCTGTAGCCTGCTTTTCCGAAGGCCGAGATTCGATACTCCCAGCGTCGCTGGTGCGTAGCGGCTCTAGTGTTCGACGATAATTCGATGTCACTGTGGACTTCTCACCTGAAGCTTCGCTCTGCGGCACTGGCGGTATGGGGTTTCTTGGGGGAGGTATCGTAGGAGGCGGAAAGTCGCTATTCGAAGGGGACGACGTGGTACTAAGGGCTTGGGGGAGTCCTGCCTGACGAAGTTCCTGCTCCCTTAGTGCCACTGGAAAGGCGTCGTCGTAAAGTGCAAGACCATGGCTATATACACAACCTTTGTCTTCCTTCTCTTGGTCTGTCAAGCGGAAGCTTTCGTGAATCGCTTCTCGTTGAATGACAGGAAACAGCCGAAGTAGCATCTTGGGAGGTTCTTGGAGGCCTGAAATTACGGAGCTTTCTATGGGCGGCATCGTAGCGGAGTCGAAGGTGTACGCTGGCCAGGACCCCTCGATGTCCCCTCCACTGCCTTCTGCGCTTTGATCGTCCACAGCCGGCATTTTGGCAACGATCATCTCTCTCTCGAGGCGTGCAAGCCGCCATGTCTCTGCTGCCAGTTTGACAATGCGTCTGACGGCATGTCTAATTTGCTCCTCTTCCCCTGGTGCTGTGAAGTGCTTTATTGCGTTAACGACCTCCTCGACGACGGAACCAGCCGCAGAATTGATGCGCTGCTTTGCACCACTGCTCGTGAACGCAGCAACGAGGGTGTTTTGCCTCCAAACTGCTTCCTTCCGAGTACTTTTCCCACGAAGGTGGCTGCTCATTGAAGTGAACAGACCATCTGCCTTGTCGTAGCGGCGTCCCAAGCTGAAGAGAAAGGGCGTGAATACACGAAAGGTGATCAAATTGGAGACAGTGTGCGCAATATAGGCGGTACGCAATTGGCGACAGGCGTCAGTGTCTCCAAGGAAGGAGGGAAGTCCGGGAGGAATGGTGGCCAGAACGTCGGCAGGAGGAACGACAGGGAGGTGCGCGAAATGAGATTTGGAAAGATCCAATATTTGTTTCGAGAGTTGGCTAAATGAGTCTAGGCTGGTGAAAAACGATGATGGTCAGTAACTTTCAATCAACTGATAAGAGGATTTTACACTGTCGAAGCGATCGAACTACAATGGATTGATGGTGCTAAACGATACGGGACATGACCCCAGCAGTACCGTGGGCAGAAAATAACCGCATTCTCGAATGAAATGTCGTCACCCTAGGAAGCTGTGTAGCTCAGCTTGTAGGATACTCCCTCAGTGATGACTTGCTCAAAACCATATCGTGCTTCTCCGATGATTTTCAAGAACGACAAAGAAAAACTTACTAGAATGCGTCTCCCTTACTTTTGATGTCTGAGATGCCTCCATAACTCTCGGCCAGTTTTTCCAACCTTGCCTTCTCCATTTCCAGATTTGCAGCGACACTCTTGATGACATCAAGATCTTGCTCATGCGCAGCTTTCTCGTCAGTAAGCTGCTTCTGGATGTCGGTTGCCTCTTTGACACGCCCCTCTAGTTCTTGGATGAGTTTTTCGTATTCTGCTTTGTCGGCTTCGAACTTGGCTCTCTCTACATCCAGGAGTTGCTGAAGATCATGCAACTCTTTGGAGGACGTTTCCTTTTCCTCATCTAGGCGTTGCTGTAGACCCGCCAAGTCCTTCGAAGACCTCTCCCTTTCCTCGTCCACCAGTTGCTGTAGATCCGCCAAGTCCTTCGAGGACTTCTCCTTTTCCTCGTCCAAACGTTGCTGGAATCCTTCCATTTCCTTGACAGCCTGCGCCTTCTCATCATCCAAGCTCTTCTGAAGCTGGTCTATTCCCTTTGCAAGCTCCTCGTTCACGGCCTTCTCTTTTCCTGTCTGCTCTTTTTCGATGTCCAGGCTCGTCTGAAGCTCATCTTTCTCCTTTTGAAGCTGCTGCTTCTCTTCATCGAAGGTCTTCTGCAGCTCATCTTTCTCCTTTGCAAACTGCTGCTTCTCTTCATCCAAAGTCTTCTGCAGCTCGTCCCTCTCTTTCGAGAGTTCCTCGGCTTTAGCCTGCTCCTCCTCCATCTTCTTTGTTGTATCTGCATGCCTGTCGGTCCACACTTTGTCCGCATCATCTTTCTCTTGCTTGTGCTGAGCCGCTAGGGTGGTGGTCTGTTCTTCCCATTGCTTTTGGCGGGTTTCAAGTTCCTCGCCATGCGCCTTGATAAGAGTCTCACGCTCTGCACTCCAAGATTCCCGACCCTCTTGCTCCTTCTGTAAAGCATCTTCGAGGTCCTTCTGGATAGCAGTCAAATTGGCCTCGATTTCTTTCCTGACATTCTCGAACTCTGACTCTATCGCTTGCTTTTGGTTCTCGAAATCGGCGATCATCTCACTCTTTTGGTTCTCGAATTCGGCGACCATCTCGCTCTTTTGCTTTGAAAAGCTTTCCTCTGCCTCGACCCTTTTAGCCTCAGCCGCAAGCTCCTGCTCGTTCAGGCTTTTATCGAATTGAACTGCAAGCGCAATTTGCTCTCCTCTGCAGGGCTCATGAGGCTTCGATTTCCAGCTCTCAAACTCTTCTAGGAGACGCTTTTCCATATCCACCTTTGACGATTCCAGTGCTGCACGATCGGCTTCAAGAGCAGCCTTCGCCTTTTCGACTTCGACTTTGTTTCGTTCGTACCCAGCAATCCGATCCCTGAACTCCCTTAGATTTTCATCCTGGTTGCCAAGCTCCAGTCTATGTTTCGTTCTATCAGAGTCCCTTTCCTTCTTCTCTGCCTCGAGTTCCTTCGTCAGATGGTCGATATGGTCATCTTTGCGCTTGATGGTTTCGGCTTGCTGCATTTCTGCTCGCCGATTGAGTTCTTCGCGCAATCCGAGTTGTCCATGTGTCTCTTTGTAACGAGTCAGTAGCAAGTGAAGGTCAGGAATCGCAGACGATATCCGAGAAAACAGATCCCCGGATTCATCCTCAATTGCTGAGTTGCCATCTGGGCCTAAGCCTTGGTAATGCTCAAAACTGTTGCTTCCTCTTGATGCGACCGAGTCATGACGTAGCATTGGTGGCGGACTGTTCGAGAAGGGATCGAAGGGGGAACTGAAGCTTCCATAAGGGTTGTGGTAAGGAGGAGCGGAATTCTGAGGCTGCATGGGGTAAGGTGTACCGTTAACGTAACCATTCGGTGGAGACATAGGGTGATAGTATGGCGGAGCGCTAGGAGGTGTATGTGAGAAATATCTCGGCTGATAATTGGAGGCTGGAGGCGTGGAATAGTGCTCCGATGGAACCCTGCTTGCAAATTGGTGTTGAAATTGAGGTTGGGAAGGTAGACGAGATAGACCGGAGGGGCGAGCTTGGAAATCTGAAGGCCTCTCCCTTGTTGATTCGATTGACTGGCGCAGGGAGTCACGGCGCGCGACCTCAGATTGCTTGCGCTGAGGTGGTTCTCGAGTTGCACTCGGAGGTGGAGATGGTGCCCGTGGTTTTGGTTCCTCTGTCTTATCGGGTTCTTCTTCGCTCTGATCACTGGTGGATATCTCTTCTGCTGCCACGGGGTCCTCGGGCGTTGCTACACTGTTCTCTGCGACGGAAGTTCCGGGTATCGAGACTACGACACTACTTGGAGGAACAGTAACTTCTTTGGAGGCTTCTACAGCTGTCGGTTGCGCGTGGGTGGTCTCTTTCGGTATCGCAGACTCGTCGGCTGTCTTTGCAGGCTCTTCGGCTGTCTCTGTAGACTCGCCCACTATCTTTTTAGGCTCTTCGGCTGCCTCTATAGCCTCGTCCACTGCCTTTGTAGAGTCGTCGGCTTCTTTCGACTCTTCCGCGGGTAAAGTTGTATTTTCTTCTTGTGACACCGAGGACCCCGGCAATGATTCGGAGGGCTTTTGAATTTGTACTGGTTCTTGCTTAACAAGACTCGGTGAAGGTACAGACGATGTTAATGTAGGGGTAGATGGCACGGAATGGGGCAAGGGAGGAATCTCTTCCGAGAGATCTGGTAGTTTCGAAGATAATGCCGGGCTAAGGGGTGGGGATGTCCATTTAGATTGCTGCGAAGGGTTTTTGGGCCCTTTGCTTTTGGCCTTTTTTGCTTTCGCCATGTTTGCCAAACTTTGCTAGCCAATCTGTTGTAGATGTCGGATGCTTGGGAGGACAGAGCGATGTTTATGTCAAGTGTTTGTCCTCGAGATGGGTAGTATATATGAGAGGTGAGGCGAGTGGTGATACAATTCCGCAAAGTCACAGACACGAGCAACTGAAGGAAGAGAGTTGGTTTGCCAGAATATAGGAGGCTACAGCCCTGCGCTCAGACGACGCTTGGGATTGACCCAGATGTCCCAATGGCATGATGCCAGAGAGTTGAAGACTGGAGCTGTGGTGCTAGACATGCATGTTGGTCATGTGTTTCAATGCCAACGGGCGGATGAATGAGGCAAAGCAGTCTGAAGAGACGAAGCCATGGTGAGAATGAGATACGCGGCTGTCGCTAATTGCCGCAGACAATGGCGACTAGCTAATGAGAGGTGACACGGAAGGACTAAAGCGGACTCGATTGCAGGTGATACGGAGGCCTTACCAAACGACAAGCAGGCGGCAACGGTCAGCGCGTGGCCGAGCAGCTAGAGCGAAGTCTATATCAGCGTAGGACGCGTGGAGTCGCTCGGTTGGTGGTCGAGGACGCGGCTCGAGCAGCCCGGGAACCGCAGCTCGTGCTGGAGGAGCCACGCATGCAGCCCCTCGCAGCACGGTCGCCAGCGCGTTGGCATGCCAAGAGCGAGCACCGTGGACGTGAAGACATCGTGAGAGAGAATCGTGATGCTGCTGCTGCTGCTGCTGCTGCTGCTGCTGCTGTTGGGGCACAGCTCAAGGCGGCTGCGTGGGATCCCGGTCTTCCTATGACGCGTATTGTGTGATAGACGTTCGAATGGTGCATGATCCTGGACACACATCCATCTGTTGCACGACGGCCGTGACGGGTGTAGGTGAGGGTGGGGCCACGAGGTGTTGTGCTGGCACGTTGGAATCAGCGGCCAGCGGCCGCAGCTCCCAGCGGCCCGAACGCCACTACCTTTGTAAGTTCCCGACGCAATGGACGTTCGTGCCGTCCAGCGCGAGATCAGGCCTGCAACCCACGCGCCGTCCAGCCTCACCCTCAAGCCCAGCCGTGAAGCCGCTCTTCCGCCCCACGCAGCTCGGCCGGCTCGACGATGCCCCCCGGCACGAACCCGAACCCGAATCCACGGCGGCAGCATGCCGCGAGCGGCCAGGAGACAGCCAACCGTCCTGTCTGACGAGGATGAATCCGATGTCCCACCCTCTCCGCAACGGCCCTCCAAGAGACCTGTGACGGCGACCAGAGCTACGAAGAGCACCGCACGAAGCACACAGCCAGCCCGCACATCGTCAGCCCGTGTACCGTCGTCGTCGCTGTCGACACCAGCTACCACCCAAGAAACCTCCTCCGCAAGGCCGTTGCGGCCCTCACAACCCAAGAAGTCGCCCTCTAAGTCGCCCGCCAAACCGAGGCCTATACACAAGCCCATATCGTCCTTTTTCAGCGCCATCCCGCAACGTCAACAGAGTGTTCCGCCTCAAAACCTGGACAAGACTGCTGCCTTGCTCGCCGAGGAAGATGAGGACTTCATTCAGGACTCCTCGGACGAGGGGCCGTTTAGAATCTCTGATACCAAGACCGAATCGGTGACAGCTTTGGCTCTACGGAAACGCTCACGGAACACATTGGCCGATGGACTGAGTGGAGAAGGCGAAGGGATTCCGGCCGGCAGCCAGAAGTTCTTGAAAACACAGAAGGGGACTCGTGGAGCTGCCCCATTGCCTCAGCCTCTGAGTCTTGAGGTGGTCGATCAGAGGCCGTGGACGGAGAGATACGGGCCTGTCAATCTTGACGAATTAGCGGTACACAAGCGGAAGGTGCTGGATGTCCGCAAATGGTTGCATGATGTCTTCGAAGGCAGAGAGCGTAAGAGACTTTTACTCCTGAAAGGACCTGCAGGAAGCGGCAAGACTACCACAATGTCCCTCCTCGCCGATGACCTTGGGTTTGTCGCACACGAATGGAAAAATCCAACAAATGCTGCTTTCGGAGACGGCGGCGTTTCCATGACAGCACAGTTCGAAGACTTCATCGGTCGGACCGGAAAGTTTGGGAGCCTGCAGTTTCAGAAAACAGAGAAACCACAAGCAAAGCCAGAATCAGCTACGAAATCTGGACGAGAAAAGGAGGTCATCCTCGTTGAAGAGTTTCCGAATACTTTCACTCCTTCATCTGCAAGTGTGCAGGCCTTTCGATCATCAATACAACAATTCTTAGCCGTGAATACCCCTTCAATGGGAGCATTCCTTGCTAGACAGAAAGATCCTCATCACTCAGTAACTCCAATGATTCTGATAATCTCTGAGACTCTTCTCTCTACTAATACGGCTGCGGCTGATAGCTTTACTGCGCATCGTCTGCTTGGACCCGAAATCTTGAACCATACTGCCGTAACTACCATAGAGTTCAACCCAATTGCTCCGACACTTATGGCGAAGGCTTTAGACCTTGTTGTGAAGAAAGAAGCACGGAAGACGGGCAGACGGAAGACTGCTGGGCCTCAAGTAATCCAACGGCTGTCGGAGGTTGGTGATATCCGGAGTGCGGTGTCATCGCTCGAATTTCTCTGTGTCCGCGGAGACGATCAAGACGGATGGGGTGCCAAAGTCGCCTTCACAAAGCCGAAGAAGAGTGGACGAGACGCCGCACTTACAAAAATGGAGCAGGAATCGCTCGAAATAATCACTCAGCGCGAGAGCACTCTTGGTATCTTTCATGCTGTTGGCAAAGTTGTCCATAACAAGCGGGACGCACCCAATAGCACCAGCGACCTTATTCCTCAACCACCAAATTACTTTCCGGAGCTTAGGAGACCGAAGCAACCACAAGTTCACGTAGACGAGTTGATAGGTGACCTCGGGACGGATATCCAGACATTCATTGCAGCTTTGCACGAGAACTACCTGCTATCATGCGATGGTGGCAGCCCCGAAGACACCATGGACTCCATCAACGGGTGCATCGACGCTCTCTCGGACGCAGACCTTCTCTCACCCGATCGATTCGGCTCCGGTGCGGCAGCGAGACTTACGTTTCAGGGCACAACCGCAGACAACCTACGCCAGGACGAGCTCAGTTTCCAGGTCAGTGTCCGTGGCCTACTATTTAGCCTACCATCTCCCGTGAAACGGATCACACCGCCAGCCGGAACAACAAGCAGTAAGGGGAAAGCTGGTAGCAGGACCAGTGCCTTCTCGATGTTCTACCCTACGTCACTCCGGATCTGGCGACAAAGAGAGGAGATTGAGGGAATGCTTGATATGTGGATTGGCCGAGCTCAGAGTGGTCAGCTATTCGCTCCCCTCCTTGAGGCGGCCAAGAGAAAGGACGGTAAAGCTGGCGGCGTGGAGTCCTGGAGGAGGAACGGATCGTTATCACGTACCACTGATTCCCGATCAGACCAGCCGTCGAAGACTAAGGCAGAGGAAGAGCCAAGCTTAGTACTTCTCGGGAGCGGCAGCTCGGCCAAGCATGAAATGCTGCTCGAACGTCTACCTTACATTGCGCTCGTCATGCGGAACCGGATATCGGCGACGAAATCGGGTAATTTGAGAGACGTCGAGAAAGTGACAGCGTTTCACGGCATTGGTGGCTCCAGCGAGGAAGCTCTTGATGACGACGACAGAAACACGGATCTTGAGCAGTGGAGTACTGATCCTCCAACTGCAGAAAAGAGGAATATTCGAAGACTTGGTAAGAGTACCAGTGGGAGAAGCGAGTCTGCGATACCTGCGACAGCTGTTGAGAACGATGTTGCGAAGCTGGTGCTTAGTGATGACGATATTGAGGACGATTGAGGCGAAACAAATATTTCGGTAAATTCAAGATTATTGGTATTTGGTCATAATACTTGGGGAGAGGAACGTCGTGGCAGCGAGCTAAGAGGGTCTCTTTGCGCTAATGGCTAGCCTTCTACGAACTACTAATTCGAAGGGGTATCCTGAATCGTTCAAGAGCTGCATTTTCAAAAGGAGTCACAGGGTCATTCGAGTTTTGTATATCACGATCATGGAGCTCTCCTTCCCAGAAAGCTAGGAGCGATGTATTGTTCGAGCTTGCAAAAGAGCTGTTCAAGTATGTGATGCCATCGAGAGCAAAAACTCGTACACTATCAAGGTAGTAATCTAAAAAGTAGATACAACATTGAAGCGCCCTAAGACCTCCAGAGTGATTTGATGAATAACTGTAAGGTTCGGCGAGGTAAAGATTGGTTCTCAGCGTGGAGAGTTTTGCCACCGTTTTCACTCAATAGAAGCACCCTCAGTGTATGTTCGCGCCCGAGCACGAATATGTGTTGAAGACCTGATTTTATTCGTGTCGACATTTTATTCTGGTTTCGGATCTTGTTTGCAGACCGTTTGATGCCTAACCCAAAATTATAACTCTAGTACTAGTTGAAACAAATTCAATTTACCTAAGCTCGACGGATTTGAGGCACTAAAATCTTCCCTGAAGAGGGTCTATATAAACCGAAACCAAGAAATGGTGTTTAAGATTTATGCCCGTCATCACCGATCCTAGGAAGTAGCTGGGATATGCAGTTAGAGTGTATATTCGAGTCGTAGTGTAAAGAAGTGGACGTCACAAATGATACGCAGCTAGACAGGAGACATTAAAATGCTCAATTGCGCGGCCGAGTAGAAATAGGAGGGTATCAGCAACAGAAATCTAGGTACGTAATCAAAGCCGAACGCCCCAACCCAAAGTGCGCGTGAATCCAAATGCTATGATCAAGGGGTGTCCGGCTTGTACGCGCCACCATGTCCGCCGTTAGGGGGCGTTTCGGATGGGTGCAGCAAATCATCCACCCATTCCTCGACGTCCTCGATCTTGTCGTGCACCCACTCCCACCACGGTTCCTCAGTAGGATTAGCGACTGGTGTACTAGGAGGGGCCGGGGGAGGCATTGTAGGCAGGGCCACAGAGGGCATTGCCGGGATCGCCGATGGTTCCTGGACGTCCGAAGTAGGAGTGGCTCCGACGACAGGAGTTTCGGGGACACCAGACGTTACGCCAACGGCTGCTACTGTGGTAGACCTGGAGATGCTCTTTACTGGTGCGGCACTCGGAGACATGGCACTGCTTGCAGGAGACCCCACTGGATCAGCCGGTGTCTCATTCTCAGGCGTACTAGGGTCTGAATGCAAGCCCGCAGGTTTGAGTGGTAGGCGCATAGTTCCGTTGTTTGGCTTCGGCTCAATGCCGATGGAGTCGCAGACGATGTTGTAGAGTTCGATGTTTTCTGGACATTGGTTAGCGTGTTCCCGCAGAGTTGTTTAGAGGATTGTACTCACGGAAGGGTTCCAGACGGCTATTGGGCTTGTGCGGAAATGCTGGTCCCCTGGCAACGAAGATGGCTCTCATGAGAGGATGCTCGTGATCGTAACCGTGAAGACCTCGCGGATGGTACACGTCTCCATTTAATTTGCCCTGCTCGACATCAAACTCGTCCTTCGTGACGATCGCCCAGCCGGTGTTGGGCACTATCCACAAGGGCGCGATACGCTCGCTCTGGGAGAAGTGGTATCGTTCTGGCATGTCCTTATCGCGGAGGTATACCTCAATGTTAGGGTTCGTCTTTGCTTTCTCTTGGAGCTGTTTATGAAGACGATCCAGATCTTCGGGTTTCTTTGGGCGTAAGCCGTATAGAGGCCATCCATCGATATGCTCGAGCTCTTCAGGCTCTATTAGGTCTTCGAGCTGAATCAATCGCTCGACATCCGTTGTCGCCATTCCGTGGTCAGAAACCACGACAACGTTTACGACCTCTGTCAGATTGCGCTGTTGAAGGCCCTGGAGGATTTGCTCCAGCATATCATCGACATTCATGATAGTCTGACGAATTTCCGTGCTGTTCGGGCCATACTGATGACCATCTGCATCTACCACGGGTACATAGGCCGCAATGAGCTGAGGCCGTGGCAGGTCTGCTTTTGCCGCAGGACTGTCTGGGCCAGGAAGGTCCAAGAATTCGAATATTCTGTCCGTCTTCCGAGATAGCACCTCAGAGCCATTATATTTGTCCACATGGGCTGGCTGAATGTCACCGATATGAGCTTCGGACCCAGGCCACATATGTATGGCAGTCCGCACTCCTTGTTTCTCTGCAGTAAGCCATACTGGCTCTCCTCCCCACCAGAATGGTTGCAAACTCTTGTCTGGATCCGTGTAATAAAACTCCTTCTGGAGCTCGACGTCCCAGAATGTGTTCCCCACAATCCCGTGAGCCTCCGGATATAGCCCTGTAACCATTGTGTAATGATTTGGGAAAGTGACGCTCGGGAAGGACGGCATCATGTACTTCGGGGAGATGCCTCCTTGTACGAACCTGGTCAAGGTAGGAGTAAGACCGCGGTATAAGAAGTCGGCCCGGAAGCCATCCAGGGAGATGAGGATCGTCGTGGGGGCGAAGCTGTGAGTGCCATTGGAAAGGAGGCTGGCATTGTATTTGACGCTGGAGCGTTTGGATGCTCTATAAGCGACGAAGAGGATTACAAGAAAAAGAACGACGATAGAGGAGTGTATAAGAACTCGTCTCCAAATACGGCTCCGACGCGCCTAGTGAATCCCATTAGCCCTGACCACATCCGAGAGGTCTATAGACTTGCCTTTTTGTTGGCGAGCACGGCCTCGAGTCGCTGCTGGTCTGATTGTGATGAATTCCTCGACGACAACTCCGAGTCTGAGCGGCCAACGCCTTCCTCCATCTCATACATGAGTTCGCTGGACTCTCCATTACGAGCTCCCTTGCGCTCTCGCCTTGCCTGCCTCTTGAGCCGCTTCCGTTCAAGCCCTCCAATCTTTACAGGGTCCCCAGTACTCTTGCCAGAACGGAACAATGCAGGAAACTTGCCTGTTGCCCCTCCACGGCTCAGCAATGTTTCCCTCTCCTCTTCCTCGTCAAGTAACTCCCGGTCGTGCGAAGCCATCTCCGCAGAGGGTCTGCCATCATCGTGTTGGTCCTCGTCTCCTGAAAAGAAGTCGGGGTCGGGAGTGAGCCGCGCATTGTTTGGGGACTCGTCGCGCTGAGCCCGCAGCTTCGAATACTCGGAGGTAGACATATCAAAGTCAAGCGAAGCGGGCGATCATATTCTTGTAGGAGGGGGAGTTGATAGGTGTCCCTTCAGCTGCAGCGGACCTATCTTTGGGAACGAGTGGCAGGGGACAGGGGGTGGTGGGAGTGGTGGTAGGGCTGAAACTAGTGCAACTAGGCCAGCTCTGCAAGGGGCTCAATTTATATTTATTAATGTAGCGAGCGTGCTTTGACAACACTTCCAGCAGTCAATAAAGTAGCCTTTGAGCTGTTTCACCATCGCTCGTTAATGCTCTAATGGCCGAACTAATCCCTGGAGCAGGTGAATTGCGTATTTAAGAAGCCATCGAAGGAACGTTGCATTTCACAGCTCAGCCCAAACGACAAGGTCTAGATCAACTGGTAAGGCTAAGTTTAAAGAAGTGAATGTTAAGGATAGTAAGATTGTCAGGGCATCTGAACAACGACAATGTTGTCAGCATCGATCCACTGTAAGCCAGCGTTGGCTGCCCTTCCAGCGCTGTATAACCAAAGAAATAGATATATATGCTCTACCAGCTCTCCCCAGCAATATAAGCGCACCAATCCAAGCTCGTCATCGTCTATTGATCCGTCTTCCAATGCCAGAGTCTCTCGATGCATTGTTATTCCCCAACCAAAATCGCCCTTTTGGATGCACTTCGCCAAACTCGACCAAAATCGATATTGAATCTGCCGTGGCCAACGAGCAGTTTCAACTCTCCAAAATCCTCGCTCATCCAGTTCAAGGCGTCTCATACTCTTCTTTGGTTTGTATCGTCCAATGTTCCCTTCGTTAGACTTCATACTATCCAGTAATGGGGTGCTCTGAGACGGCCACTTAGCGGACTTGGTTGTAGATACTTCCGCGGATGGGGGAAAGATTTCAAAGGGTAGAGACGTAAACGTATAGTTCTCTTCCGATGTGCTTATATTCATTCTGTGTATCCCTCGATACGAGCGATCTTCAATAGACGGGCGAATTGAATTTGGACTCTTCACGCTTGACGCATCTTGTGGTCTCGGTTTAGGGCCTGTAGCCCTCCTTGCACGTGACTGGCCCACGCCTAAGCCTATACCGATGCTGACTTGGATCTCTCGCGCTGGGCTAGAGCTGTCTTCCGAAGTGGAGATGGACACAAAGCGTAAGACCTCGTCCTCGGTAACTAGTGTGCGAAAGTTGACTTGCTTCGTGCCATCTGGACCCAGGTGATTGATATTGGCTGGTTTACTGGCATGGCCATGACTGTATATATTTGATTGGTTACTTTCCGGTGATGGCGAACCATGTCGAAATAAGGCAGGAGGGTGGTTCAGGCTTTTCGGTATCAATTGATTGAGATCCCCAGGTTCGGATGACGAGTATGGGGCAATGAGTTGAGTTTCGAAGGCTGAAACTGCCGTCCGAGTACTGTGGAGAGTCCAATCAACATTACTCTCTCGCGGACTAAATGCACCGACAGCTCTGAGACTATTGGCTGGGTCGGCGATAGCGCCGTCCGTGCTGATTCGGGAGTGACTTTTCTCGGATACAGGCTGGCCGCGACCTTCGAACGAGAGGATCCCAGTAGAAAAGCTACCATTAGATTCGGTAAGCTTTCGCTCGAGTAGCATCTCTTTTTTCTTAGGGCTTCCAGTAGGTCGAGACAATGGTGCGTGCTGTGTCTGTACTTCGATAACTGATGGGCCCTCCAGAGTGAATTCACTTGGCATGATGGTTCCCAAAGAACGTGCTCCGGGTTCACTGCCTAGCTCTTTCGACCCTAACTCTTTTGGATTATGAGGTTCGAATGCAAGATACGCAAGAGCCTCAGCCCGGTATTGGTCATCTTGCTTCCGAGTTGTCGGAGCTGATATGTGAGCTAATATCTCGACGTTTCCGATCATCTTTGATGCAAGACAAAGGAGATGACCCGGAAGAAGCCATAATCTGTAATTGACTTGCGAAGTGAACAAGAAGTAAAGAAGTGAGATCAGGCGCCAATGCGAGGAGTACACAAAGCGATTGCGATGCACTTCCAATTGTTAAGAACGTATGGAAGAAGCTTGGGAGGCAAGGAGAATCCCAGCGCGGGGCAGTCCTGAGATTTCGCGTCACGTGGCCGTTTCCGCCGCACTTCGACAAAATGCGAGGACAATAAAATCGTCCCGCGCCCGCACCCTTTTTCAACACCACCCCACCTCCAATATGGCTCCCGCGTCTCTCCTGGACTTGGTGTCCGCACTACCCACCACCGATGGCTGGGGCCCACCAGTTTCGAGCGAGACCATGCTCGACGGCGTTCCTTACGCGCCATACTCGAAGGCAGACAAACTCGGCCGCATGGCCGACTGGACTGAGGGCAAAGACAGGGAACGAGGAGGACGGCAGCAATACGGCAACCGGAACTACAGAGGTGCGTTGTTTTCAATCAAAAGCCTCAAGGAAGCGCTTGCTAACAAAGTTTGGCGTGCAGATCAGCAAGTGTACGGCGCAAACCCTCAGAACAACCCTTTCGCAATCGCAGCCGCCGAGGAAGAGGCTACTTTCTCCGTAGTAGACAACAGCAAGACTTCGGCTAGGGGCCGAGGCTTTGGAAGAGGAGGCGGAACCGTGTTCCGTGGTCGTGGCCAGCGAGGCGGACAGCAACAACGGGGTGGTAGAGGCACTTTCCAGCGCGTTGGTGGCGGGCGTGGAGGCCAAGGATATGACAATCGTGGCGGACGTGGTGGTCGGGGAGGTCGTCGGTTTGGCTGGAGAGATGATAAGCCGCAGCGCAACCGGGACGCTTCGGTGGCTGTCAAGCCGGACTGGGCTGTCATCGAAGAGATCGATTTTGCACGACTGACCAAACTCAACCTCGATACCGGCGAAGCAGAAGACCTCGACAGCTACGGCTTCCTCTACCATTACGACCGCGCCTACGACAAGCAACCAGGTGCGAAGACATCCGAGAGGAAGCTCAATGTTCTCGAACGAGCGGCATACAATGTTACCACATCAAGCGATCCTATCATCCAAGAACTGGCCGAAAAGGACGAAGGTACCATTTTCGCGACAGACAACATCCTGTCCATGCTCATGTGCGCCACGAAGTCTGTCTACTCGTGGGATTTGGTCTTCACACGGAGGGGCAACAAAGTGTTCATCGACAAGCGGGACAATGCTAGCCTGGACATGGTTACAGTCAATGAGAATGCCACCGATGCTCCTCTAGAAATATCAGAGGGCAACAAAGACTCTATCAACAGCCCTGGCGCGTTGATGATGGAGGCTACCCATATCAACAACGTATTCCCCCTCCAGGTCGTCCTCGAATCGGAGAGCTCCAAGCTCAGTATGGCGCATGACCATCCTTTCTACAACGAAGAGGTTGAGTCGGATCCACCTGCCTCAAAAGCCTACAGGTACCGGAGATTTGATCTATCGCTCGAGAAGGACGAGGAACCACTCTATCTGGTGATACGGACGGAGCTTGATGCGGTTGTGAAGAACAACATCAACGGCGAAGATCAATTCATGACCATCAAGGCTCTGAACGAGTTCGACAACAAGGCTCAAGGCAGTGGAGGCGCTCTTGATTGGCGTACCAAGTTGGCCAGTCAACGAGGTGCCGTTCTTGCTACCGAGATGAAGAACAACAGCTGCAAGTTGGCACGATGGGCCGTCCAGAGCATCCTCGCCAAAGCAGATACTATGAAGCTTGGGTTCGTTTTCCTTTTACCAGCAGTCCTATCATATCGATTATATGTTCTAACCATCTCTTTAGTTTTGTTTCCCGAACAAATCCCAAGAACAACAATGACCATGTCGTTCTCGGAGTACTCACAAGCAAGCCCCGGGACTTCATTAACCAGATGGCGTTGAATCTCAACAACGGATGGGGTATTGTTCGCACTATTGCCGACATGTGCCTGAAGATGGAGGAAGGTAAGTATGTGTTAGTCAAGGACCCTAATAAGTCGGTGTTGCGACTGTACTCTGTACCGGAGAACACGTTCGAAGAGGATTTGGAGGAGCGAGAGACCATTCAGGAGGATGAAGGCGAAGAATAGTGCTCTATGTTATAAGATATGTCGTGGATGACCTTCTTAAACCTAAAGCTTGTGTGGGATCATAAAAGATGAAACACTCCATAATTCTATTGGGATTGCACGCAGTAGATACTGCAATTTAGAAGCAGTCATGTAGCCCAAAACTCAGTACTCATATTTCACAGTGTGACTACAGAGATCCGATCAGCTGGCCCAGCGAGAAAGTCAAGCCAGCCTGAAGCTCGGCAATGAAGAGGGGAGGTATTTCTATAATAACATACGAACCCAGAATTGTAGTAGGATTCGAAATATATTCATGTATGTACTAAAGTGCCTTCCAGGTTTGTACAGAGTATGGCACGCTAGGCACGAAAAAAGTGGCACACTCACCAAGTACTCTGCCTGTGTATATACCCGTTTACCACTGCATGAGACACTTCAACAAGTTTCCACATAGCCCAAGGGAAAGAGCTTCTATCTTCTTTAGATTTCTGAAAATACATTGAAGCAACCCAAGCAGTGGCAGACAGGTGTACACACGAGACAGCTTGTTCTAGAATTAGTGTGCCACCTTTTCCATGCCCCACGTGGACGCCTAAACAATGCACTACTAACCTGCCTGTTTAGGCAAGAGAAGAGGAGTCAGCGCCCTGAGCGCCCAGACTTGATTTTTGACACTTACAGTTCGACACCGACTCGCCACACAACTCGATCACTACAAAACTTCAACTTGAGCCGGTAAAGACTGCATATGTACATCTTCCCGAGATGTGGTTTTGCGGCTGCGACGACAAGTAGGTGCTTCTGATGCTCTATTTTCTGTGACCCCATCCTTCTACACATTCGTCGTAAACGACTGTGATATCTATTCGTCATGGAGAAATCAGACACGACGCACTGGCTAGCTAAATACGCTTGCAATTATCATGCATGGGAAACATCTGCCGTGGATGGTCAGCCTACTTTCAAGCGGCGCATTGGGCTCGTTGAATCAGCATTCGACACTGATGGGTCTGACTTTGAAGGAAGAGCTGACGTCAACGCGTTTTTAACGCTTGAAGTTTGGAATCACTTGAATGTCGACGAGTTCCGGAAACGGCTTCTATATGCGTACGCTTCGTTGCGCCTGCAGCATGTGCTGCTCATGGCGCGGGTGCTTAGAACCGGAGGGACCGAACAAAGGCACTTCACAGTAAACATTCCGCAAAAGACTCAAGGTCTACTCGACGAAACATCCAAAGCACTAGTGTTTGTCGATGATGCTTATCAGAAAGTTGAAGATGATGAGTTCGTTCGTCACAGCTTGAACACGGGACGACTGATTGATCCGGATGTCTCGCTATCGAAGCTCTACAGTCTTCCGCTAGAGCCTCTATCGAACGGCAATTTCAGTCTCCGCTTGATGTTCATAGCTGCCCATGAAATCACAGATGGCGTCTCTATGTACCATTGGATGTCCCACTTGATCCGAATCCTTAACGCACCCATGGCTGATCTAGAGAAGGATCTCGTTTTCTTCCAATCGGCCGAAAATATCTCTTCGCGTCTACCTCCATCTCAAGAAGATCTGTACCCTCCTGTTGCTGGCAGCTTGGCTAGGCAGCGATGGTTTTGGGCTATCATGAGAATACTACGACACGTCAAGCGCACCTTGCCTCAAACATTTGTCAACCCATTGCGCCGCTCTGAAGCGCGTACGGCGGCAGTAGCATTACCCCACGGGTTCGATAAGGTCTTCGACTATTCGCCAGAGCGTAAACCACCACTCAACTCGTTCCAATGACTTGCGAACCTAAGTCAGGGAGCATCGAAGCGGTTTGTCCAGCTAGTCCGTGAGGCAAAGGCCAGTATAGGAGCTGGGTGCCTTGCCCTGGTAGCACTCGCTACGATGGAAATTGAGGAGTCGCGCCATCCTGACATTCCCCTGGCGGAGCGGCGTCCTTTCATAGCGTCCTTTCCTCTCAGTCCAAGGGCCTTCTTCAACTACACAGTGCCCCCAGACTCTTGCATGCTTGCATTTAGCGGTGGAATTGTGCTCCCGTTCTTATCCTCAGATCTAGATGTAGAAGGACGGTTCAGACTTGCGGTACGCCAGGCTCACCGGCAACTGAGTATCTACCAAAAACGTCTTCGCAAATTAGAAGTAGTTTCCCCTTACAGCCCGGCACGGCTGATTGCAGACAACTACTTGTTGACAGTTCAACGTCAAGAAGAGAAGCTCCCTCCACACCGTAAAACCGACATGGCAGACCCACAGGGTGGGTATCCCGCCAACATCAAGCTGTTCGGAGCTACCTGTGGCGTCAGCTCAGTTGGTCCTATCGGGCATTTGCTCAAGCCCGGGGTCCACAGCGTTGGAGGATCTGGGAGCGGCAAAGACTTTGCAGCAGACTTTAGAGATGTGAGAGTGGGTGTGAGAGCAAGGGACAACGAATTTCTCATTGGGAGTTTGACTAATTCCAAGGGAGTGTGCTTTGCCGTTTCTTATGATGGAAATGCCATCGACGAAAACGCAGCAAAAATTTGGAAGACAAAGATGGAGTCTTTATTGGAACCAGAGACGAAATCGAGATTGTAAGGGCGAGAGCGCCTCCGTGTTACTATAGTGCCTTGCCATAGATATCTGTACACTTTCCTGCCACTGTCTGTGGGGCTCCAACGTACTAATAGAAACTGGGGGCAGCGGATACACCTCCAATCTGTGTACACCCTGTTGGGGCTGTCTGAGGTAGCCTCGCAAGTTTAGTAGTCGCCTAAAATGCCGGATTCCTCTCTTATTTGGAATGCTGAAAATACTATGAAGCTTCTCACGCAGCGGTAAACGAGTGTACGGATTTCAATGACGAGGCATTGTACATTGGTGTGAAGGTGGATCTCCAAGAGGCGAGACCGAAGGTGTTCGTTCCAGTGACTTGAAGTATGATGGTAACACTTGCATTGAACCCAAAGCTCTGGAACTTCAGCATGAAATATCTTCAAGGAGTCAATGAAAAGATAGTGAACATCGTATAGCTGACATCAACGCAGTGTACAGTAACACTCCACCTCCACCTGTCAAACCGTTAATCTCATATACCAATGGTCATACCGAAGCTGAAACCCTTTCTAAAGCAACCAATGACCACGGCAACCGCACATTCATTTCTTTGTTATGGCTCATACTGTCACATGAATGGCTCGTTTAGGTCGAAGTCACAACAGTTCTTCAGGTGACACATCCAGCTCGGCTAGCGTTTCCCTCAACACCAACTCAAGGTCATCATCGGACTAACTCTTAGTCCTCTCTGAGAACATCCCTTATCCGTCATACAGTTTCAGCAAGCCTTCAATCTCAACCAGTGACTCTTTGTTGCGAGAAAAAAGATCATGTTGCCAAGATGCCTGACTTCGATGAACCTTGGAAAGCGTCAGCGACCAAGAGGTGTGGATGTCTTGGTGACGCCACAAAATGGCCGAACCAAATACTTCTGTAATACGAAAGCATCTTCAGCTCGTAAGCAGATGCCAGCTAACCTGGGGCTATGTCCTGCAGAATCAGCGAAGAACTTGGTCGCTGATTTGATGTAAAGGAGGGACGAAAGTAGGAACTAGCCGTATTATACAGAGCAGGAGCGTTGCCGTGTTGCCTTCTACACGGTCTCGCCGACTTCAGGGAGGGATTTCCCATCCTCCTGACCGCCAGAAACGCCCATCCTACGTCCATTCTGCCACTTTGCCTTCCATCACAAGGCAGCCGGTCTGACAGCCGCAAACGGTCGATAGAGGCCCCTCGCAACCATCTCAGCTCCTGTCACCCCTCATTCAACGGCTTGACAGGTATATAACCTAGAGCTAATCGACCTATTCGCAGTGTGAGACATCCGAAACTACTCCACCACATCTGCTTCCGGGTACCCCGGAAACCATGGCAGTTACCTTGCTTCCATCCCAAATCGGTGGATCCGACGAGACCCCACCCCCAGTCACAGCAGACCCGGTTCGTCTTTGTGTTTACGATGTCGGGCTCTTTATCAAGAACTTCCGTTCTATTCCCGGTGTGTTTCTACCATGGTCGAGTGGCGATGGGGACGAAATGTCTCCCAAATCCTTTTCCAACCTCATTTGTTTGGCGTTGCAGTTCCTCCTTCTCGTTCTAGAGTCCTTCTACATACTCTCCTTACCACTATTCGTGGTGTTTCCCCTAGGATCGTTCATACTATACCTCATTGCTACCCTCCTCTTGGTCCGCGGTATTAGCTGGATTATGAATGGCACCACGAGCTCGGTAACGTCAAATGTCAACATCGGAAACGACGCTCGGCATGTAGATGAGTGCTGGATCTTTCTGAATGGCGTTGCCACCGGGTACGTACTTCCGCAAGCACGCTCCTAGAAAGACGAATGACTAATGAGGAAGTGGGCACACTAGACACGTTTGGCTACAAAGTAATGTGGATCGCCTCGCTCTAACCTTCCGTAGGCCGATAATTGGCGTCCTCAACCGTACCTATGGCATTCTCTTCGACCTAATCCAGTGCATCATCGAAAGGGACTTTTCTTATTCGACAGACGACATCCGGCGCTCGTATGCTACAATCAAGGAGAATTTGCTAGATGCAAGATACAAAAAAGTCATCCTTATTCTTCATAGCCAAGGTGGAATTGAGGGAGCAATAATTCTGGACTGGCTGCTCGCAGAAGGTAGGCGACGGTGGATTCGCTTCACACATGCTACCCTCGACGAAGGATAAGTGCAGAACACCACCGCTGACAGTTGCTTAGTCTCACAAGACATCCTCCAACGGCTCGAAATCTACACCTTCGGCAACGCATCCAACCATTTCAACAATCCGCACCGAAGCTACTCATCCATGCACACCGCCGAACAGCGCAGAGGCTCTAATCCAGGAGACAAAGCCGTCCGCCACATCGAGCATTACGCCAACAGCGGCGATTTTGTCGCCTGCTGGGGCGTCCTGAGCTTCCGTAACATGAGGAACAGGTACATGGGCCAGATACTCACGCGTAACGGCTCCGGGCACCTCCTCAACCAGCACTACCTTGGCGCGATGTTCCCCTTGGGACCAGACTCGCGTGTGCTTGAGGAGAACGCGTTCATGAATGCGGAGGTCGAGATCGTGGGAGCTGGATCGCCGGAAGCGAGGGAGGGACCAGAGTCGACTGTTCGCGCTGGTAGCGATGAGGCTGTGGCGGTTGTGGAGAATGTCAACAGTCCTATTTCGCCCATCAAGATTGTGTCTCCAGAGTCAAAGTTTAAACCCGACCGTGTGCTGCAGCCAGCAAGGGTCAAGGATTTCAGTCGGCTATGGCTGTATCGCAACGGGAGGTCCCCACCTGACTGAGTTGGCTGTTATCGTCCATATTCTTTCTTCTTTATCTTCATCCTTTAACCTCTACCGGTGAGATAAGGTCGAGCTTTCGTCGAGCTTGCAGGCCATTAGTAGACGAGACTGTATGATTGAATGTAATACGACACCACTAGTTGGTTGACCGAATACACGAAACATGAATCTTGACGTGACTTTCAAAATTGTGGCGAGAATCTATTGAAACGGGATAGCTATGGCACAGGTTTATTTAACAGTGAGCTGACTTGAGAAAGGAGATGTCTTGACGGCGCTTATGCCTTGGTAGCCACGATCCCTAGTTTCTGTTAGTGTGGAGATTCAGAAGAGTGATTGCCTATACGTACTCTCAATATCGGCAACGCTCTGGTTAAGGATCTGCTTGAGAGTATTGGGGTTCTCAAGCTCCTTCTCGATCTTGGCAATGATAGCCTCGGCAAGCTCCTTTTGCTGCCTCTGCTTGACTTGTCCCTCATACCTCACCCAGGAATCTAAGACAGTCTTGGCCTCGGCAGCAAGAGCGGTCTTCTGCTCCAGCTCGTATGCCTTAGCCTCGAGTTGAGCGGTTTCCTATCTCTCCATTAGCATCATCGGTTCAACGGATGACCCCGTGCTGCCCGGGAATTTTACAGGCGTACCTTGGAAACCTCGAACAGAGTCTTGGTGATGTCAATGACACCACCGAGGTCCTGGACGCTCTCAATTCGCGCCTTGACAGCCGAAGTATGGTCCTCCCGGGCGGCGTTCAAGATGCCCTTGATCTTGGCGGTTTGGCCCTCGGCCCACTCCTTGTACATGGGCCCTCCGTAATGGCCAACAGCCCAGAAAATGGTCAACAAGCTCAGCATGGCGATGGACTCCTCATTGACGACGTAGATCTCGTTGCTGATGGCAGCAATCGAGACACCGGCACCGGCAGAAAGGATGGCGGCTTTGGAAATCAGGCTGTTGCCCGGGAGCGAGTCCAAGATGGACTGTGCCTTCTTCTTTGGGTCCTCTACGGGCACGTTGGACGCATAGCGGGCGGAGGTGAGCTGCGTAGTGATGGTCGGGATGGCGCGAATGGGGAGGGAAGGGCGGAGACGGGCGGTGGCTGTAGTGGGTTAGCGGGGAGGCCAATGGCAGCTGTAAAGCACTGAGCAGGTGTATACTGACCAACCGCGCTCCTTGCAAGTCGTGAAGCCATTGCTGAGGATGAGAGTGGAGAGGTATCGAGGTTGGCGGCTTGAGTGAGGAGCTTTCGGATGTTCAAGATTGAGCGGCCTTGGCGATCTCGCTGACTTAGGTAAGCAACCAATACTTGACTGAAATCCCTGGAGCGAACTCCAGCCCGCTCCATCATCTTCCATACACACCACCAGATTTGTAGCACACTACCAGGTGTCTTCGAACAGTATACGGCCACCGCTTCCCTGGCAAATACTCGGCTTCGCCCTGCTTAGAAGCTTCTGGAGTGGTTCGGACGCCTTCATTTTGCCATCGACCCTTCCAAGGTTCCGACCATACCATATTACTGGGTTTCACTGTTTTTTGCACAGTCACCCTCCGAGATCTCTCCTCTAACTCTGCTGCTCCTGCCGGGCATATTCACTAGGTCTGGTGTTGGCCCTGCGTATTTAAGCGCCAGTGCTGGAGGCGCTTGCCATCTCTTTCCTATCTCTTTGTCTCTACTACTATCCACACCGGTGTCTCTACAAACTACCCCAACCTCGCCACATACGAAAGCATATAACCGTAGACCACCACTAGCTTATACAGAGCAAGCAGCGAGGATATCATGACGGATACCGCTGAACTAGAGGCCAAGATTGCGGCTCTTGCAGGTGAATAGTGTACTCTGTCGCTTCTGCCATACGGACCTAATATACTCCTCCCCTAGGTCGCATCAATCTTCACAAACAACAGGAACAAGGTCAGCCACAGAGCCCGCCCCGGCCTGCGACCGGTATGGACTTCGTACACCCATCTACCTCACCGAGGGACGCGATATTGACCGGTGGTGAAGGGTATGGACGAGGACGCGGACGCGGACGAGGTGGACCGAACTGGGCACCTCAGCGTGGTTCTCCGTATGCTTATCCCCGAGGACGAGTTGCTAAATTTCCCTACTCCACGCATCGGAACCGCACCCTAGTCCTGAACGGCAACCCAGCCACTCCTCCCAACGGTGGGGCACAACAGATGGACGCAGTGGATTCGAACACTTGGGTCGCCAAGAATGACAGACACATGCAGCTGATCAACACCTCGGTGTACGACCAGATCAGCAAGGAGCGTGCTCGGTCGATGGCAAATACCACAGCGTCAAAGCAGAGCGAGCAAGACGCTCGAGAAAAGGCCAGATTGAGCAACCATTTCGAAGGCATCTCTCGTCGACCCTCCCACGGTGTAGCCCGAAAGCCCACCGACATCCCCGAACTCTTGATCGGTACTACTCGATTCCAGGTAGCTGATGGGGGCAGTAAACTGCTGCGGCTCTCGCGTGAGTGGAAAGACTCTTACAAAAGCCTGGCAAGAATAACAAAACTCGGTATAGGGGATCCCACTCAACTGACTCCCAAGCGACACACTATCGCTGGAGTCATGTTCGTTCGAAGCAAGAACGGAAACTTGTATCGTTCTGGCCTAGTCAAAGGGAAAAAGTATGGTTTCCCACTCCGAGTAATACCGGAACTGCTAATGATTTCTGTAGGAGACGTGAAGTCCTAAAAGTCGATGAGCTTTGCCCGCGTTTCACACCAACTGGTAACCCCTTTCCTCCCCTGCCTGCATCCCTATCATTCGTCATTGTTTCTACATATCTTTCTTTCCCGCTCTGGAGGACCACTAACTTCGACCCACAGGATCGTGTGCGAGAGGACCAACTTGCCGGTTCGTACATGACATTGATAAGCTTGCGATTTGCAAGGAATTCTTGACGAAGGGCAAATGCGCCCTGGGCGATGGTTGCGAGCTCTCTCACACCCCTACCCCCAATCGTGTTCCAGCATGCCTTCACTTCGTCCGTGGCAACTGCACGAACGACAAATGCCGCTACGCCCACGTCCGCATCAACCCTACTGCGCCAGTTTGCCGCGCTTTTGGTCGCCTCGGATACTGCGACAAAGGCGCCGACTGCCCCGACCGCCATATGTTTGAATGCCCTGACTATGCTAACAAGGGAATGTGCCGGAACGCGAAATGCCGTCTTCTCCATGTCGATCGCGCAAGCCAGCTTCGCAGCAAAGCAGCTGCAGCGGACAGCCTGGCGGCCTCGGAAGATGATGACTACCAAGACATCTCCAGCGATGAGGAGGTCTTTGGGGACAGCGACGACTTTGACTCTGAAGGGCTCGATGATGACTCCGACATCATTGGTCATGGGCTTTCCCAGCAGGAGGACTACGTGCGAATCTGAAAGTAACAGTAAGTTAGGGTATGGTCATAGGACTCGCTGAGTCCTGAAGCTCTAATGAGCATTATGCCGGCGTTCGGATTGTGGTAGAGCTTGCCATCGATACCCATTTTATGGCATTGCTAGGGTTGCACCATCCATCATATCTATATTTGCGATCATTGTTTCTGCAAGAGCATGGGATTATGACAGTTCGGGTTTGGGATTCTAAAGGTTGACGACCTCTGAGGAACATCAGAAAGATTGTAGTACTAGATCCAAATAGAAATGAATCATGATGTCTGACAAGCTATGTTACTCCGTGATACATTTACATGATAAGTGAACTAAGGTACTCTTTGAAGAACAGTGGTTGCACAGTTTTGATTGTGACTAGGTACCTGGAGCCGACTCCTGAAATCTGACCCGAAGGCGGAGGCTGAGTACTGCAAGTCGTTCTTGGCCGCACCTCGACGGTGCCTTTAAACCACAAGCCTCGCCTGCCTGCCCTTCTCAATGATTATTCGCCTCTCATCACGAAGTCTCCGAAGATATCGAACTACCCTCAGAATCAGATAGCGCACAACTGCGTAGTTAATCCTGTACGAACGCCCCCGCGCAACTCTCTCCTGCCTTCCGCTCTTACGCGCCGCCCTGCCCCTCGCCCCAATTCGTCCTCGCTCTCGAATATGTCGCTCAAAAACCTCCTGAAGAAGAAAGACAAGATAAAGGATGAGGGCACCGCGCCGGCCCCCAGCCCCACCCAATCCCCGACCGTACCAGAGTTCACCTTCATGCGCACGACGACGACCACCCAAGAGGAGATTGCACCCCCAACCTTTCCCGGCGACGCGCCCCGCCCGCAGTCCCCAGAAGCCCACCCGGACCACAAGCGGCTCAGCAGCCGGTTTCGCAGACACTCGAACGCGGCGCAGCATCAGAGCGTAGATGAGGGCAAGAAGAACGACCGCCGGCTTTCTGAGCGGCTGCACCTCTCGCGCGACCGCAGCTCGAGCTCGGTGAACGTGCCTGAGGACCTGCCGAGCATTGAGAATACGGTGGCCAAGACGGTGGACGATGAAGCGAGCTGGGAGAAGCGCGCGACGCTGCTGGCGAAGGGGAATTCGGTCAGTAGGCACAGTAGTGAGGCGGCGCTGGCAGAGGGCGGGGGAGGGGTGCCGCGGGGAAAGAGGAGTAGGAGTGTGAGCGTTAGTGACGCGGGTGGTGATGTAAGTTTGGGAGTGTTTGATTGAGGTGGAGATGTGCTGATGTGTTTGCTAGGTCAACATTCAGGAGGCTATTAGGTTGCATGAAGCTGGAGGTAAGGCACCGACGCGTTTTCTGGCAAACGAGTGGATTAGATCTGACGGAGCTTGTAGAATATGATCAGTCGACTGTGATGTTTGGGAAATTGGCGGATCCCAAGGGCGCAAACAATGCGCTGAGCCAGGTCCTATATGGGCTTGCCCTAAGGTCAGTTCGATCGAATGTAGCAAAGCTCAAACAACTTAAGCTACCTACCTATGGTAGCAAACGCCCTTGGTTGAACCGGTTCACTGACACGATTTGTAGACATGCCTGGGGCTGCACAAAGAACGAGGAGCTCGCCGTCACGTACCTCTCCTACGCCGCGTCCAACAGTGCCGACGTCGAGTCGCTTGCTCTAGCAGCAGGCATGAAGAAAGGGGGTGCTGCCAAAGGAGAGCTCACGCTCGCCATATTCGAGCTGGGCAACTGTTTCCGCAATGGCTGGGGGGCGAAGAAAGACCCCGTGGCCGCAAAGCAGTACTATGAGACGGCGGCGAACCTCGGAGATACAGACGCGATGAATGAAGTAGCCTGGTGCTATTTGGAAGGTTTCGGATGCAGAAAGGACAAGGTCAGTTGCCCTGCTACATCGAGATGCTCCCGCAGTCTGGTGTTGTATTTCCTCTTTTGGCCCCGTAAACAACCACCAGCTCCGTGACCGGTGTCAGTTGCTGCAGTCTCGTCACATCCACTCGGGCTCGAGACCAGAATCGTGCAGCCTCATTCGTTGGGCAGCATTCTGAACCAAGCTGACTGGTGTCTCCACGCCTCATAGTTCAAAGCCGCGCAATTCCTGCGCCTCGCCGAGTCCAAGGGGAGTAAGATCGTAGGCAACACCTGGTAAGCAAGACGTCTCTCCTGTCTCTCCTGTCTACTAGTCTGTCTCTCTCTCCACACTTCCGTCATGCCCGTCCCTGCGCTGGCCGTCCCTGACAGCTCTCATCGCGTCGAGCTCCCTCGCCCGACGCGTGAGGCCAGCCGGCACGCGTGACGCTGTCGCCGCGGGCCGGACAGACGATGCCGAGCGTGCATTCGGGCACAGCGTGACGGCATGCTGTTCCTGCTTCCTCGCCAGGCTGGGGCGTGGGCGTTTCAGCAGCGCGCAGCCACGGGCAATCGAGTGGCTCTGCGTTGTCGGTATGCTGCTTGCTCGCTTACCCGAGAGGGAGGGGAACGGCCCTCGCCGCATGGCCAGGTGCCTCTTCACGGCTGCTCCAGTACACACACACGCTCTTCTCGGCCCCAGCCCCCACCCATATTCCCCGCCAGCGATATCACGAGAGCGCAGCGCCGTTTCCTGCTTTCGACTGGCGCGCATACACGTGGCAGCTCGCTGTTGGCATGCGATCCAGCCGTTTTGGGTCGCACCCTCCGCACTGGCCTGCCTGCCCTCGTCCGCCAGAGCTGGACCGGCCTCCCCTGCGCGCCGTCGTCTATTTTTCATTCACGTTTTCTTGCCTGCTTCTGTTTACGGCTTGTAATGGCAGCCCGCTCGATGCGGGTGCCCCGCTAGAGGCTTCCCCTTCATCATCGACTGCGAGCTTGTTGTGCTGATGCTGACGCTTCCTTCTTCTCCCGCCATAGGATCTGGAAAGAGAAATACAACCCTAAGCCGTAAAGTGCTAAGAAGGGGGGGCTGCGTATCCCGCGGGATATCTCATCTCATCACGGTACATAGCACCTCTCAGCTAGCCAAGCCAGCCAGCCGGGAAAGCCGCTCGAATCATGCTCTAGAATACCTCATTCAACAATCTATCTATCTTACTCACATACAGTAACATCCTAGTGTGTACCTAGGTGTTGTACCATCCTTGGCGCGAGTGAGTTGGAAAGAAAACAATTGTGGCTTGCGTGCTTTGCTTGCGTGCTTCCCCCCGTCCTTCCCCTCTTTGGAAAGGGCTTTCAATACTCATTATGGTGGCGTGTGCGCCTGCTGAGGCCTCCCGAGGTCCTTTCGAGATCGCGCATCGCTCCCGATCCATCGCATCGGCCCAGATGACCGAAGCGGATGGAGGCCCTGATTTTCCTCCACCTGGAAGGGGTGGGTGGTGAGGTGGTCGATTCGGTTCGATTGCTGAGGAGCTTACACTCTACCTTCCCCTACCTGCTCAGCTGGCTAGCTAGCATCTCCTAATCTCTGCGTGCATCTGTCTCACTACTACCACCTACATGACCAGCCTCGCTGCATGCACTGCCCGTCCTTCACGTCTGTGTGGGTGGTCTGGAGTAAGTCCGAGATCAGATGGGGGCACGGGATGTGGGATGGGGGATGTGTTCAGGCTGGCTTTCCTCTGCCGAATGCATGATTGCTGCGGGGTGCAGGCTCAGGTTGTTCGTGAGCTGGCGATTGTTGTCCACACACCCTACATCCACCACCCAAGCTCGTGCGCCACGCTTGCCCGGATCCGCGCCTGGGCAACCGAGCCAGTTGGTTGGAGCTGTCTGAATGATCTGTTGCCTGCGTGCGCTTGTGCTTGCATAGTCCGGATCCTTCCACTTGGGATGTGTCCGGCTTGCAGAGTGCAGTGACAGCATTCCAGTTAATTTGCCCGTATCGCGCGCACGTGGAGGAGCGTTTGAGCTGCCAGCACTTCAGTTCCTCTTACAGTTTTTTTCCAGAGAAGTCACTTGCCGCGGTTGAGTTAGTCAGTCACACATAGATTCGATAGATCGATACGAGAAGGGCAATCGATGGTGGATGGGTGATTTGAATTTGATTTGATCCGAGAGGGGATACCTCCGAGCAAGCTCAGCTCAGCTCAGCTCTGCTCATTCATGCGTTTCCAGGAAACCGCCACACGCACACCCAACACCCCGCAACGGAGATGCATCGGAAAGAAAGGCTCCATACACAATAATCTTGGGATGATACGTAGTGTGCCACCCCCAAACGCGCGCAGCCAGCTCGTGGCATGCGCTCCAAGAGCCAATTAAGTATTGCTGTCGACGGATTTAAAGAAAACAGGGACCAATGATAACGATAACGATAAGGACGAAGGAGGAATGATTAAGGTAACCACTAAAAATAGCTGTCTCCGAGACTTCGTGTAGCTGCGTGCTGCGCTCTGAAACAACAGGACGCTGTATGTCTCTCATAATCGGCATTAAACAAAGGCTATTCGCCAGATCATAGATAGGTTCGTGGGTAATCTTTCGTGTGTAGTCATCTCTTGCTCTTCTTGATACTCGTTGCAGTTGGGGTGTGTTGTATGTGATGTGTATGTTCAGCCAGTAGTTTGGTCCCACAGCGCGCAGCTGTGAGTGAAAAAGCGGGCGCTCGAATCTTCAAAAAGGCCCCCCTTCCTCCAGCTGTGCCCATGTACAATTCGTGACGCTGATAGTAATAATATGAAAAGTTCCAGACAAATAGGTCGCAAGACATGATATCCATCCAAATCGTAGTTCTTCCCAAAAAAGACATATGGTCTCATAAAAATCAAAAGTCCATCTCAAAAGAATATACCAAAATGACACGCTCGCTCTGCTCTGCAATAAATGACAATAAATGACACACAAAGACAATCCCAAAATCGCTTGCTTCCTTCCAGGTTCATACAAAATCCCGTCCTATATGGCAAAATAAGATAAAAATGTCCAGCTTTGAAGATAGAAGGTGACAAATGAGAATCTGCGCTGTGATTGCTGTGTGATCTCCATCAATCAGAATTCGCGTAGTCTCAATCTCAGTCCCAGCCGCCCAAGATGCTCGGTAAACGGTATGATTTCCAGTGGTTCCTATGAGTCGTAGGTTCGTTGAAAACAGTGTGAAAAGTCAGAAGTTAGCCGGCCCAATTTTTCCGTGAGTCGAGGAAAAAACACAACAAAAAGGGCCTGGGCTAGGCGGTGGCAGGCGTCGTCGGTAGGTTGACGGCGATCGGTGTATGGACTGAAGAATTGACGGATACCCTCCAAATGCAAATTTGTCCCTAGTAATGCCGGTGAAGGCCCAAGAAGTGAAGTAAATCATGCAAAAATCCAGAATATGCAAGTAGATTCAAAAGGGAATAAACGGCGTGGTCGTTCGTCGTCGTCTGAATCAAGAGTACGAAGGACCGTTATGGTCGTGGTGGAGCACTCAGCCAGAAACCTCGACCTTGCGAATGCCGTCTTCGCTCGTCGTTGCACGGTCGCTCTCCTCGACCATGCGCTTGAACTCGTGCACCACCTCGCTTGGGATCCGCTCCCACAAAAGGCTTCGGGTGTAAACCTCGGCCGCAGTCTCGCCTTTGCTCTCCTCGCGCATGGCGGCAAGAGTTTCGGCAAGATTTCGGCGATGGTGCGAAGGCTGGGATCCGGGAGACAAGGGGTCGTTGATATCGTCGCTATGCACACTGTATCCTCGCCGCGTGAACTCTGCCGAGGTAAGGCTGTTGTACTGGGACGGCGTAATGGAGAACAATTGCTCGTTCTCCTGATCTTTGGTAGGGGCGGCAAGATGGGCGTGTAGTTGGTCGAGGTGAGAAGCGGCACCGTGCGACAGGCTGGCGAACTCGGCTCCAGACAGGGTACGCTTGTTCCAGTTGGCGCCGGATGGTCCAGGCTCAAGAGCTTCGATTCGGTTGGCGATGAGGTTGTGGTGTTGGGCAGGCGAAGGTGCGACACCGGCGTCCTTGAAAATGCTGTCAAGAACGGTGGCTGATGCGGCGCGGACGTCGTCTGGCATGCGAGGAAGAGGCGGGGCGGTGGAACCGGAAGACTTGCTGGCAACAAAGGCGCCGCAGAGGAGGAGCATGAGGAGGAGACCTGAAGCAACGGGCTTGGCCTCCGCATCCTTCTTGCGGGGCGCGACGACGAGGGAGTGCTCTTGCTGTTGGTTCTCGGTGGCTGACGGCGTCGACTCGTCCATGCAAAAATCGGGGACGAAGATGTAGTTGTCCCAGTCGTTCGCACCCATGTTAAGGTTGTCCATATCGGAGGCGAAGTCGGTGAAGGTAGAACTTGGTGCAACGGACATGGCAGAGCTGGCGCTCTCGAGCCGCTCGGTGAGGACGTTGACCTTCTTGCGGAGGTCGCCAGTCTCGACGGTGTTGGATCGGACGAGTTCCTCCTTGTCCCACTGGAGCTGATCGATGATATTCCTCATCTCGTTGTGCTCGTGGTGAGCCTGCTCCTTTTCCCGTAGCATGCCCTCCATCTGCAGACGTAGGCTGGTGATCTCATCTTCGAGGACGCCCACCCGCTCGGTCCAGAGCTTCTTCTCCTCTTCGAGCTCTTCGGTGTGCTTCTTCTTTCGTTGCCGTGAATCAAGACTATATAGAGGTTAGCAGGGGGACGTTACAAAACCAAATGCCACGCTGGACAATAAGGCCAAAGCCAAAGAACCAAAATCCAAAGGGAAGGACGTACGCGGCCTGTCTGTTCCTGAGTAGGCGTTTCTGCTGCTTGAGCTCCTTGATCTCTTCATCGTTGGAGGAGTTCTGGATCAGCAGGTCGATGTTGAGGAGGCTCCGCTCCGGCGGGATGTCGAAGCGGGCGTTCTTCTTCCGGATGCCGTCCCGCCGCGGCGAGTAGGAGCGGGGCGGGGAGTTGGCGCGCATGCGCTTGGGGCCTGGCCGCGAATCCATCTCCTGCTGGGCGAGGGCCATCCACTCGTTGTTGCTGTGCGGCGACAGAGGGGTTTCGGGAGCAGCGGGGAAGACGGCACTCGGTTGCACGTTGCTCTGGAGGGGCAATCCACCAAACGTCGACGACATGTGCGATCCGACAGGGATGAAGGCGGACGGCGGCCCGGCATCGTAGTCAGCCTGACCAAACGCGTGAAGCGGCTTCGTTGCCGTGGGTGTCCGGGAGCCAGAATTGTCGTTAATCGGCCACGCAGAGGGCTGCTGGCCGTAGGTTGCTGCTTGGGTGGGCGGTAGGCGTGTGAAGGGGTTGTTGTTCTGCTCGAAGAAGGGATTGCTGCTGTTGGAGGTCTGCTGGCGGTCGACGAAGGGGCCCGAGGTCGGGAAGTCCTCCCACAGCGACGTCTCGGGCGAGAACATGCCCTGGTGGGAGTTGGTCGGCGACATGATGCTGGGGGTGTCGAGAATGGTGGAGTCGAGCGTGACGTTGTCGTCGTAGGAGAAGGTGCTGGGTTTCCGGTCGACGGAGAGCGTGGACGAGGGCCGGTGGAAGTCCATGTGCTGCTGGAACTCCATGGCCGGTGGCTGGGGGGAGGCGTGGGTTTTGTACGAAATACCGGTGTAGCGGCAGTAATGGCGGTGTGGAGGGCTCGATTCGGCAATGCAGAGCAGTTGGTCGGCGATGAGGCGTGGAGCACAGCGTCAATCTGGCTCTCGTGGGGCGGGGGTGGTGGTGTTGGATTAAGTCTGCAGCGTGCGTAGGGAGCACGACGATGGTGGGGAAGTGGTGGCAGAGGGAGCTGGGCGGCGCGGATAGATATGATTACGGCTGGGGGGCAGCGTGACAGCGGACGGGCCGTGCTGGTGCTGTTTCGCTGCGAGTGAAGGCTCGGCTGTGCGGGCATGGTGGGCACGGCTTCACCTGGGGCATCCCACGACCTCCCACCCACGCTCCCTGCGCGCCCTGCCATTCGGTGCCCCGAAAGCGACATCGGGTCGCTGGGTACCGCTGCAGATGGAGCCCGCTCGCAGCCAGTCATTCCTGGGCTCCCGCGCCGCTGCTGCAGCCAGCCAGACCCCAGCGCCAGCTTGTTTGCGACACTTCCGCCGGGCCACCCTCCGAGAGCGACTGCTCCCTCCCAGACGGCCATGGCAAGCCTGAGCCGCCAGCGCCGCAAAACGCGATGCCATGAGCGGCGCCGTTTGCCGTCCTCTCGTCCACATGGCCGCGGACCCGTTGCCGCCAGAGCTGCGCCCAGCGAGAGACCGCCGACGCGTGGTGCGACTTCGTGCAGACGTCCAGTGGACGGGGCCGGCCCGCAGCGTCCATCGCTGCAGTTGATTCGCTTGGGTTTCCTGGCGGCCCGGGCCAGGTCGCGAAAACTCTGAACCCGCCGTGAGGGCGCGCGTTGACACGGAGGAAGGCATCGCTCTATTCTGGCTCTTCGCCCTGCGCTTTGGCTCGCCAGGGCTGCTGCGAATCCTCAACACCACTCGCACGCCCGGAGCGGCATTTCCTGGCGGCCGCGTGGTTTCATCGGCCCTCTCCAGGAATCAGGCGACATGGCGAGTTGCCCGCAAGGTCAACCCTCTCTCCCTCATCCTCCGCCATGGCTGTGTCATCTGTCCAACTTTTGCGCGAGTCATCTCACCGCTCCACTCGCCGGTAATGGCCTCGTCCAGAGACACCCTCCGACCTCCTTTCTGTGCCATGGCGAGTTATCGTGAAGTGTTGCTCAGTGCTCTGCTCTGTGCGTCGCAACGTCGCACCCCCAAGATCCGAGGCAAACCTGCAGCCACATTGAAGCCCGGTCGCTCTGTTGCACCGGGCCAAGCTGCACTGTTGCTGATGAATCTTGACTTGCTGTGCTCATGCTCCTCCGATCCGACTCTCCTCGAGGCCGCGTCTCACCCACAGTTGGTTGGCCTGGCAGCTTGAAGCTGGACGCTAGTGAAACTGCCTCTGCTCTCCAATTGTAGGCTGCCGGCACCAGGCATTGCTTCCTGTTTGTGGACAGCTCTCGCATCGTGCTACCCTTATCGCGACGAATAAGACAATTCTGCCATAAGCGCACCGTGATGATTCGTGTGACGACACCGACGCGGCGAGCACTACACCGGAATCGCGACGTGCAGCAGTCACGCCGCGACGGCCCGGTCGCGGACGGGGAGGGCTCTTGCATCTACCGGCAGCCGTTGCTGAGAGGTCGCTCGCCTCTGCGTCTGGAACCACCGTTGGGCTGATCATGCCCGAGATGGCTTCGCCTGTTCAGGCCTTTGCCAGAGGGCTGAGAGTGACAGTGTCTCCAGATCCAGTCGTCGGCTCCAGACGCTCCACCACCGCGTGCCCCAAGACATTGGCGTTTTACCGGCCGCGCTGAAGCAATGAGCGTTTGCTCCAAGCCTCAACATCAATATTGAAATGCAGCCTCGATGATATGGAGGCCCAATGGACGAGGCTACTGCTGCCCATCTGCATTTGGTAATGTGAATTGAAGGAAAGACAAGGCTGCAGCTGCGAGTGGCTCTCCGTCTCTTCCAAGGCATTGGTTAGGCCGCCCATCTGCGGGTTGGCGAACCTGCGTCGCCTTTGTTCCAACCTTCTGTATCTTGCTGCGTGAACGACCACTCAAGTGCCATCAAGTGGGTCCTACTTGATCTACTTGGCACTGGAAAATTCTAGATATCATGCAGGCGTGTCCACGTCGTCGTTTTTTTTATGAGTCAATCCTCTTCCTTCAATTGCACCCATTGCAAAGGTAGCACAATCAGTAGCCTTGTTTTCTTGGACAACAACGGAGCTATGCAAGTTCCTTCGTGGAAACGGCGCAGAATCCGACTGGTACGCTTGACGAAACAGTAGCTGGTGCTCGGGTACGGTGAATTGGCCCTCTGTTCCATCCAATTGGCTTGCATCGCCTTTTCCGCCCTCCGTTAGACCCAATCATTCCTGCGAGAAGCCGAATCATGGTGGACCTTTCGCAGATAGCGCAGCTTGCGCCTTGGAAGGATGATGCGAGTAAGGGTTGGTCCTCTGCTTCGTCATTGAGAATTAGACGATTAATCTCTGCGACTCTTCCGATGTATGTTTACGATCTGCAAGTCCAGCCTCGGGCTATGCTGTTTCGGAAGCAGCCGTGACGCGGTAGTGGTGACAATTAGTGAAGAGGTTACCAGGCTCCGAGAGCTTGGTTTGACAGTGCGCCTACCCTGACTGCTCCCTTCTCCTTCACCGGGAAGTCGAGTTTAGATCAGCACCTTGATCCCAGGCCCGATCTAGCCGACCTCGGAAGTATTCTTACATTTGTTGATCCACCCTTCAGGCAGTGTGGCAATGCTTCTGAAACATAACGTTGGTGTATTAATAGCGTTTTGAAAATGCGGTGAAGAATTAGCCGTCTGCCCGTGCCAAGCCTGCCTCCAGAAGGATTCAGGAGCAACGAAGTGATCGAGTAGTAGCCGACATATACTCCGACCGTGCGACATATGACAATCAAACGACAGCCTTAAAGGGCTTAAAACAGATGACGAAATAGGAGTTTGGTATATTGGGGGCAGACAGGGTAGATGCTGGGCTTGTGAATAGTGAGTAGCGGTGGGGATAACAAAAGCAGCAAAATGGATGAATTTAGAGAGTTGCGGTGTGTCGCGGTGTGTCGCGGTGAGCCGCGTCGAGTCAATAAAACAAATAGTCTCTGAATTTGATGCTTGACCGCTTGTTCAATCAGTGACAGAGGAAACAGACGTGGACCAACACGTATCGAGAGGGTTTGAATTAGTACATGTAGTCCCGAGCTTTCTCGTATCCTCAACTTTATCGACATGCTATTAGAAGCGGGTGAAGACTTCCGCGCGCAAGAGACGCTCCTTCTAAGCATGATCTCAAGCATAAATGATGCTTTGGGTGATGTAGTTCATACGGCCTACCTGCGCCGTTGATGACGATTTTCCAGTGCCACTCCTAGACACTCATACTCCCTCTTGATCGTCTCTCGCCCAGAGCTTGACGGTGCGGTCGTGACCGCTACTGCAAATCCATTTTCCATCGTTGGTGACGTCTGCGCTGAGAACATTCCCGGAGTGCCCGCTCAGGGTCTTGCAAAGGGTCCAATCTCCCTCAGAGAAGATCTTGATGTTTTTGTCGAAACCACAGGAGATGAAGAAGGTCCCTGCTTTCTTCGGGATTAAGTCTCCATTCTCATCTTTCGAAAGCTTCTTGCCACTTGTCGCCGCGTCTGTTCCCTTGAACCACTTCAGGTCTGTGACTCCGCCCACATTGGCGCCGATAGAAGTCGTCTCTCGCATGGCACGGATATCCCAGCATTTGGCGAAGCCATCACCAGAGCCTGAAAGCACACGGTAGCCATCCACGCTCCAATCCAAGGCATATATCGGCTTAATATGACTCTCCATGACGTACACAACGCGGCCTGTACGAAGATCCCATATACGTCCGATGCTGTCAAGTCCAGCGCTGGCTAGTAGGGATCCATCGGCATTAAAGCTGACGGTATAGACATCCTTGGAATGACCTTCTTGAATTAGTAGTTCTGTTGACGTATCAACGTCCCACAGACGCCAAGTTGTGTCCTCGGAAGCGGACGCGAGGTATCGACCGGAGGGATGGAACTCGACCCTGCAAACTCTTCCATTGTGGCCCGATAGCGTGGATAAAGGGGCAGTCTGATCGAGCGACCAGAGTTGCACGTTCCCACCACCGCCTCCTGAGGCGAAGTTCACAGACGAGGAGGAAACGCTGCTTCCGGAAAGCGTCGCTCCAGGTGACCACGCTACCCCTGTAACGCGATCGGTATGGCCACGATAGACCTGCTGCGTATCGAGGTTCGGCACGTCGAGTAGTTTGATACTTCCAGTCCAGTTGCCGGCCGCAATGTACTCGCCGTTCGGAGAGAACCGTGCAATACCCACCGGCCGGTCGGCGGCGACTTGCGACCCGTACAGCTCGAACCCCTGCAATCGATCCTTGATAATCTTGCGGTATTTGACATGGGTTCGGAGAACAATTGACGCTTCGTCTCGCTGGAATGCGACTCGTTCTTTCGCGCGAGGTAGCGAGTATCGTGCCATGTCTCTCCGTGCATCTAGCAGTTGTGGGACGCCTTGCGTGTAGAACTCTTCCTGCTCATCGCCTGACTGATCCTCGGCATCTCCCATCTGAGTCTCAACATAGCCATCTTCGCCAGCTTCCGCCTGAAGTGTCAGGATCTCTCGCAATCGATCTCGTCTATCGCCAGGTCCTTCTCCGAAGAGCGTGATAGGTTCGCCGAGACGACGCAGGCTGGCTTTGACGTTTGCATCGGCGGTTGGCACAGCTATGGCAGCTGCTCGGCGTTTATGTTCGAATTGTGAAAGGATGGCAGAGGCTTTCTCGCCAGCTCCAGTCGTGCCGGTCGGTAGGGTATAGTCACGATCAGTCGCTGTAGCATCGTCAATGACCATTTCTCGAAGCAAAGAAGCCCGAATTGAGAGTCGAATACTCACGGAGATCGGCTAGGTCAATGCCTCCCATATCTGTGTCCTGTACCCATCCTCCATCAGCTTGAGTTTGCGCGGTCAAACCAGGTAAAATCCACGTGCGGGTGTCTGAAAGAGAGAGCATTTGCTCTACACACGGTTGTGAATACCGAATTGCGGCGGACAAGCTCGAAGAATCTGCGCTTACCTCTACTTCCGCCTCTTCCACATAGGCTTGTCTCGATGGATGCATCATCTTTGCGGTTTTCTGGCTGAAGCGCAACCAGCGCGGGGAGGCGCAGTTCTGGTGAGGTGGTCGCGATACAGCAGAGGTGAGGAAGGACCGATTGTGCGGAGTTATCCAAGAATACAAATCAAGGGCTTTGGGGTGAAGAATGAAGTAGCAGATGTTGGGGTGGACTTAAGATCAGATGCTGCGGTGCCAGTCGACTGGACGCTAGTGTTCTGCAGCAGAGCCTCCGCCAAGCAATGATTTCATCTCGCCAAATCTTTCTCCCATCGCAGATCTATCTGGACGACTCCCTCCCCCATTGTTCACCCTCACGATGCAGCACCGCTCCCCCAGCTCCCTCCAGGCCAGCGACGCCTAATCTGCGCCCCCTGGCTTTGGCGACGGCCATGGGCTTCGCCGCTCCCGGCGCATTGGGGCTCTCAGAGAGCCTCGCATATCGCGCCAGCTCACCACTAGCACGCTCCCCCGGCTTCCTCCTCCTGTGCCTCTCAACCTCCTCTCTCCTCGCCGCCGCCTCTGCTACACGCGCCTACAATCCCCACGCCTGGAGCACCTCATCCGCACCAACTTGCCCCGTAAGCCGCCCTTTCAGCTCCACCTGCCATGCCTCAAGCACTGCGCCGACCTATACCTACCGCATCGCCGCCTCCTACTCCGCAAAGGGGCACCGCCTCGCCCCCGAAACAAACCTCTTCACCCAGAAGCCCTTCGAAGGCCATAAGAGCGCCCTTACCGACCTGAAAGAATGCAAGCGCCAGGCAGACGCCTCACGCCCGCGGCCGCGGAGCGGGCAAGACGCCTTCTTCGTGAGCCAAGTCGGGGCGACCTCCTCGACCGTCTTCGGTGTCGCGGACGGCGTGGGCGGGTGGGCGGACTCCGGGGTCGATCCCGCCGACTTCGCCCACGGGCTCTGCGACTACATGGCGTGCGCTGCGCGGATGCACCCGGCGGCGTCGACGAAGCCGGGGCCGCTGCGACCCAAGGATCTCCTGCAAGTGGGCTTCGACGAGGTCATGGCGGACAAGAGCATTGTGGGCGGCGGCAGCACGGCGAGCGTGGCGCTGGGTGCGGCGGACGGCTCGGTCGAGGTTGCGAATTTGGGGGATTCGGGCTTCATGCATTTGAGCATGCATGCTGTGAAGCACGTGTCGCGTCCGCAGACCCACGCTTTCAATACCCCGTACCAGCTTTCCAAGACGCCGGAGCGCATGCTGGTGCAGATGGCCGTGTTTGGCTCCAGCCCGCTGGCTGACTTGCCGAAGGATGCGAATATAACATCCCACCGCGTCCGTCATGGCGACGTGCTCATCTTCGCAACGGATGGCGTGTGGGATAATCTAAGCCCACAGGACGCTCTCGGAGTCGTCAGCAAGTGCATGTTGGAGCTCGGGGCGTGGGTCGAAAAGGGGGACCAGGAGCTAGACGTCAGCGAAGACCTGGCGACGCTCACGCAAGCAAACAAGGCCACCCAGAAGGCGAATGCCAAATCCCTCCAAGCGAGGCTCGCTTTCGCTATCACCAAGGAAGCGAAGGAGACGAGCTTGAACACCAGGCGGGATGGTCCGTTCGCCAAGGAGGTGCAGAAGTATTACCCTGAAGAGAACTGGCATGGTGGCAAGCCAGATGATATTGCAGCCGTAGTGGCTGTCGTGGTTGAGAACAGCACGGCGTAGACCGCTGTATTTGTTTCTCTCTGTGTAAGAGCTATTTGTATCAATTCGCGAAGCATGAGCCGGGTGGCATTGGAATCAACTTTTGGGTGGCCTTTTTTCAATTCATTAAACTCGTACATATACAGTCTAGAAGGGCAATTGGGTAAAGGAATCAAATATTTATAACTCTTACGCTATCTCCATCTGTCTCAGACCCACGAGAACAGACGACGTCCCTTCTCAGCGTGGTGAGCTTCATTACACCGTCCCGGCGCTCTATTCTCCCTCTATTTCAGCTTGTTATGTCCAGCACACCCTATATTAGGCGAGGGAAATAGGCCAAGTTATAAGGCATCGAGATGTATAAACGGGAGTCAGTCCGCGCGATCTGCACTCAATAATGGTATATTATTGCGAGACACCCTATATTAGACCGCCCGGAAGTTCAAAATGTACACTTGCTTGACACTGCTTGAGATGCTCCAACCCACAATCAAATCTTTGGGCTAAACGGAAAGTCTGAACCATGCAGACCAGATAAAATACCGAGCGCTCGTGTCACGACACCCTATATGGGAGCATTACAATAGGGCAGTTAGTAGTGGATCAAAGTGTATAAATGGTAGTCAGATCGCGCAAGGTAGATTCAATTCTAGCATGTTGTTTGGGGAAGTCCTAAATCGGACCAAAGGATTAGACCAACTTACAGTATAACACACTATATGAAGGGTAGCTAGTCCGTGCGGTTTGGAGCCAGTTTTGGCATGTTATTGGCGTGCCTTGTAACTCAAGCCACAGAAAGAAAGGCATACTAACGACGGCAGCCAGTCCACTTGAGCTCCACTTCCACTTAAGTATGATATCAACCTGTCGAATCACTTCACTAACAAGGTGTTCATAGGCACACTTCCAATGAACGATCTCAATGCTCAAATTTGCAATCCAACACCTCTGGATTCTTAAAAGTACAAAAGCACATCCACAACTTCCACCAATAGATACACTATGTACCTACCAGCCTCCATCTAAGCACTTCCTCCCACCCAACATGGGGAATAAAAGCCTTCCAACGACATTAACACGCCGACCTGTCCGTCTCTCTCCTCCCCACGGGACCAGGTCCGCAGCCAGCACCAGTGCTGGGAGTATGTTGTGCAGAAAAAATTGCCCTAGTGACATCAACTCCAGTGATGTCCAAAAGAAGCACCAGACATATAGACAAAAGAAAATGCTGTGCAGCGGCTGCCCAAATACGTGCAACAAAGCGTGCGTGTGTGGTGGTGGCATAGCCCAAGGTGAGGATATAAGTAACAACGAAAAGAGAAGTGCGAAAGAGCCCAAAATGGGGGGTGAGATCCTCCTCATACCATACGCCGTGCCTGTCCGAGGATATGCAATAAGTCCCGCAATGCACGAATTCCTAGGTACGCCGTCGCCAATGACAATGCTTTCTGCAAATTTGTCGTATGCACATATAAAAAAAAAAGTGGGGGGCCGGTTGGTCTATGTCGCAAAACTCTTCTTTCGGCCAAAGATAGTTCGCGTCCGTGACTTGTCGCGAGGCTTCTTCTCTGACGTGTCTTTCTTCGAAGAGCGACCTGATCGTGTAGACCTCGCGTCTGAGGATGCGTCGTCCATGTACTTCTCCTTATAGATCCTGGTTTCACGTTAGAATGATGAGATATGCAGTGTTCTGAGAGGACTTGCCAACTGTTCCCAGCCATGCTCACTCCCTTCGCTTCTGCCATTCGGTAAAATTTCGCCGCTTTCTTCATGTCCTTCTTGCATCCGACCCCCTGTGCATAACAAAAACCAGCCTCGGTGAGGGCATCTGGGTCTCCCCAGTTTCCAGCAATTTCATAGCACCGCAATGCCAGAGTTTTATCTTGCTGAATACCCCATCCGTTTGCGTACGATTGAGCAAGCTCATATATGGAATATGCAAATTGGGCTTTATGAGTCTTGCGTTCCATGATATCCGAGGGTTTGCCTTGTTTGGTCTGGTCCTCGTCCTCAGCTACCTCTAGCTGGGCAATGTCGACAGCACGGCGTAGCCATGACACACCTTCGGCTTCGTTCTTGCGCATACCCCATCCATGGCGGCAGGCAAGGGCATACAGGAGCATTCCGGTTGGGAGGCCAGCCTTCGCAGCAAGGCGAAGGTGGTAGGTTGACTCTTTCAGAGACCCAGCTTCATGGCAGGCAATCCCACGGTCCAGATGCTGTTCAGCAGTAACCTCACCAGAACCGGTAGGCCGGTTTGGCCGGATTGTACTATTGCTAGATGTGAGTGAAGGCGCACCGTGACGTTCTGCTGATGAGGTACGAGACACCGCAGCTGGCGGTGCGGGTTGACTTCTAGGTCTGTCCATAGAGCGAGGTGGTGATGGTGGTGAAGGTGGCCGTGTCCGCGATGTAGGTGCGTTGCTAGGACCATTGCCGTTTTGAGGTTGGTCCCATTGGATCTGCTTGTTTAAGAAATCAGCTGCGTTGATTGACTCTCGCTGAGGTTCTCGTCCACGGGGTAGATCAAATCGGGAATAGGTATAAGCTGGTACCGGGTGGTTCTGCGAGTCTGACGATCTGCGGAAGTCTTCGCTAGTCATGCTCACAGGGGTGTGCACGACGTCGTTTGAATAATTCGTGAGAGGACTGTCATTGGCATACTGCCTTGAACTGTCAAAAGAAGGCCTCATCATGGCGCTCTCGTCTGACGTTTGCCGAGAGGGCCCTTCAAATGAGGGCCGGATGTCAAAGGAAGGCCGGCTAGCACTGCTGAGTGGCCGAGAAAAGTTGAAAGCAGGGCGAGGTAGTTGTGTGCCCCCAACCGAATATTCGGATGATATAGAAGGCGACCGAGGAATAGAATTATTGATGAATGGGGATCCTGGAGAGTAAGGGTGTGAGAAAGAAGAATTTGTAGACATTTGTCGTCGCGGAAGTGAGTCGTATGAGCCTCCTAGGGACATGCCCTCGACTTCATCTGAGCTGTCGCCGGGAACCGAGCGGATGCTAGGGGAAACGCGAGGTGACCTTGACGGTGCCGGAGACCGTGGTGGCTGAAGAGCATTTGATCCATAGCCTCGTGCAGCCACGGAATCAATAGCAAGTGTACTTTGCTTAGGAGCCTGTTTAGAAGTGAACGGGTATGTTGCATTTTGGCCGAGATGTGAACCAGGGGTGACTGGAGTAGCTTCTTGGACGGGCCCTATACGGGGCTCCGCTGGCATTGGCGAATGTGTCCTAGATATGGCGAAGTAGTCCTGGTGGTTAGGCACGGGTTGCTCCCCCTCGTCTACCTTTGACAGGTTATTCCGAAAGGGGAAGGTCTTCTCATACGGCGCCTCATCCGACTGAATCTGAGGGTAGAAAGACTTGTGCTTGTTGTCTGGCCGAGTTTCGCGTGCGCTCTGGGGCGTGTGTTCTTCCTGGAACTCTGGCTCGTCTGGCTCGTCCTGGAATGGCAGCGATTGAGAGTTGGTAGACTCCCCCGATATGGATCGAAAGAAGTCCGGGCGGTTCCCAAACTCGTTGGCGATGGTGAGCGGCGGCAGCCTGCTAATACGACGCCCACCACTGTTCTTCCTGTCAAACTCCTGGGCGAGCAATCGACCTCGAAGCGCAAGCGCATCCAAGGGCGAGAGGGCTGGAGGAACGCCGCCAGACGTCGGACTGGGCAAATCGTTCATGACGAAGTCGGGGTTGCGCGATTGTTGCGCATCGTGGTTGGACTGGAAGGCCAGATTGTCCGGGCGGTCCAGGCGATTAACCATGGCTATATTAAAGGCGGATTACTAGGAGGGCGGGCGGTGGTGTTGTGTGGGCGCGGTGCCGGCGAGACCATAGGGAGGGAGGCTGTGGCAGGCGGTGGCGACAGCGCAGGGCGATGTCAGGAGAAGCGGTTAAACGTTGAAGAGGGGTGCCAAGAGCCGGACACGTAGCGACAGTGTGCAGAGGAGAAGCTGCGAACGACGGCATGCGTAGAGGAGGGGTGTGGGCAAGCAGGCCAGGAACGAAGAGCGAGGGACATGGTCTCGTGAAGCTGAGAATACGGGGTGTGCCAAGCTCAGGAGAAGACGGAGCCGTTATTGCAAGGTTCGATGCAACACCACCACCACAGCCAATCGCAGGCTCTCGGGCCCGTGCCGAGCAATCTGTGGAGAACAGCCCGCAAATAATCACTCGCAGCGCGGATCTGGGTCCAAATTGCCCGTCGGCGCTGTCTTGGCACGCTGCTGACTTTTTCTTATGAATATCACGCCTGTGAAGGATGCGGGAAGCGGACTCCCAGCCAGCACGTTCAATTCCGAAAATAGCAATACATAGCCTCTTGCTCAGCATTGCTCTGTTACGTCACTGTCCTGCAGCAAGTCACGACCCATTCGAGGTTAGTGGCCTCGGTTTCCGTGGTCAAACGCTTCACGCTTCACGCTTCACCGAACAGCGGTTCGCTAGAGAAGAGCTTGTTTCCATACGTGGTACAGAACATGGATGACAGGAGATTCCTCGAACGGTCCATCGCTCACCGCATCGATCCACTTCCAATTCGCCATTAGTCCCCGTGGAAATACAGAGCTTCCACGACCCGAGAACACATCCCCGTTGCCTGCCGTGCTCTCGTCGAAGCAGAGCCGAGTTCCACGCCATAGCTCCTAAGCACCGCACCCATTACCTCACACAACCGACTCGACCTTCTCCCACGACTGCGTGCTATCTTCCAATTGCGGCTCGGCCACCTCCTCCAGTGACACGCGCCGTATCCCCAGCATCCATCCCACCAGCCCTGCCGGAACCCAATTACCCACCACGTCATACGCCACGCTCCCTCGTCCCACCCTCCACACCTTCCGCGGATGCTTCTGCGTCAGCGCGTCGAAAACAGCATTGTGCAGCTCTCGCAGCGCGCTTCCTGACGCCGCACTGCCATGCTCGTTGAATAGCCCTTTGCTCCCCGCAATCCGGCTCTGCGTCACGTAGTTGTGCGCATAGTGTGCCCTCGCCGATGCCGGCCAAGTGTAGGTCTTGGGTCCACCGATGGACTGGAGGTGTTGCTTTCCGCCCACGCTTCCGTAGTCGAATGTTCCCAGCTTGAATTGGCACACGTCAATCCCTAGAGTGCCTAGTTCCCCCCTAAGGGATGTTGTGAACCCCTCAAGCGCCCCCACGACGGCACTCTCAACTCCGTGGAATGGTGGTCTTAGTGACGAGACAATACTGGGTGTGAGGACTAGCACTCGCGCTTTGAATTCGCAGATAGTAGGTAAGAATGCTTGGGTCGTTGCAATCGTACTCAGCACCTTTGCGTTGAGGGCATCTGACCAGAGCTCCGGGGAGACTGTCTCGATCGGACCCGAAGGGTATATAAGATCCGGCACGAGGATAAGACCGTTGAAATGAAGGTTATGTGGGGAGGCTCCTGCGAAGGCAAGATGTGGACTCAAAAGTAGGTTGTTAAATCGCTCGATTGCTTCCTGTGCGTTTAGCGTCTACACCATGGGTTAGCATCGTGGTCGAAGAGGCCAGTAGTGTACCTACATCAACAATATCAAGATTTAGTGGCCTGATGTCTACCCGTGCTTCGCTTTGCACTGTCTGCTCCTCTTCCACACTGTTTACGACGACGTACACGATAAATCCCCGCCGTTCGAGATCCAGCGATATCGACTTAGTAATGGGTGAGCTCGGGGGTCCAGCAATCACTGCATTCATCAGTCTCCGTCATAATGCCCAATATAAGCAGACTTCATACCGACAACCTCCCGCCTTGCGCCGTTGCTAGCCCTCCTCGCCCTCCGCTTCCGGCTGTATGTCTTCTTCTTCCTGTAGATCAGGAACGACCCGGTTCCGACAAACGCAACAAGCGCTGCAGTCACCGCTCGGTTTTTTGATATCCAGTCCTGCACACGTTCGAGGTATCCGGGTGGTATTCGGGAGAATGCGCGTGGTGGGGGTGGAGGGGGCCGGACCGCCTGTGGAAGCCAGTCGGCATCTTCAAGTTGCTTTCTTATAGTACCTGCTACCCAGGCAATGTGTTGGTTTGTGTAGTCGGCGACGCCATTGCCGATCTTCTCGGCGCTGTTGAAGATCTAGAGATGTTAACGAAAGCGTCTTTGAGGATACTCGAGGGTGGTCTCACGCTATCAAGGAAGTGTTGGTCGTCGGCCGTCATGGCTGCTGACTTTCGGGAGAAAAAAGTATTAATAAATATAGAGCTCGATGGCTACAAGAAACAACAGAAGAGACGTTGGAGATGGAGCTTCACGATGATGGAAGGGCCGTGGTGCATCGTCGTCATGGCGGGAGTTGTGGTGTTATCGCCGAGCACGTGACCCTTACTTATAGTGGTCTGCGTTGATTGGCGATGGCAATGCTGGGTCCTTCAGCCTCGCCGTCAGCGACGACATTTGGGGGCCTCGAACCAGGTATAACTGTATAGGGTTGACTCTAACAGATAGCAACGCGTTCTCGAGGACTGGTTGCCCTAAATCTCCAGCGACCGCTTTCCCTCACAATACCTAGCTTTCTCATCAGCGTCGTGAATGCAGCTTACGTGGCCGAGTTTGCCTTCGCGGACGTAACCTCTTCCATAATCCTCTTCTATGTCTTTCCATGCTGTCTCGCCCTTGAGCTTCTCTTTTCACTGAGTTGCTCATTCTCAGATTTCCTCTTCATCAAACCCCAGCTGCGGCCCACCGACTAAGGCCTGCGCGAAGCCCCGCCTCCGTACAAAGGCATTTTTAATTCCACATTTATTGACTAGCTTCTGAAACACCATGAGCCGCACAGGTGGATCTGCAAACATGAGGGAGATCGACTCCCATTTCGATGCTTACGAGCATATGAAGCACCTTCCGCGTGAGCAGGAGGCTCTTATCATGCTTCGCAAGGCTGCCTCGGCGGCTAAGCCTATGATGAGGAAGCGCGGTTGGAAAGTAGGAACTCTGGCCGAGTTTCTACCAGATACAGAGAACTTGCTAGGTAAGAAACGTATCACGCAACCTAGGGCTTAGCCTGATTATCTTCTAGGGCTCAATGTCAACAAGACAGAGAGAATTCTACTTCGGCTTCGTTACCACCATGATTCCCGACAGTTCCTCCCACTGGAGCAAGTTATAGATACACTACTCCACGAGTAAGACCCCAACGAACCCAACACGTGCTGACTACTAACGCATATAGATTATCACATATCATATGGGGACCGCACGACCAAAATTTCCAAAACTGCTGGAATGAGCTTCGCGATGAGCATCAGTCTCTTCTTGCCAAGGGGTATACCGGCGAGGGCTTCCTGGGACAGGGCAAGAAACTGGGCGGAAAACGTGTCCCCTTGACTGAAATGCGGCGACAAGCTCGCGCTGCCGCTGAAAAGCGACGCTCGATCAGCGCAATCACTGCTGGCTCTGGGAGGAAGCTCGGTGGCTCGCCTGTTACTCCCGGTGTTGATATGCGGAAGGTTATTGCCGATGCTGCAGCTCGACGAAACTCGATCACTGAAGGTTGTGCCTCTGGTAGCAAAGAGGCAGGCAAACTGTCAACAGATGCATCGAAGGTTGGCTTCCGAACAAAGGCCGAAGAAGACGATGCAAATGATCGTGCTATTGCACAAGCTCTACGAGAACTCATGGAAGAAGAAGAAATGACGAGGCTAGATGAACTCTATGCACCAAGCGGAGCTGGAGGCCTAGCATGGGACCGCGAAAACGGCCTTTCATTCGACGACCTCTCACAACCTCAATCTCCAGGTCTGAGCTGGAACAAAGAGAAGGGCTTAATACTGGACCATCCAAATCCACCTAACCGCAACAGCCGTCCAGTTTCACGACTCCTCACCGAGAACCCCGGCCCCTTTCGAACACCATCATCCTCAACAACCTCATCAGCCAATCGCGCCAGCAGACCCCCCTCTCGCCTCATTTCCGAAGACGAAGAACAGCGACGTCGTTCAAAGGCCCTCCCGAGCATCCCCGCCTTTGAGCAACCCCTCGAGCCTGTGCCGTCCAGCGACCCAGATAAGTGGGCATGTCCGCAATGCACACTACTAAACCACCTCAACTTCCTCAGCTGCGAAGCCTGTGGGCTGGAGCAGCCGCCTCAGCCGATACCCAGGAACAAGCGGTATGGACCCGCGCAGCGTCCACCACTGCCGAAGGCTCCACCAGCGGCTAGTTTGCGGGGACCGGGTGCTACGCCTTTCGAACCAGCGAAAGGACGGATTGGGTGGAATTGTTTGAATTGTGGGACGTTTATGGAGAATCAGTGGTGGACGTGTTCGTTGTGCGGAACTATGAAGGCAGAGTCATGAGGGGTGGTGGGAGGTTTACGAAGTCATGAACGCGACAACTTGGGGGCAATATATCTTTATCAAGGTACCTGGATAGCGACGGCGTAAGGAATATCTTGATTCCTTGGGGATTGGTGGTCCGCGCCGGGTGGTAATAAGCAGCGGAATAGCAGGATTCAATCCACTCTTACGCTCACGTGGGTTGATTCGTAATGCAGGGGCAAGATGTGACGCATGATGCTTCGGGTTTAAGGTTTTGCTGTGCAATCACAATAGTTCTCATTCTACTCTTTCCTTGTGCTCAATTGCTCCTCCACTATTACCTGCTGTTGTGTCTTATCAGCTACGCACTCAGCTGCAATTCCCCCCCTCCCTTCACCCACCCATCCTAGGTTTTTCCCAAGAGCCCATGTGGTACGTGTGGCAGAATCATTGCTGATTCCATGATGCAATACCACCAGAATACGTCCCATCTCACTGCACCACTGTCTGAGGGGCTTCAGCGCATTATCAGAAATCAGTATGAAATGTACATATCTAGATAGCTTTCTGTCTAATAATCCATCATGTCCCCTGCCATGGTCCGCTGGTACTTCTCCACCACTTCATGGCACCTAACCATGACGCCCGCCGCCAACATCCTCACCTTTTCATCCTCTTCCGCACCCGCTCCCAGCCTCTCAAACACTCCCCTTACCCACTCTTGCGTCTCCAACAGCTCCTTCGCGTGCTCCCGTGCCAACCGCTGCTTGTCCTCATTCGTCTCGAGCAGCGTCAGCAGGGCAAACAACAGCGCCGCCAATATAAGCGGATCTTGCACCGCCGCACCTCTCACACTCAAAAGCAGATCCCATAGCTCCGATGTCATTTGCGGCAAGCTCAGTGTACTCGGCCCGCTCGCGTTAAGTAAGATGGCGAGGGTTTGCAGGAAGGGAGGGAGAAGGTGCGGCGAGGTGTAGATGTTGTCAGGGTCAGACGCCTGCATATGCGTCCACCAGCGGCCAGTGAGTGGAAAGAAGAAGTTCTGCGCAACGATAGCGGCAAGGGCGTTCGGAATAGGCTTTTTACGCTTTGCTTCGACAGCCATGCGAGAAGAGAAGGTGCGGATTTTGAGGGCGTTAGGCCCGGTAAGACTGTCGGCGGCTGAGGCTGCCATGGGCGATAACATGAGGTGTTCCATTTTGTTGGACAGAGCGGCTACTGGTGTTGCTTCGGCGGCGTAAAGTTTGTGAAGTTTTGGAGGGAGGATTTTGGAGGGGAAGGAGGAGGTAGGGGTGGTCAATCCCGTGGAGCTGTTCTCGAGTCCTGCTAGTTCTCGTGCACCAAGCCCCATGGTCGTGAGCATGGCAACTCGTTGGGTTAGGGAGTAGTCTCCGGAAAAGAAAGAACGTGCGAACCATTGGCCCATTTGAGCTGGTTGAGCGAGTAACGTGGCTATTAGAGCTTTCTGCCGCATCTCTGAGAAGTTCTCCAACTCGAATGGATCATTTAGTCCTACGAGAGTACTCGCTAGTTGTTCGATATGGTCGGTCACTTCTTTACCAAAGTTTACCTTTTTTCGAATGAGGATAGCAGCAGTAGAGAGCGCTAGTTGGTGCCGATCATAGTCCTCGTTTTCTTTCAGGCCAGCTATAAGATCGCGGATGTACCTGAATATGTTAGCCAAGCGGTATGCATAGTAAGGCATAAGGTCTAACATACACAGGGGCTGTAGGCTTGTTTCTTTGGACCATTGTGGGGTCATCATCTTCGTCCTCTGGGTCTGAATCTGGCTTTCCATAAGGAACAAGATCATCGTCTTCCGATGAATCCAATATCTCGACGATTCTTGGGCCAACGATCTGACTAGAATCAACGGCCGTTCGCTTTGAACCTACCTTGGGATGTGGAGCTTTCGGTTGCTGTTGAGTTTTCTTTAAATTCTGCTTTGATTTATCGTGGGTTTCCGTCCGCTTCGTATCCGGAGAGATCAGGTCGCTAGGATTGCCCAGTGGATCTTGAACTTGGGTGAGCTGTTTATACCACTTGACTTCCCCTGCTTCGACCTTGTCAAGCTCGAATTTCATCCTCTTATCTGGGGTATCTACGAATTCAGATATCACGGTACCGACCACGATTCCTAGGAAGCGAGCTCTGGGTGAAGATGCTCCAATTCGATTCGACATTCCGTTTCGATGGACACTAGAATTCGACAAGGCCGCTAACGACGTAGGCTGAGATCTATGCACGTACCCACATGCGAGTAAGAGAGTCTGAGAGAGCGCTACACTGTGTAAGACTTGGGACGTGAGATATTTACGAATCTTCTTACCTTCTTGATGTAAGATCGGGGTATGTCTGATGTACATCTGGTCGCCAAACGAAGCGAGACTTCGATCCATGATGGCCTGAAGCCTCCCTGAAGAGCCGTAAGTATGTGGTCTCGGTATATCGAAATGCCCTCGTCGTACCAGCTTCAGTAGAAAGCGCAGCTATCATGCTTCTACGGCACGCTAGATTCATATCAACAGCACCGCTAACGGCGCCTGTCAGTATGGAGACCAGGTAGTCTGATAGAACGTCATTTCCCCTGATCAAACTATGGATTAGGCCGGCAACTCCTGAGACCATGCGAGATCTCTTCAATGAGACCTCGTCTTTTGTATTGGGAATTGAGTCGAGATAATTTTTAGAGAGGCAAACTATGGTCGAGTTCATGAATTGACGTTGCTGATAAGCTGCGAGGCGCTGGAGTATGCTCTGAGACCTGGAACTCAGATCAGGATCGGACAGCTCCGAGAGTAGAGGACTGATCAAACGATCTAGGATTGTTAGATAGATCTGAAATAGACATCGCTAGTACACTTGCCCGTATGCCCAAGCATCAACGCTTTACCTAAGATAGTGGATATGCCAGCTTTTTCGTTCTCACTAGAAGCTCTCATCCTTTTAATCATTCCTACGATGTTGCGACCTAGCCAAGTAGCATACTCCCTTCCTTGGGCAAGCCACGCATCTTTTCGACCCGTCCTTGAGATTTCCGACGTGTCTTCAGCTTCAGCCGCAATGGCTAGTACCTTGCCAGATGCTGTCTGTGACACGTACTCTTTCCAAATCAGGGTTTGCTGAACAGTGTTAGGCGCAAGTAAAATGACATCAGTCCAAATTTGCCAAGATATCTCATCACCTCCCAGGATGCGAGAAAGAACATCCAGGAGGTCTTCGATATGTTGAGATAGATTTCTGATCCCCTCGGCCGGTTTGCTTTGCTTTGCGTCGGCGATGAGAAGTTTGAGTCGGGCAATGACAGCCCCGATTCCGCTCACACTTTGAAGGCATCGAATGATCTGATTGCGACAAAGAGGATCCTTCGAGCTGTCTGTGAAAGACCTCCAGTAATCTGGAATAGTGACACCGACTAAGATGTGGATGATTTGAGCCGCCAAAGCCCCTGGTAATAGGATTGAAAAGGACTGTTTGCTGTGAACAGCAGAGGACAAGTATCGCAGGGCTTCCCCGACCGTTTCATAGTCTGGTTGAGTCTTGAGTGCTCCTAAAACGTCCTCTGGGGATTCGATCACAGCGACCCTAGATCCCTGTTGCTGATTGCTTGACCCATGGGCAGATGGTGTGTCTTTCACCGTGGAGATAGTGCGCACAGGCTTAAGAAAGTCGTCCATGTTTTACTCTCCATGGACTGAATTTGAAAGCAAGCTGTTGCGGTCAAGGAGCTGTCGAATGAGTCCTGAAATCTTCATCCCGAAAAATAAGACTTCATGGTGTTTTGGTGTTGAAGCGGGCAGACGGTGGAGGTGAATCCAAAAGGTACAAGTTTAATAAGGTGGCGCTACGCCTTATGCACGGGCCTCCTTCACTAGGCGACATCGACCCGTATAAATGGATGCCTGTCCTCGATTGCTTCAACTTCACGCAAGCCGTCGTCCTGTTACCACTACTATCAAATGGCAGCAGACTCCGCCCTCACGAACGGGGCCGATTCCCAGAGACTAAGATGGTAAATCCGGATCTTCTCAGGCTATTTTAAGCTGCTAACTCTAGCCCGCAGGAAGTATCTCGACAGGATTCTAAGCCGGCCGGGGCCCTTCACAGATCCAGATTGGGAGCCCGGTGAAGCAGTCATCGAAGGCTTGTCTAGAGCAAAGATACTGTACGGACGCAAATTTGCCTTAGTAGTGACTGTCTGCTGACGATCTCTAGGGTCATGTGCGCTCAAACCGAGCAATTAAGTCCTCTACTGAGCTAACGTCGTGCAGCGGTGCAGGTGGTCTGGGATGCGAGATTTTGAAAAATCTTGCTCTCTCTGGTTTCAAGGACATTCATGTCATTGATATGGGTACGATCTAATGCCCAGCAGCTCGATTCAAGGCTGACCCTAGTTCCAGATACCATCGATGTTTCGAATTTGAACCGACAGTTTCTCTTTCGTCACGCCGATGTAGGCAAATACAAAGCTGATGTCGCTGCACGTTTCGTTGAGAAGCGGGTAAAGGGCGTTAAAATCACGCCATATTGCGGCAAAATTCAGGACAAAGACGAGGACTATTACATGCAATTTGCAATGGTCGTATGTGGACTCGATAGCATTGAAGCCCGTCGCTGGATCAATGCCACCCTCGTTGGATTGTTCAACGAAGAGGACCCGGACAGCTTGAAGCCTCTGATTGATGGCGGAACGGAGGGTAAGTTAACGACACTCGGCCTTCTTTTTGTCTAGGTCTAACGCTTCATAGGATTCAAAGGGCAGGCAAGGGTTGTATTCCCTACCATGACATCCTGCATAGAATGCCAACTTGATATGCATGCACCACGTGCAGCGGTGCCGCTTTGCACGCTAGCTACCATTCCCCGACAACCTCAGCATTGCATTGAGTGGGCTCACATCATTGCCTGGGAAGAAGAGCGCAAGGGTAAGAGAAGAGCAAACCGTTGATTTTATATTGTGCTCATTGTGCTCTAGACATCACCCTCGACACGGATGACCCAGAGCATATTACCTGGCTCTTCCAGAAGGCCTTGAAGCGAGCCCAAGAGTTCAACATCTCCGGAGTCACGTACTCTATGACCCAAGGCGTCGTAAAGAACATCATACCCGCCATAGCATCAACAAATGCTATCGTTGCTGCGAGTTGCTGCAATGAGGCCTTCAAATTGGCTACCAACAGCAACCCGTTCTTAGGCATTCCTGAGACCGACAACTATATGATGTATACTGGGGACGAGAGTATCTACACTTACACTTTCCAGCATATCAAGAAGCCAGATTGCCCCGTTTGCGGCAATCTCGCCAAGAATCTTGAGGTAGACTCCAAATCTACGTTACAGGAGTTCATCGATAGTTTAGCAGAGAGACCAGAAGCGTGAGTTGACCGGAGCCAACATGTTAGTTCAGTTGTTGACTATAACGCAGACAACTTAAGAAGCCCACCATTCGAACGGAGGCGAAGTCCCTGTACTATCAATCACCTCCGGCGCTCGAAGAGCAGACAAGACCTAACCTATCCAAGAAGCTCAGCGAGCTAGTATCAGATGGGGAAGAGGTTGCTATACAAGATCCAGCTTTCCAGATTGCGTTCAAGTTCAAGCTGGTCTTCAAGAAGTGATCACGTTTCTTACCAGCGAGGTGCGATCGTGAGGGTCTATCCTAGCGAATGAAATGCATGGGGATATGGCGTTAATGTCACATGAGCTCTTCATACGACTTCACAGACAGAACAATCCTGGTCTAGTTGTTCTTCCTTAGGGGTAGAAATTGGTGATTACTAGGTGAATTTGGCCTGCTCAAGCTAGAGGCCCTATTTCCACATATTGAAGAGTCATTGAGGCTCCCCAAACCATTCACATGTTGCTCTAATTCGCGTGCGCGATTGCCGACGAGAGGTAAGAACGTCGAATGCGATAGGTTTGAAGTAACTCTACCAACGCGAGAACATGGAACGGCTCAAAACATGTTCTGGAAATCCATAACTAAGCTTAGCTTGGATTTTTAATCCGAAGGAAATCCTTCAATCCTACAAATCTGACTCAGACGACCGTGATATCATAAGCATAATTTCCTGGTGAAATTGTTTAGGAGAAACTTTGAGTGAAGCTGTCTACAATCGGTCCCTTAACTCGTAATATTTGCTTCCATTTGAATTAGAACAGCGTTCATGTGACCGTGAATGTCTAGGCCTTGAAATAAAACGGCGACGTAAGCAGCGACGTAACCGAATGACAGGTCCCCTTTACAGGGTTCTCGGCGATTTCAAGAAGTTCACCTACGCGTTCACCCCCATCGTATCCGACCATAATTGCCAGCAGCTTGCAGAAGATGCTGTGGCAGCTTCTCCACCTCCTCCCGCCAGTATCATGACAGCCTACGACGACTATGGCTTCCCTGTAGGCGCTCAAAACCAATATCCTCCACCTCCGAGCTTCGCCGCACGTGTGCTACGCCAACTCCACGCATTCACTATACAGTATATCATACCATGGGTTCAAGAAAAGATCCAACAATGGAGAACTGGACGTTGGACTATTCGTAGCGTCTTGACGCTGGTAAAGGGGATAGCACTTGTCTGGTTTGTGGTCCTTTACTGTGGGGAGCGATCAGTCTTCACAAGTAGCGTCGCCAATTGCCAATGGGATAATTGGGAGAAATGGGTTCGTTTCTCTTTCACTTACTACTGCCAGATTCGCTCCACTCTCTGTGTGTCAAGATACTGATTGTACGTAAAGCCCCAGGACGCATCACCGCATAGACTCGTTTTCGTAGCAGATCCTCAGTTGGTAGATCCGCATACCTACCCCGGACGACCCTGGCCATTGTCCGCACTGACCGTGAAGTTCACGGATGTGTACGTTCGCCGGACATTCTCCCGTATACAAACGGACCTATACCCTGACACCGTATTCTTTCTGGGAGATCTGTTTGACGGCGGACGCGAGTGGTCTACCCGGTCAACCGTCAGTCCAGAAGCACAATGGAGGAAGTATGGCGACAGTTTCTGGCTCAGGGAATATAACCGCTTTGGTCGCATATTTTTCGACCATTGGGGCGATGGAGGGATGGCACCGAGGCCTGGCCAACCAGGGCGTAAAATTATCAGCAGCTTGCCCGGTAACCATGACTTGGGCTTTGGGAAAGGCATTCAGATGTCAGTGCGCAAGAGATTCAATGCGTACTTCGGAGACGGCAACCGGATTGACATCATTGGGAATCACACATTCGTGTCCGTGGATACTGTCTCGTTCAGCGCCCTAGGACAGGAGGACCCGCATTCGGTTGAAGATCTATGGAGGCCCACCATGGACTTCTTGGATAACGTAAAAGCTAATAAGAGACGAGCGATGTTACGGGAGCTTCGACTCCAACAAGGCCTTCAGCCAAATCTACCTTTCAAACACACATTATTCGACACGGAGGAGCTGGCAAAGGCTGAACTGCCTCGTTTCGAGGACGTCCTTTCCGATTTTCCAACCATACTACTCAGCCATGTCCCACTTTATCGTGATAAGGGAACCCCCTGCGGGCCAATGCGGGAACATTGGCCGCCTTCACCACCACCCAAGGGACAGAAGGAGCCTTTAGAGATAGACGAGCGAAACGCGATTGCAGTACGGGGAGGCTACCAGTACCAAAACGTCGTGGCCAAAGAACTCACCAAGACCATCACTGAGAAGATAGAGAACATCGGGTATGCGTTTTCAGGGGATGACCACGACTACTGTGAGGTTGTGCACCGCGGATACTCATCTGCTGGTGGTGGCATCCGAGAGATTACCGTCAAGTCTATCTCCTGGGCGATGGGAGTCCGAAAGCCCGGCGTTGTGATGCTGAGTTTGTGGAATCCCGTTGATAGCCATGGTAACAATATAGCTACCACCAACGGTGATGGGTTTGAAGCTGGAGCTCCTACCGTACAGAGCCATTTATGTCTTCTACCTGACCAGCTCAGCTTGTTCATCCGTTATGCCAACCTCTTCGGACTCACGGTATTCCTCCTAGCTATTCGAGCTATGCTTGTTGCAGCCGGACGTGTTTCGTCGAACCTGACTCACGTCGACAGCCCCGTCCTTCCAACTTCAGAATACACATCCTCGGCGGAAACAGAGAAGGCTGAGCTCTGTTCCCGCCAGTCGGACTCATTCGACGGCTCTTCATCTAAGTCCTCTGCTTCGGCAAACCAGAGAAAACTGTCCATTCGAAATTCGAATGCACGAACTCGCAGCGCCAGTCCTGCAGGTGGATATGGCCTTCCTGCTACAGAGTCAAAGTATACATACCCCTTGGTTCAGCATGCGGGCTATTTCCCGCGATCGGAGTCACCAGAACCTAGCATAAATACTAGTGCGAAACGGAGACCGAAGAAGCTAAAGGGATTTTCACTTTTTACTGCGGAGTTAAAATGGAGCATCGTAAGAGTGGGGAGCATTGTATTTGTCTGGTATCTTTGGTTAATATGGAATTGGTAGTGGCTGGAATAGAGCATTGTATGATTAGCACTACGACTGTATATAAAATAGCAAAGCTTTTGATTACGTTACTCCTACTTTCTACGTGACGTTGTACTAGTAGGACACTCACACCATCTTGCTTAGAATAGTCGTAAGAAAGGTTGTCTCTCATATTGAAAGTATGGGGATTCGTTCTACGGTTGATCTGTACTCTAAGCACGTGCCTACCGTCATCTCGAATTCGATGCTCGACACACCTCCGCCCACGAACAAACCACACCATCCAGTAGTCACCATGCCACCACTAGATGATGACGACGCTTTGCTTGCCCGGCTAAATGCCCTTAAAAGATCACACGTAGACCTTTCGAATTCGCCCTCCGTACCTTCCCCCTCCGTATCGACACCACCTCTCAAAGATGAGAATGACCTCGCCGCCCGCTTCCGAAGGCTAGGCGGTACAAACGCTAGTCCAAGTACAACAACCCCGGCTATAGCTCCGGGTGCAGCTAGTTACCTTGAAGGAGTAGCTGAAGGTATCGGAGAAGGTTCGAAACATAACGAAGTAGACGAGAGGAGCTTGGAGGAGCTACTGAAAGAGCTAGGATCTGGGTCACAATGGGGTATTGGCGGGAAAGACGAGGGTGATTTCGGAAAGCTAGTAGAGGAGGCACGGAGAATATTGCCAGAGCTTAATGAGGCTCGTGAGCATGCTCGAGGGAATGGAGAGAGCCGTAGTGGGGACGCGGAAGTAAAGGATGAGAAGGTGCCCCATGAGGGAGAGGAAAACGAAGATAATGAAGACGAGGATGCGATGGATGAGACAGAGGCAGATGAATATATTGCACAAATCTTGGCAGATTTGGAGCTTCAAAAGAAGCATGGTGGTGCGGAGGATCAAGACGATGCGTCGAATAGTGGTGGAGAGCATGAGCAGCCTAAATCGAAGGCCTCAGATCTAGAATATAAAAGTGACGATGGAAACAAGAGTTCCGAGGAACCTACAACACCATCTAGACTTAGTAGAGGAGACCTGGAACTACCGGCTGCTCCATCTACTCAGCCGATTACACCTGCAGATGACGACGACGATTTCGCTCGCTCAAAGACGATGGAAGATGCCCTTACTGCGCGAATGAATGCGCTGGCTCTCCCCTCTGCACCTTCTTTCCATCCCTCCAAGAAACCGATCAGAGTCACAAAGTCAATACCTTTCAAGGATGAAGAAATCGAAACGTGGTGTGTCATATGTAACGATGATGCTACTGTGAGGTGTAGAGGATGCGATGGAGACCTCTATTGTAGGAAGTGCTGGGCTGAAGGCCATATAGGTGAGAGTGCTGGCTATGAAGAGAGGAGGCATAAATGGGTGAAGTATGAGAAGAATAAGGATTCTAAGTGATGAATCAATTCGATGGGCGTCCGTGGATACTCTACCTATCATCTCGCGAGCCACACGACATAGGGAAGACCCAGGATTGGATTCAACAGTGCTATTACTCAACGAATCTTTCTCCCCCGTTCTGCTGTCTAATATGGTGTCTTCGAACCAGGGGCAACTCTGACGTTAGCTCTTGCTCTGACAAGAGTCAAAGGCAATTTTTTCTCGGAGTCCGGGACCAAGGCATTGCTGCAGGAGTCGTAAGTCTCTGCCCTTACTATTCACAGTGATCTCACTAATATTTAGTGACAGTGAATATCATCCCCTATGAGCATCACAGATCTATGGTCTACAAGAGCAATCATGGTCTCTTCGCTTGCTTATTCATAACAGATTTGAAGCAAAGTGTCGCATACTCTGGACCAATGGCGGATGAAGTTCTCAGAGTCTCAGATTGTCGCTCGACTCCTCAAAAGAGAGGGAACACTCAGCACAGCGCCTTCACGGCCCCCCAAGGCCTTCTGCTTTGAGTAACTTCGGCAGTCCTATGGGATCGGAAAGCTTGTCAGCCCCGGTTTGTCACGAGTGCAATAGCAGAGATCATCTAAGTGGAATATGACTGGTCCAATGCTCTTATGACCATCCTGTTCAATTGCTCAATCGTTTGCAGGAGTGAGCTGACTTCACCGCATGACGAAGGGGAGAACGCCATGCGATTCGACTAATGTTACTGCGGTGGGCCGGTCTACTTAAGAGAGGTTTCTTAAGCACTAGGTGGTCGATATTACAAGTCTTCAACACTAGCATACCTTGCCAAGTAGAAGCCGACGAAACAGAAATTTTAGAACACCATGAGTAGGACTGACGCATTCGCGCCACGACCCACCTTTGACTCGGACTTCCTGCTCATGCCCGAATACTCAGGGGAAGCCGCCTGGAACCTCATCAAGAAGCACGACAGCGTTACTGCTAACTCCGCTGGCTTTACTAAAGACGATATACCGCTGCTTGTCACGATGATATTCACAGAAAAGTACTTCGTTGACAATGGCGACGTCATGGGGTTCGGCTGGAAGCACGACAAGGACGGCAACGTCGTGGACAGGTGTTGGTACTGGAAACTTGACCATGACGAGGGGCCAGAATTCAAGAAGGAGGATGGGATCTGGCACGTCATAGCCAAAGACGATGAGAATGAGATGGAGACAGACGGTGCGTTGAAACCTATGAGGGAGGTATGGAAAGTTTGGCGTGAGGCGCTTGACCTGTATTACAGTGAGTATGGGTATGAGTTTATGACAGTCTGAGACGGGCCATGTGGTCGTGTGAGGTGGGTCAAATGAGCGATCGGCAAGCATTGTGGGTGAATTCACGTTTGTCGGAGAAGGGAGTAGAGAATTGCTGTTTGCATAGAGCGTCCTATTTAAGAGTCTTGGGGATCCTATGTGCTTTCGATTTCATCACCCAATACAGTTATGTCCGCCAGGGAACGATCCGATTCCAGGCATCTCATAAGTCCAAGACACAATTTCAAGAATATCATAAGAGTCAAGGAGATCCCAACAAGCGCCGGCTGGTCGATTTGCAATCGCAGAGACTCCAGAAATGTCCTCCATTTATCCACTTTCGAGAAGGCAGACATGCCGGAGAAACTCATCGCAGTTTTCGCACTTAACTTTTTCGAGGATGGAAGTCACGCAATTGGACTCTGCTGGAGCGATGATGTGGACGATCCCTTTGGAGAAATGAGATGGGGTCGCAGAGTGCGGGCAGAGGAGAAATATAAGTTTAAGCGTTGGGAATGGGATGAAGAAGGGAAGGCTAAAGGCGAGACAGAGGCTGCGAAGGAGGAGTGGAAGGAGTGGAATGGCATGATTTTGAAATGGTTCGAGGAGCACCCGGTCTACGACTGAAGATTTGGTAGCTAACATGGAATGAACGAGCTAAGGGGGCTTGATTTTCCCTTCAACAATGTTTCTAAAACGTGATGTACTCCTACATAAGAGAGCGTGTTTGGCGTGACGAAGTCCAACTCTGCGCTCCTCGGTGATGCCATCTAGGAGCTTTTCTCTGCTCACAGAGAGTAGAGAGGCCAATAAAAAGACCTAATCCTCGGGAAAGAGACACGCAAGAAAAAGAGAGGTTGATCTAGGACTACTTGTACCGGCCCAGAATATAGAATAGGACTTCCTCCAATCTTGGCTTAGCCTATCAGCGATTAGCACTGAAGGGTGCTTCCTTTCTGCATTTGGTATTTTTATGTATATGATTTGCTTGGAACGATATACGAGATTTCCATGTAGAAGTAATGGACATGTCCTGCTAAGTAGGTCGTCTGCAGATCCTTGGCGGCGTGATCTCGTGTTTGTGTTTCGCGTCTTTTGACGCGCTTCTTTCAGCTTTAAAGTATTCTATGAAACGTGCACACCTTGACTCTTCGGGCTCAAAGTCCTATTAAACATAACCAGATGCTCGGACGTTTCATAAAACACCCCAAATCCACGAATTTCGAAGATGATGACAGCCGACCGTCGAAGCGACTGCGACTGCAGCGACTAGACACTGACGACGCCTCAGAGACCGCCTCTGCTCCACCATCGCCCAGGCTTGGGGCCCGAGATCGTGGCGATGATGGAAGCGATGATGAGGATGGAGATACGGCATTGCCCATTCCCCACAAGACGGATCTCGAGAGCGCTCTACCACCTATCAAGACCGATGAGGAGGCGATTGAGGAATACGAGGCCTTCAAAGCCTCCCAGGATCAAGACGCTGCGAGTGCTGAAGGACGGCTGAGCACTCAGAACTGGATCCGTGGCAAAAGCTCAATATACGTGGACGCTTTTAATCTAGCTCTTGACACCGTTCTGGACGAGGAGAGCCATCTGTTTGATGAAGCTGAGATGTCAATTTTCGAGCGATGGCGAGAGTTAGACTATGAGGCCCAATACTTGTAGGTCGATACGTCACTCTAGGTCAAACGAAAGCTTTATCTAGACTCCGGAGCTTACATAGTCTCAGATACGTCCGATTGTTCCTCCGAAAGACAGCCAGTTGGCATCGTATCAACTCGCTAGGTTATCATAGTGATATCTCGGACCTTGATACCTCCATACTATTATTACAACAGACCAGACCTCTACCATCCTCCTCCTCCCAAGAACACGCAAATCCAGGCGAATTGGAACCACCAGCAGGGACTACACTTGGTGCTGCGTTTACCTTTGCGGATAGGTCTGAGGATGAGATAAAAACACTGGAAGAAGCTTCATCTCTGCTGAAGTTGGACGAGCTTAAGGCTCTAGCAAAAGACGCAAAAGTACAAGGGAGGAATAAGGGCGAACTGCTGAGAGCATTACGCCGAACAAGTCAGAAACAAGTTGGATTGGGATGGGTTGGCTTGAAGCGCTCCGACACGGATTCTTCAAGGCGTTCATCCGCGTCTGGTCTGGATAATGAAGCTGCCGAAGCTGATGCAGAAGATGATAACAGCTCAGAGGCAAATCGGGACTCTCATTTTACTCGTAAGATACTTCAAGAGACTGGGCCATGTATCAGACTATCACTAGCACCGTTAAAGCTCTTTGAGAGGGTTCATCTGGTGTTTTATCGGTCTACGGAATGGACTGAAAAGTCCCTGACGGCTATTATACTGGCTAAAATTGCGCGGCGCAACTTTCCGGAATTCATTGTTTCGCGATCAGCCAACGTATTCTCTTCACGTGCGAGTCTGTTAGAGTTTGAAGCATCTATACGAACCCAGTTTCGAATCGACAATATCCTCGAGTTCAACGGCAGACCTACAGATTCAGGGCTCCGGGAGATCTTGAATATCTTCGAAGAAGTCTATCCGCGCTGGCAAGCCTTACTGAAAGAAGAGCAAAGGAAGGAGGACAGTGTCTACCAAAGTGGCGAAGGCGCCTATCTGCGTAGACTGTCACCAGCATGGGTCTACACCCGTATCGTACACAAAGCTGCATACGTCGTTGGGAAGCTCAAGCAACATAAACGCGAGCACGAGCTTCTTTCCGAGCTTCTCGCTCAACGGTTGTTCCATGCCTCACGTAGAGGTGCATGGTACCAACGCAAAGCCCTACTAGAAGAACACTACATGGCCTTGCTAACACCCGCCGATGGTCGCAGCGACGACGCACAGAAGAAGCACTGGAGACGCATTGCCCTCCAGACATGCGAAGACGGACTACAAGACAACATGGTCCACATAATCCACCACTACGACCTGCAAAAACGCGTCAAAAAGCTCGAGAAGGCCATCAAGATAGCCAAGCGTGCCCAACACGATTTCTCCCACGTCCGCCTCGCCGCCGCCGTCGAAGTAAACATCGAAGGCATCCGAATCGAAAAGGAGGACCTCCCGTCACTTAGACGGAGAAATAGCTCACCACACCCAAACAGCAGCAAACGAGGCGCCAAAACCATCTGGCTCGACCCACTCGAAGACAACGACGAGTGCTCTGTCGAAGCTATGTGTCTCTCACATTACCGCTCGCAAGGCTGGAAGGGCTATCATAGCGAAGGCGGCATCGTGCGAACACTGTTTGGCTATCTCTTCTTCGACGTGCTCTTCACGTATGTCCCAAACGTATTCCAGACCCCTTACCAGACATGTCCCCTAGATCTCCACACCGACGCCTTCTTCCCAAGTCGCATCTCGGAAATAAACCGCCGCCTCGTTGAAATCGGTAATGGCGACGCAGAAGCCCTCCTCCGTAATGTGTGGAACGAACACCACGAGCGCAAAACCTGCGTCGTGGGTTTAGACTGGTCATTCGAGCTCGACGACTTGATCGAGATCGTGCAATGCTTTGACGGAGGTGCACTGGCCACAGTGTGTAAAGTTATGGCACAGGAGTATGGGCAGAGGGGCGGTGGCGTGCCTGATTTGTTTCTGTGGCATTCGGAAAGGAAGGAGGTGATGTTTGCGGAGGTCAAGAGTGAGAATGACCGGCTGAGCGATACGCAGAGGCTTTGGATTCATGTGTTGACGGGCGCGGGGGTCAGGGTTGAGCTTTGTCATGCTATTGCGAGGGAGGTGAGGGTTGTGTAATTTAAGATACAGATAATTGGAAGGGAAAGTCATCGTCCTGCCGTATTCGTTGCTTTGGATATTGACGTTGAAATCCTTCAAAGATCTCAAATGCAGGATGGCTTATTACCAGCGCCTGGTCCTACTGAGGCAAAGGAATACCAATATTGGTATCACAAAAATATACGAACTTTCAAGTCATATACAATACGTTCGACTCCCACCGCCGCTCTCCATACGTAACGTAACAAAAAACGAAGCCCCTCCGTTCCGCCCTCTCCAACCCTCCGTTCCGTCCTCTCCAACCCTCCCTTCCCATCCTAAACAACAAAAATCTAATCCTCGACCCAAAAAAAAAGCAAAAGATGAGCCTTGTTGACATCAGTGAGGTTCGAACTCACGCGGGTTGCCCCAGTAGTGTATCCACATATAACGTGACTTAAAACTACCGCCTTAGACCACTCGGCCATGATGCCTGTTGAATCCCGAGCAACAGAAAAGTAGTCCACATATCCCCTACCAAAACTGCATGTCTTTGGCGCTTTGTAGGTTGTGGCTGGAGGGGGGAGGGTTCAAGTGGCGAAGGTGAATGATTGGATGCTATTTATGGTGTTGGTTGGGTTGGGTTGGGTTGGCAAGGGGCGGGGCAATTATCGGAGGGGGGGGCGCGATGGCGATTGGGGAATGGCGAAAGTCTCACGCAGGATGGTGGCACATCGTTCTCCATTCCTACAGGACTAGAATCCTGCTGGAACAGAGGAGTCGAATGGCAGGTGGCATCACCAACATGTCTCATTCAAGCATCGCATCTCATGGTGCGTTATTGGAGGGAGGCCTGGCCAGTAGTCGCCATTATACCACTCGTTTACTATTACTACAATAGCACACTGGGGAGGATGTTTCTATCTAGATCATCACGCAAGGTTCTGCTAGCGAGACATTAATATGGGGAGCGTACCTTTGTAAGACTAAGGAAGTTGCCGGTTCAGTCGATAGTTATATTTGGTTGTTTCTATTACGCGTGCGCATTGCGCGTTGCGTTCCTCCAGCCCCCTCTACTCCAGCAAGGTGGCGGAATGCTGCCTGCTCCTGCCCTTACCTAGTTTTCATACTCCCCGCAGCGTCCTGAGGTCGTGAGGAGAAAGGAGGGGGGGCGGCTGGCGAGAGCAAACTCTAGAACCAAGCTTTTCAGTGGTAGAGAGCGGTCACTCCCCTGATCGCGACGCTTCTGGGGCGAAACATTAAGCGATTTAGTGCGCATGGCCCACCGCTGGGGCTGCTGGGCTAGATGCTAGGTCCCGCAGGCGAATTGCGGGTACCTGACGACTGTTCCAACGTTTGCTGCTGAGGACGACGCTGGACGCGTAATAGGGCAACGTTGAGTCGATTGTTTGCGAATATCGCGCAAGAGATGGCTTACAGGCTGCGAGTGGCACGCGGGACACGAAAGAAAGGTGTCACTCGAATTCCTAAAACAAGCCGCCGTGAGTGTGTGCGTGTGTACGCCGCTGCTTGAGGTGCTTCAATGCTTTTTCGGAAATAGGAACGGGATAGAAGCTCGTGACTCTGGGCTATATGGAAACTTGTTGAGGTGTACCCATGAGGCAGCGCTTGATGAGTGCAAGGCAATCAAGTCACGTCACGAAAGCAGAAGTGGGTATTGAAGCTGCGATGACTCGGCAGCTCAATCAGGGTGTCATTTGTGTATCGTCTATGTGTACATGACTAGCATGGGGCATTATCGTATTTTGAGGAAGTGCAATCCACAATTGCATGACCGCAATTGAGATTGTTGTGTGAAAAGAAAAATTAACCCATGCCACAGCCAGTGCACAGAGCAATCTCCAGAGATAAACAGAAGGAAAGATGCAAGCTAGTAACCCTAGTAAACCGTCCGTCCATTTTGTCTTGTCAGTCGAGTTTGTCTTCCCTCCCCCAAATGCATCGAATCATTCTCCCGCCAAACATGGAAACAGCGCCCCTTCTCCGTCAGAAATTACCAAATGATTGCCATCGAGTCGGAAAGTGCTGTTGAGTCTGAGATGCCGCTTGGTTGTTATATGCAGGTGAATAGGTCGTCGACAGGAAAGAGAAGTCGCGTCGACGGAGCGAGACGAGGCGTCTAAGCCAGGACGAAGCCAGCCATGGCGAGAGCGGCGAAGCTAAGAGAGCCAAGCGCGCTGCCGAAGCTGTTGACAGCCGCGCCAGTGCCGGTGGGAGTGGCGGCGGTGCCGGTAGCGGAGACTGGGGTGCCAGTGGCAGCCTCAGTGGTTGGGGTACCAGAAGTGGCCTTGGAAGTGGCCTTGATAGTCGAGACCAGGGTGCTACCAGTGCCCACGCTCGGGGACACGATGACGGCGGTCGAGTTGCCAGCCGGGTAGGAGGGCACTGGCACGACGGGGACGGCGCTGGAAACGACGGGGACGACGGTGACGGGGGCAGCAGTGGACGGGGTCACGGCCGGGTAGGACGTAGCGACGACGGGCACTGAGGTAGCGACGGCTGGGATCGAGGTTGGGACCTGAAGCTGCCCATCCGAGATCTGGGTGACGCCCTGCGCGGAGACAGAGACGGCGGCCGCGACGGCGATAGCGACGGACGAGAAACGCATGTTGCGCGTCTGCGAGGTTTGGAGAGATTGATTGAGGCGGTGGAGCGAAGGAATTAATGTGATGAGGCTGGCGGGTGAGGGCCTACGCTTGATGGATGGAGTGTGGGTGTGTGAGTTGAACGAGAGACTCAGAGCGACGGTGGACGTGGGTGAGGTGGAGGAGGAGGAAGGAGTTGGCACCTTTTATTTACTGGCCAGGCGATCGACAGGGCGTTTCAGGCGGGCAGGCGCTACCACGCCGGCCCCACCCCTGCAGCGTCGGCTTCCTTGGTTCTGCCCGGCGCCAAGAGCGCGCCCTGCAGCGGCCTGCGGACACGCCTCCGCCGCCTCGCCTCCGCCGCCTCGAGCTGTCCCTCAGCTTCGCCGGGAGCGCAATTCTGTGCGAAGACTCGGCCCGAGGCCAATTGCGAGCCACGGAACAACGGTGCCCCAGAAGCAGGCGGCAACCGCAGCGCTGGCGGCCCGGCAACAAGCCTCGCGCAACGCTGCCGTGGCTGCGTCACCGCACCGGCCGCGCGACTGCACGCCCCTATCGACGTCGCAAAAAGTTGGCGGAGCGAGATAGCTACCCGGCTCAGATCCGTGCGTGGCGAGCCTGAGAGGCCCCAGCCGTGCCTCGCGCAAGCCACCTGCGGGCGTGAGCGTCTTGCAACCACTCTTCCAAGCGGAGCCTCCCCGCGCTGCTGCATCTGGCCGCCCTCGATCCCTCCTTTCTCTGCGCCGTCCTTCTCTCCTAGCCCTCTTCGGCGCTGTTTCTATGCACGCGCTACGCACTGCATGTTTGTGCGTGTGAAGCAGTTCATTGCGACCACGCCTCCGCAGTCAGTGCACCGCAGTCAGTGCACGGCAATCGTGATTTCAGACCCCCAGCACATGCAAATTGAGTGAAAGCCATGACACGGCCCAACGCTTGCTGCATGCTTGCTATTCATACCTACGTAGCCCGTGCGCGGTGCCACAGGCAAGAGAGACAGGACGGCACGGCATGCTGCTGGCCCATCCATGGTGTGCGTCTTCGCATCGACCTGCAGCCCGTCTGCAATTTGCCGCCCATCACTCTGAAACCCTAACCGCCCCTGAATCTGAATCCTGTGCTCGGCCTCTGTTTCGCCACATGCGCCCGGTTGCACGCCATTCGCCCTTCGCGCACTGTTTACATGCCCACGCAGTCCTTTCGCTCGTCGGTGAACCCAAACATTGAATTGTTGCTGTGGCCGGATGAAACCCGGCACCGCCATCTATTTACAGCTTCTCGTTGCTGCCATCGTCGCTCTCCGACGCCTGCTTCTCCTTTGGCCGCAGCATCGGCGTCATGTTGGGCGAGTTCGTCGCCGTCCGGCTAAAGTAGGTGTGCACCTCGTTAGGGTAATCATCCTCATCGTCCTCATCCTCGACCTTCACGCCCTCATTGCCCTTGCGCGCCTGTCGTGCCTCCCACTCGGCTCGGAGCTCCTCGACCTTCTGTTGGTAGTCCAGCGTCGCGTCGTAGTGCTTGCCTACACCGCGTATGCGCTCCCAGAGCGACAGATGCTTCGGGTGGATTGCGATGCCGTGGTAGTCTTCTTCGCGACCCGCGCGAATGTACGTCCAGCGTCGCTCTTGCTCCTTGAGGTCGAGTCCGGTGGTGTCGGGGAGGAACAGCCAAGTGACGAGAGCACCCCCGAGTCCGAACCATGGCACGACGTAGAACTTCTGCTGGGTGGTGATGTAGTTGTAGAGAACCGCCGCCAGCAACGCACCAAGCTTCCCTACAGCCGCTGAGAAGCCGTGAGCTGTAGCGCGAATTGGTGTCGGGTACACTTCCGCGGCCACGAGGAATGTCACCGAGTTGGGGCCGAATTGATTAAAGAAAGACGAGAGGAAGTACATGGCCTGGAACGCGTGGATATGATTCGGCGAGGTGAAGAAATCGTAGTTGAAAGCCGGAACCACGAATAAGATAAAATCGGCGAGGAACCCAACGATCATCATCCACTTCCTGCCGTCTGTTTCATCCCGTTAGTTTCAACTTGAGTTCAACATCGTCTCTAAACTTACAGAGCTTGTTGTCAATGAAGAACGAGGCCATGTAGTAGCCTACCAAGCTAACACCGACATTAACCAAGTTGTACAGCCATCCTTCCATAACCGAGTGGTTGTTTGGCGTCAGGACAGCAATGAACTGATTCTGAAACAGCTTGTTGCCATAGAAGAACACGTCATTGGCAAACCATGCGCCAGCCGTAGCAAGAAGACGAGGGCCGAAGTACGTGAGAGTCATTTTGAGCGACTTGGTGTCGTATCCGGTAACTTTCTGCTTCTTCTTGGCCAGGAATAGCTGCTTGCTTGCCGATCTCATCTTGTAGTAACGGAAGTAGACTAGCCAGAGTGTTCCAACTGCTGGGATAGCGAAGCTGACGCGGTATGTCCACTGTGCAGCAACCTGGGTACGGTTTAGTAAGACCTCTAGCAGGCAGAATGAGGGGAAATACCTTTGAGTAGGGTGGGTTTCCACTACCATGATGGAATATGAGCAGGAGGATGATCAAGATGACTTGGTTGGCGAATTGACCCCAACCTTGCATCAGGAAGGCGCTGGTGACTTTGCGACCGCGGTGAAGACGGTCATCCTTGGTCGAGACTTTACCAGAGCCAACAGCGTTTTCCATACCAGACGTAGCGGTCATCGGATATTCGCCTCCCACGCCGACGCCGTAAAAGAACAGAGACCAGACATAGCAGATGACCCATCCATTCTGATCCACGCCCCAGGCAGCCGTAAGCATGATCAGACCGACAAACATGACGACAGCATCCTGGATGAGACCCCATCGACGTCCCAACCAGTCTCCGATGATACCGACGAGAATTTGGCCTGTTAATTGTCAGACGTGTTGGAAAAGAAGCATGCAGACAAACTTGCCAACGATGATACCGCAAATCTCAAGGTAGTCGATGGCTTGGGTCCAGGTCTCGTTACAGATGTCAAAAGTCTTCCAGCAGGAAGGGAATGCGGCTTGGAGTAACGGCCTGACATTGCCAATTGAGAACAGGACATATCTAGCTGAAAGTTAGTGACCGCGTACGTTTAGCTATAGTGGCTTCATACCCCTCAAGAAGGAGACCAGCTCCAGGGACGACCATGTTCCTGAGGTAATATCCCACTGGGCTTAGCGGATCATTCTTGAGCATGGTTCCTATCGATCGGAGTTCTTTCTTTGATTCCTGGCCGTCAACGCCGGTGACGAACTTGATGCGCTTCCCCATAGGTAGATCGGCCCAGTAGGTGCCGTCTGCATCATAGATATCGTCTGGATGAAGGAGGCCGTGGAGGACTCCAGCCTCGTTAGGGTTCATAGCCGAGACGTCCTGCGTAGCAACATGATGGCGGTCCATGTTGGGACCATGAGGGGCGGCAGCGCCATAGTCGCGTAGTGACGATGTCATTGTTGAAGCGACGTGTGATGTAGTTGGTAAGGGGTGAGGGCTTCCGTCAATTGCTTTGCCCAAAGCTCAAGCTTTATGCGTGGAAGCTTGTCGATGCTTGTGTGCTTGGCTCTGAACGATCAGTGCCACACGTAACGGTATGATCAATGACGTGGAGAGAGATAATCCTTTCTAAGGTTCTAACCCACGGAAAGGAAGCAGTAGGCGTGATATCGGAAAGCACGTTCTGGTGCCCGAGTTGTGAGTGGTCAGATATTGAGAGACGCGGGCTGTAAGCAGGGTCTATGCTGATCCGCCTTTGCCGGACGAGGGTTGCAGAGGCCGAAATCCGAGCGCTCAACGGTCAATACTGACGACTAGTGAGTAAGCGTGTGTCTTTGGCTCGATGGTAGTGGAGGAAGTGTCGCGGGAGGCGGGATTGGTGGCGCGAGGTATGAGTTGGAAAGACGCCCGGAGGGCACTCGTAGTGGGGGGTGCTCACTGCTCGGTAGGAGAAGGTGTAGCTGAGCTTTTAAAAAGAAAAATATCAAACAAGAGGGGGTTGGCCGACTGTGGTCCAGCTACGTGTCGATTGGGCAACACGCAAGTAGGGAAACGTGGATAGAGGGGAGACTCAACCAGAGTTGAGGGGGCTGGTGAATGCAAAAAGCGTACAAACACAAGAATAGCTGGGACTTGAGAATAAATAAGAGGAGCAAAGGTAGTAAGCGGCAGAGCCGTGTCTAGCTGGCCACCCGCCCGAGCAAGTACCCCTCCGCAGCTGGCGTCGATATCTCTGTGGAGTGGAGCGACGACCGGCATGCCATTTGACGCAGCGGGAAGGCCAAGGCGGCACCTAAGCAGCATCGCGATTTTCCCCACGACGCCGCTGCGATTGACCCGGAAGCTTGTCACTGCCCAGGACGCCTCCTTGCACTGCAGAGAGCCCGAATCTGTGATTTTTCAGCGCCACAACCGTCAAACTGGGTGCCCTTTTCCTTCAGCGAGGCTCGTGTGAGGCCATGAAGACGGGCAACTCAGCAGTGGCGGTGACCACACGTGGTGGGTTAAGCTGGGGATGCAGGCGAGCATGAAGTCGGGAGCAGCCAATCACACGCCTCGAAACATCAACGTGTGTTGTTCGTTGGTGTCCAGCCCCGGACGACGCTCAGACTTTACCCGTACCTTTGTAGCGCGAAAGGGCAACCTCGGTTCGTGACGCAGGGTTTTCGAGCCTCTTGCAGTGGCGATCATCTTCCCGGCGTCCATCGCCTCTCGGGCCTTTCCCGATGCAACGGCATCGTGTGTTGCAGTGCGACATGAGACATGAGATTCTTGTTGCGCGGCCGAACTGACGCAGTGGCTGCTCTGCCGTGATGCCAAATGCTGCCCCTCTGCTTCTACACCACGTCCTATGCTCCCTCTCACAATAGAAATAAACATCACGTCGCGTCCAGAATGGCCCGCGGTCCCGGCCGCGCAGCTACGCACTAGCAGCCCTTTTACAGGCAGTTGCTCGCGTGCCGTCTTCTAGATCTAATCCGCCTGCCAGCCGTAAGAGTGGGGATGGCCCACTCCCAGGTCACATATAAACGACTCGGCACATGAGCTCCATGCTTGCTTACAGCCCGAACTACTCACTCGGAGCGTGCCGAAGCGGGTTTACCGCGGGCGGTAAACACCTGACCTCAGTACGTCTTTCTGCATTGAAGATGTGGATACGGAATTGAATCTCCTAAGAAAGAAAGTAGCACAACTTGCTTGACATGTCTTTACAAATCAGCACCATGGCCGACATCTTTGATCTGGCCTGGGGCGAGGACGGTCATACGAATGCTGTCTATAGGGCTGATCTGTATTAGAATACTCATCCACTCAGACGAGATTGAGAGAGTGCGGCGGAACCGCGAGCGTCTGGCCGCTAGAACGGTGGAGGAATTAGCATCTGCTGGTAGACTCAGCTCACTATGAAGGTGGGGTTGAATGCGTTTGATTTCGGCTCATTCGAAAGACCTCGAAGCATCGTCTCTCCTGTAAACACTATAACATCCCACTCCCAACACCGCGCCAATGCCCCAAACTCTTGCAACCTACACATGTCTAATTCGATACGTAGCATGCTTACAACGCCGTCAAAACCGCCTGCACACCCACACTCCCCACATCCTCTCTCCGCATGACATACTGCCTCAGCTCCATAGCCTCATGCCCACCACCCCTCAGCCTCTCCCTCAGCGCCTCGGGCCCAATCACAAACAGGTTCGCTACCTCAACCAACACATCCATCGCACCAGGCTCCAGTTCTTCCCCAGTTGGCCACCCTCTGACTAGATCAACATACCCATTCATATCTTTGCTAACGACCAATCCACCCGCAAGCGACACACTGAATTTGCGCAGATGCTCCAGCACCGCGGATCTCAAGCCCTTCGCGAGCTCTGCAAGGAACAGCCCGAGATTGCGCCCGTCGAGCGAGGCAGTGGCTTGAGTGGCGACGCGGCTGAGGAAAGTGGTGACAGTCTTGCAGGCGGGTGTTTCAGTAGACAAGGAGGTGAGGGCATCATCGTCGTCCTTAGGACGGAAGTCTGTCTTTTTCTGCTGTGCGAGGCAACGTGTCACCCATGCTAGCGCGGCGTCGAGTGTGCGGTTGATAATTGTGGAGATCTTGGCTTCGAGGGTGGCGAGGCTGTTCGTGGTTGCTTTTTCGATTTCGCGGCGGATGGTCAGGTTGGGAGTTGCCAGGGGGAGGAGGACGGTCTGGGTTGAGGTTTGGAGAAGATGGAGGATGGAAATTGCGGTGCGGAGGGAGGAGAGGTAGGTAAGGTCAGGAGGAGTTTTGGTCATAGATTCTTGGGCGGCTGCATGGTCGGCGGCGCTAGGCGTGGGTAAGTAGGGTAGCTTGTAGAAGTAGCAATTGGGACGGACTTACGCATCGAGAGCTGTTTCGAGATAGAGCTCGCCCATGTGTGACAGGAGCAGAGTAAGCAGTGCTTGGACATCTTTCGGTGTTTCGTTGCCGCCACTGAGTTCGAGGCCTCTGCCTACACCTTCTGCTAACCACTTTAGCATTCTCTTAGCATTAGGTAAGCTAAGTTTGCCATCCTCGTCCGTGACTTCAATGTCCTTTTTCTCGCTATCGGTGTCTTTGAGGCCGGCAATACGCATCAGCATAGCTTTTTGAGAGGGTGGGAGGTCGGTTGAGTCCAAGCGGTCCATGTATGCGTCTCTTGCCGAAGAAATCAACTCTCGCCCTCTTTGTCCAAGTGATCCGAAATACGTTGTAGGCATCTTCCGTTTCCTCGACTTTGATTGATTCAGTGTTTGTTTCAGGCTCTTTGAAGGTAAAGCTTACATGATAAATAGTAAACTTGAGCAGAAGAGATGAGTAAAGCTCTTCTAAATTCTTCTTTTCTCGTTCAATATACGACGAGCCTACAAAGTAGGGCACGAACAGATCATCAAGTTGCTGGTCTAGTGTAGCTGCAACTTGTGATGATACAGGTTCGGGGTGCTCCGTTAGTCCATGCGACTTTAGGTCGTCTACCAGAGCGGCAATATAACTCCTCGCGGCCTGTAACGAGCGGAGAAAGGCTAGAGAAGACAGTTGATTCGCTTTATCAAGTACCATTTCAAGGCGTTGTTGTATCTTCTAGTGTTAGTGGCTTTGTAGAACTGGGTGGAAGTCATAAACTTACCGATTGTTGGAAAACTCTCTGCAAGAATCGTACCAGCACTTCGTCATAATATGGAAAGGCACGCTTGATGATAGCAGATTCTTCCTGGACGACGATTCTCACCTCGTCTACCAACGACTGCAGACTCGGTTCTACTCCAGGAGGTTCCGCATCAGGATCTTGCAACCGATCCCAACTGTGGATTGTCAATTCATATACTCAATGTCTTCGCGGTCACGGTAGAACATACGTCTCATTGTCCCCAGCTACTTCTTCAGTAATCAGCTGACTACGATCAATGAAGAATTGATGCTGATTAACGAATAAAGCCATGACACTCGCTCCGTCGCTAAAATCACGCAGAGCCACGGCACATTCCTGTCCATGACTGTCAGCATGGTGTTGTTTGATTATGAGTACGCATCTTACCCTCATGCCATCAAAGTTTTGGCGCCGGTAAAACTCGTCGAATTGTTTCAATAGATCCTTTTCTAAGCTCTCCAAGAATTTCTCGATGATCTCCCGCGTTGGGTACCTGCTTTGGCCAGCGCCCGGCCGCTTTTTAGGTCCTTTTGCACCAGAATTTCCGTTCAGATGAGGCGTGCCTTCCGGGTCCAATCTTATACTGATCTTCAAGAGTTGCCGTGCAATATGGGCACAGCGTACTTTGCCGTCCCCGCCACCTAGTCTCCTGACGTCTTCCAGAGTCGACAAGTTTCCCTTTTCGCTCACTTCCATCCAGCATTGTATCAGGAATTTGGCATCCTGTGCTCTCTGTCTCTGCCGGTCCAGCTCTTCGAGTCTTTCACCAATCCGCACGGCAACATTTCCTCCAGCATCCTGGTCGATTCCGTCACTTATGCTGCCATTCAGCGAACTATCCAACCTCTGGAAGTTGTCTATAGCCTGTTCAAGCTTCCTCCCCAGCGAGTCTACATTCTGGTTGTGTTGGGATTCGGCGCGGCGCACGGCGCCAGAGAGTTCATTCTCGTGGGATTCGAGTTCTTCAGAGAGAGAGCCGAGGCGGGAGAGGGCGTGTTCGAAGGTTCGTATGAGAGGCTTGGGGTCGAACGCGGCTGTGAAGTTGTTAGTATAGAGTATGGATAGACGGTGTTCTCGTCAAACCTTGCTGATTCCCGGGGCCAGAACCGCGCCTAGCAGGTATTGCGCTATCGGAGAGTGCTTCAATGAAGTCTTTGACTATGTAGTCTTTGCTCTATGTATCCGTATAAGCAATTGATCGGGCGGGATTCTGGATGGTGACTGACAGAGAAGGTATCTAGCGAAAAGGCAGGCCCTCTGACCGAGCCAGATCGCGTAGTCGTAGAGTAAATCGACGCATTGTCTGCCGCGGTTGCGGGCATCGTGGCTTATCACGGAGGTGGCATTGGACGTTGACGCGGGGGAGGGGTTGACGTCTCAGGGTCTTAGATGGTACGGTACGGGTGTTGCAGAAGTAGAAGTTCAGCGAGGGTAACAGCAAGTTTCAAATCAGCGTCAGCGCTACTTTCTATCATGGAGCTGTTCGGAGCTTCGACGTCGTCGCATCAAAGTTGGGCTGTTACGCGCTATGCCTAATCTAGAATACAGCTATATTTCTAGAAAGACTCTCTCGTCTGAAGCCCAGTGTGCCTTTGCTTTCAAGAAACACGGCGAGGGGTATTCAATCCAGCTAAGCTAAGACATAAAGGCACCAACTGGTACATGTAGTGACACAATTGTCTGCTTCGAGTCGAGCTGTTGATGAGACGATCAACATCACCGCAAGCCTCTACGCAGCGTCGTCGCAACAATGGCCGCTTCTATTGATTTTCTCCGCTGCAAATCGCATTGGCCGTTCCCCTACCTCGCCACGGCCTATGGACGCGCTGGCTGCAGCTTACCTGGCCTTTGAGGCTGGGGGCAGTGGCAATCGCTCTAGCATCGCCGTCCGTCTCACATGGCACCGACTCCACACCTAAACATGAACCTCATCCGCCGACAGAGCTTCTGATTCACCTCCGCCCTTCCCCAGTCCTTCGCTCAGCTGCTGTTACTCTCGTGTATATTACCCGGCCAGTCTTTCCCGCCTCGTCGAGCAATTCCGTGTTGCTCTCCCGCTGCCTGCACAATGACTACTCATGTCGACCCTCGCGAACGACGAGCTTTCCACCACGACACGAATGAAAACAACCAGCAGCTCACCGCCGAGGAGCGCGAGAAGTTGCTAAAACCATATCTACCAGAGCCTCCCTCAGACCCGGCCTCGCCCGCAGGCTCGCCAGAGCGCAATGCGCGAAAAGCCCCCAAGAGTGTCCGCAAACAAAAGTCGATTCGCAGCTTTCTGGCCAACCAACTCCACGCACTCGTGTTTCTCATCACCCATACCATATTCTCCGTCTGGTTCAGATTCCGACGAGCCTATCATGCTGTCGTCCACCGCATCCATGCCCTGTACCACTACCACCACCGGACGCCCGAATACATCAGGAAAGATGTTGCTAAGCTTGATAGAAAGCCGGAGCACGTTAGCGTTATTTTAGACCTCAACGAGAGCGATGATGATCAGGGCAACTCTGGATTGGAGGGACTGGTGCATGATGTGTGCGAGATTACTGCTTGGACTGTTAGTGCTGGCATTCCAATGCTGAGCGTGTACGAACAATCAGGTCAGTATTGCGCCGTGTTTCCTCGCCCAACTGTGCCCTATGCTGACACTGGAATAGGAATTCTCAAGAACTACATGCCTCAGCTTCACTCAGCCATCATGCTGACTTTGGGGTCCTATTTCGGCGAAGACCGTAAACCTATCCTCACCCTTCGCGCACCACTCATACAGGCCTTTAGCCCTCCAGCAACGCCTCCGAACGGCAATTCCCGTCCTTCCAGCCCTGATACCCCAGAGCCACTTCGAATCACAGTGCTCTTGTTAAGCCACACAGACGGCCGCGACACAATGGTCGACCTGACGAAGACGCTGGCCGACATGGCGCAGAAGAAGACGATAGACCCTGAGGATATTACCACTGATCTGATAAACTCGGAGCTCAGGGACGCGGTATCAGGAGAACCAGAGCTGCTCATACTGTTCTCGCCGCATGTAGTGCTTAAAGGTTATCCGCCATGGCAAGTACGACTGACGGAGATATAGTAAGTCCTTTTAAATCCCTAGAGTGCCTTTTATTAGGTACGTGACTGATGCAGCGCTCTAGCCATGTGCCCGATAACGTCGGCGTGAACTACCAAGTGTTCCTCCGTGCACTATATAATTACGCAAAAGTGGAAATGCGGTTTGGGCGGTAATGTTCCAGCCCAAATGCATGCCCATCACCCCTCCTACACATACGTTCAACGAATACCTGTACAACAGTCTTGCTAAGCTGCACCGAAATACAATACCACCTCTAGCGCCAGGACACCATTTCCTTTCACATCTGTACCTTACTGTCCGGGTTGCCTGAATGGAGTTCTAGTATCTTGCACTATACCAACCTATATCATGTGCTTCCAACTTTCAAACCTAGTACTGACCTGGGGTGCCATAGTTGCAAAATGGTCATGCAGGCAATTTATGAGAGCAGGAGGAAGTGGAGGCCAAACCGTGCTAGTACGGAGCTTAGTGCGGCTGTGGATGGGGCTACGGACGAGACCGTGAAATCGTATATCTCGCCCCCGTCGTTCGTTTTACCGGATCATGATACCGAAAGTTCTGATGGGATGTTGAGCACAATTGTGGAGGACCAGAGTGGCGAGGAGCGCGCTGAGGCCGGCTCGGAGAGCTCGAACGAGAACCATCAGTCCAGTTCTTCCGTGAATATCGCTATCAACTTTTGATACGAGACTGTAAAGTAGACCTCATGGTGTATCTTTAGTGGATTAATTCAACACTGAAGTCAGTCTTAGCTGCATACCTGAATACGTGCTGAAGTTTCCCGGCAAACCTTGAAGATCAAAAGGCTTGACATCACAACCGATACGTTCCATTTAAAGTGCAAACACTTTCCTGCCATGGAGCATCACCAGGAGACCTTGGTTTCGAGGACAAGTCACGTGACTTGTACCAGCGAATCTGACTAGCGCGCTCGGAGAATTAACTTTAACGTAATCCACAAGTTAGTGGCCCGCACAAGCTAGTGGCCCACCCAACTCAACACGCGACGCGTCGTCCAACAACCACCCCAATGGCAGCACCACAACAACAAGAAGCCATCTTTCAAGAAGGCAGAGTTATTCTAGGCGTTCAAGCCTACAAGACCGGCCAAATTACATCCTTCCGAGGTGTTGAGAAACTATACGATGTGCCCAGAAAGACGGTTACGCGTCGCGCCCGTGGTATTCCTCCACAACG